TAAGTACTTTGTCATATTTTGGTGTTTTCCCCAGGTGCCCAGTGGTGCAAAAATATGATATGGCACAAATCATCGACCGTAAGCATTAAAAATATGTTAGACATTTTTTGTGAAGGATATTCAAGAGTCATGATGATACAATGTAATATGGTAAAATTGTCATCTCTTTCCCTAATTTTGGTCAGCTACAATGTACATAATCTAGTCCTGAATTTGTCATCTCATCTCCATACATGTATTTTGGTCAACTTGTTATGATATTAAAATGTTTAAAATTCAAAAGCTTGCTTATATGCTTAAAAAACATGCACTTATTTTGAATGTACAATCAATAAATTACAAGCACCTAGCGTAATTTTCCAGGATTCATTGACAATGTATTTTAAGTCATGTATTCAAAAGTTTGACATTATACATCAACTTCTTCTTTCAGTGCACATGTTAAAAAACCAGTTGCATAGAAAAATTAGGTAATTTGACATCCACACAAAATTGAATATCTAAAAATTATGCATCAAATGAGACAATAAAAATAATAAAAAGCAACAGGGAAGAACATTGTTGATATGTATGTAATGTTTGCAAATATCAAAAAGTAAAACAAGTTTTGCAAGCCATTTCCAAGCAGGAAGACCAATAATCAATTAAGCTGCATTGTGACCTCAATTAGGGATTTAGACCTTTACTGGACAGACAGGCGAAAGTTTGTAAATTAAATGGACAGATTAGGGATCAGTTAAAGTTCTGCACACAAAATATTGACAGGCATTCTTGAAATGTGAAGGACCATTCTGTGTGCATACACTAATGATCAAAGGAATGAATGATATTATAACTATTATGTCAGATGAAATTTCATAGAATCACATTCAATGTGTTATTAATGTTGAAATGACAGGGAGACAGGGAGACTTGCGCCACTACCTCTATACTGCATATTTACAAATGTTTGTTATTTGTAAACCCTGATGTTCTTATTTGCAAATGCCGAAAGTAGTCCAAAATCTCGAAGCCGTTACTTCCCTTCATATGTACATTAATACACCAAAAAATTAAGGGGAGATCACTGCGTAAAGATTGTCAAATGACAGGCGCATTAATTTTAGTAACGAAAAAATAGTTCCCGATTGGTCGAAGATTTCTAATATTGTGTTATTCTTATAGATATACATGTTATATTCATCTCCATGATTATTTACTTCAGTGTTAAACAACAGGTTTACCGTAAACAAAATATATCGAAATTAATAAGGGTTACAAACTCTAATTAAGAATAATATGGTATTATTCAGGCTGTTATCTTATAACTCCCCGTGGTCGAAGGGTTAACATGCTCGCTTTAGAAGCGAGAGGTCCAGAGTTGGAATCCCAGTTCAGGCAACTTTTTGTTGTTTTTTGTTGTTGTTTTTTTAATTGATTAAGCAAAATAAACATTGAATTGAATATCAGTGTTGCAATTAGTCTTATAGCCAATTTACTATCATAAGATATATCACTGGAAACAGAATTTGGTGACACTTTACAAACAAATTGGTTTATAATCTCACAACCTTCACCTTTCTGACATTCTGAGACCCAAACAAATTCAGCACCTTCTGTGCTTTGATTAATTTTTTTTGTATGTAAGAAAATTGTTTATGTTTAAATAGAAATATTAATAAAATAGTGTTTGTAAATTGATTTGATCATAGTGATAACTTTGTTTGCAATACTTAAAAATTAATAATTAATAATTAAAAAATATACTTATAAGCTGACATTCTAACACATGTGCACAGCTTCGATATAATGCTAGATTGGTAAGTTTGCAAAATTTCAATCAAGTACAATCTGACTTTTATACTGTCACTAGTTCATTGAATTTTACTATCTAGTGGTGCACATGTAGTGTATTTCAAGTGCACTTTATGTAATATTGTGTGTGAAATCTTCTGTATTTTACAACTAAATTAATATACACAAAGATGATTCATCACTGTTGTACATTTGATTAATAGACAGAACAAAACAGGTTTATTAGCTCCACCTTTTAGAAGAAAAGCAGAGTTATTGTCTTGACAAACTTGTTGGTGTTGGTTAAAGACATCATTGCACTATTGTGCTATGTTGTAAGATTCCCTGGATTATACACACTTTTTGCATGTTTTTTGATAAAATTTGTGGCTTACCTTTTGTATTTTAGTATTATTTTTAAGAGTGGTACAAAATTAAATGGATTTAGGCAAAATGACCTTCAAAGTTCAGTCTAAACTTGATGTGTTTAGTGCATTACTGTTTGAAAATGTGTATGTTTTATTTGTTGACAAATAGAGAAGTACTTATAAGTTTATAATACTCCACATTTGTAATATCTCTTGTGGATTATTGTGATGTTTATATAAGCTATAGATAGTTCCCGGATTTTGTGTCACCTGCTTCAGAGTAGTAGGGATCACAGTTCCATTGTCCGTTCATCCATCTGTCTGAGTTAACATTTGGATACTTACATGTATGTAGCTAGAGGAGCAAATTAGGTAACTGTACTTCTCTTTGATGTCATTCATTCTGTAATGCTTTTATGTGGCTATTTTCCATTACTTGGTTAAAAAAGAACAATTGAGAGAACAAAAAAAGTAGCCACATAAGTACTGTATTGTTCATCTGTCTGTCCGTCTAACACAAATCTTGTATGAACTACTCCTCAAAAACAACTGGTGCAATTTCATCCAAACTTTACAGGAATGACCAAGTCCAGTTGCGAATATCATCATTTTTAGCTCGACTATTCGCAGAATAATCGAGCTTATGCAGTCACCCATTTGTCGGCGTCGGCGTCCCTGTGGTTAAGTTTTTGTATGTAAGCTGGTATCTCCATAACTACTGAAGGGAATGGATTGAAACTTCACACACTTGTTCTCTGTGATTATCTAAGATGATTGGCCCAAGTCCAATAACTCTGATTTGCTTTTTTACATAATTATGCCCCTTTTTCGACTTAGAAATTCTTGGTTAAGTTTTTGTATGTAAGCTGGTATCTCCATAACTACTGAAGGGAATGGATTGAAACTTCACACACTTGTTCTCTGTGATTATCTAAGATGATTGACACAAGTCCCATAACTTTGATTTGCTTTTTTACATAATTATGCCCCTTTTTCGACTTAGAAATTCTTGGTTAAGTTTTTGTATGTAAGCTGGTATCTCCATAACTACTGAAGGAAATTGATTGAAACTTCACACACTTGTTCTCTGTGATTATCTAAGATGATTGGCACAAGTCCTATAACTCTGATTTGCTTTTTTACATAATAATAATGCCCCTTTTTCGACTTAGAAATTCTTGGTTAAGTTTTTGAGTGTAAGCTTGTATCTCCATAACTAATGAAGGGAATGGATTGAAACTTCACACACTTATTGTCTGTGATTATCTAAGATGATTGGCACAAGTCCCATAACTCTGATTTGCTTTTTTACATTATTATGCCCCTTTTTCGACTTAGAAATTCTTGGTTAAGTTTTTGCGTGTAAGCTGGTATCTCTTTAACTACTGAAGGGAATTGATTGAAACTTCACACACTTGTTCTCTGTGATTATCTTAGATAATTGGCACAAGTCCCATAACTCTGATTTGCTTTTTTACATAATAATGCCCCTTTTTCGACTTAGAAATTCTTGGTTAAGTTTTTGTATGTAAGCTGGTATCTCCATAACTACTGAAGGGAATGGATTGAAACTTCACACTCTTGTTCTCTGTGATTTTCTAAGATGATTGACACAAGTCCCATAACTCTGATTTGCTTTTTTACATAATTATGCCCCTTTTTCGACTTAGAAATTCTTGGTTAAGTTTTTGCGTGTAAGCTGGTATCTCCATAACTATTGAAGGGAATGGATTGAAACTTCACACTCTTGTTGTCTGTGATTATCTAAGATGATTGGCACAAGTCCCATAACTTGGATTTACTTTTTCGCATAATTTTGCCCCTTTTTCGATTCATAAATTCTTGGCTAAGTTTTTGTGTGTAAGCTTGTATCTCCATAACTACTGAAGGGAATGTATTGAAACTTGAAGGGTTTGTACCTTTTCGGACAATTTTATATATTCATATAGGTAAGCATTATTATACTCAATGAAACACCCTTGTGACAAATTTTCGAATAGTCGAGCGTTACTGTCCTCCGACAGTTCTTGTTTTCCTATTCAATGATTTTTGTCAGAGTTATGGCCCTTTAATTATTTTTATCTCTTAAAGTTTTGTCTGGATTGACTTCTCTCCACCTACATATGCAATTTGAGTGAAACTTTACAGAATTGATCAGTATTTCAAGTACTTGCGCACATTGAATTGCTTTCCAGTTGAAAATTTTTGACTGAGTTTTGGTCCTTGAATGAAAAAATGGGTTTTTGCCTATTAATGGTTTTTATGTTTCGAGCTACATAAAAGCTACATCATGCTTAAAAGTAGTCACAACATGCATGGAACAAACTGGTCAGTCATCCCTCAATTCATTTGCTTATTTGGCTATCATCATAGGCGACACATGATAACTTATCAATGTACCTCCCTTGCCAAAAGTCGGTTAATGTTCTATTCAATATGATTGACAAAGTGAAAAATCAATATATTCAGCTTGTCAAAGTCTTTTATACAGAATTCATTACTATATCAAGAATTTGCTAAACAGGATGCCATGTAGTTTCCAGAAATAATTGTACTGGCATTATAACTTAGAAAAAAATTTGGCATATCTTAATAAAACTTTGCCTAGATAAGACTTTATTTATTCTTATAATACCCTGCAAAAAAATTCATCAAAATTGAACATGTAATAAAAAAAAAATACACAAACTTTAAAATACTATTCATGAGGTGTGCTGGGCAGGTCTTTGATGGCAAAATTTCATAATGAGACTTGATTTCTGTCAAAAAGGGAGCTATTTGAGTATGTGAAACATTATTATAACTCCGGGTATGTAAATTGAAGGTAATAATGCTACCTGTTAATTAAAGAATGTATCTGGACATAAAAGGATTAAGTAATTTAAGCTTGGTAATCAATATTTACAGTATTGATTTATAGATATTTCACTACTATTGTAAAAGCTTGCAATATTTGTGCTGTGATGCAGAGTATTTCATACTGAATGGCAGACAGTTATAACTTGGTCTGTAAAAATCTACATTTTACATCAGTATTACAACAGCCCACCATTATTGAACATTAGACTGAATATACCATTAATGCAAAGCTCATCACATATGCTTGAAGTAACACAGGTATATATATTATGGTATGTGCACTGATGTGTTACATAGTAAAATTATTAGATGTTATAAAATATTTGCAACATATACTGTCGGAGTAAGTGGGTATGTTACATTTAAGTGAAAATTTTAATAAAAATATTTAGTGTATAATATGTTGGAAATTATTTTTAAGGTTCATTGTTTTGGTAAATAATTTGTTATCTCTGTTTCTCTTTTCATAGAAGAGTTGTATTGTCATTAATTATAAAATTTTGAAGAATTCAGTTGTATACAGGCTGTATTTGAGCCTACAATACAGATCTGTTGATATTTTACGGGGGTTTTTTAAACGGGTCTGAAACAATTTTTTAAAAAATTGGTAAAAACCCTTTGATGGATTTAAAAACCAATTATGATTTTTTCAATGATTTTTTTTCCAGTATTTGGGCTTTTAAGTCGGGATTTTGAATGAGAGGGTAGGGGCCCTGTTACAATAAATATTCTAGTTTTAACTACAAATTGTATTTATAATATCCTTAGCTTGAAAAAAAAATCACCTTTTTCTATAAACATCATTTATATAATTTTTTTTTTATTTCAGAAATGTGAGCATAGTTGAAGGCACTTACATCATGAAGAATCTATCCTATTCTTGTAAAAAGATGAAAACATTGACATGCCTACATAAGCAAGGCCTTTGTTCCGGTTGGCAGAATAGTGTGCTTTGGTATCCACAAAAATTAGGCACAAGAAATATATCTAGTTTTTATTTGCATGGAAATACTAGAGGTCATCAAAGTAGAAGTCACCAGCTGAATTTAAACTGCATTGAATCACAAATAAATAAGCTATTCTCACAAAAAACTGCAGGTTTTCATACTTTAGCAAGTATTTGTGTTCTGGATATATTCAATACAAAAGGGATTGAAGACTTGTATAGGAGGAACACTGTAATAGTGACTCGAGGGTCATCAAGGTCATCACGGACAATAGATGAGGAGAATGAAGAAAAAATTCTACATAAATATATGGTACAGCTGTTTCTATACAAATAACATTTTTCTGAATTGATTGAAAATTTAGTTTTGGCTATCCTCGTCTAAAAAATAAAGATTGTGTAAGAATTACCTAAAACTGTAGACAATGTATTGTCAGAAGAAGGAGTATTGGATCTGTCCTTTACATGTATATATATATCATATTATATTGTTTTAAATGGAAACTGAGGAGTGTACAATTAGTAGATCTACATGAATGTACAGGTATCAATTAATATTTTTTCTTTTCTTTCAGATGGAAAAAATGTCCATTGAAAATGGTAAGAACAGTATTCATGATCCTAAAAAAATTCTTATTTACTTGTATTTGCTTAATTTTTGAACCATTTTGTAATTATTTGCCATTTTAATAATCCAAACTTTTCTGCTAAATATTGCTTTATTGGGTGGTACTCTGTAGAAGAAATTAGAATATAAAAATGTTAAGGTTGGATTTTACACCATCACACTATTGTTTGGTGAGATGTGATAGGTATACACGTATTAAGGCATATTATTTATTTTAATTTCAGGCATGTTGTCATGGTTTCGTAACACCTATATATTGACATTGGTCAGTTTAGCTTCCATGCAGCTTGACACAACACCAATTCCATCTGTTGCAGGAGGAAGTAAGTTTAACTTTTACCTAGCTTAATATCTTAAATGGACTTGTCCATCTTAACCATTCATTATTTTGAGGTAAATTTTCAAAATATATACTGCCTGAATAGCAAATAGTGCACACCATGTCCATGATCAGTTGGCACACGTATGGCATCAGTGAATGTGGAAATAATGTCCTTGACTCATGTCTGTAACCTGTATTTAAATTTATGAATATCAAAATATTTGATACAAATAGTAAAAAAAATTCTTAGTCTATGTGAGGGCCATGCTGCTCGATTGAAGGTCATTGTTAACTTGAGCAGTATTTTGTTTTACTAAAGTTTTGGTCACATACATTCGGCAACATTCCAACTTAACCAGGTAAAAACCTCATGTGCCCCTTTCTGCATTATGTGCGGCATAAGCAGGCAGTACCCACTCTGTCAGCTAACTGGATATTCATGTAGAAGAATCCAGTCTATGATGTGAACTGTAATTACAGACTTGTTGTACTGTCAAGATGTAAGAATAGTCAAGCTGGCTGTCAGTCTAGCAGCCCTTGTTTGATTTACAGTTCATGTTTACAATATAGCTCTTGTTTCTTATTATCTTGTCCAAAGTCCAAGTTTTATAAGCCTTTAACCTTTTACCCCATGAGCATATTGCGAAAAATGGCCGTTTTCATTGAAAAGCCTCCTGTAACAAGTTCAAACTGCTATGAAACTATGAAAAATGCTTCAATACTGATGAAACTTGGCACAGATGTTGACTACACCATAGCCTCTGTAACAGCATGCTCAATCGTAAATTTCCTGTTACCATGGCAACGGGGGGACGTCTCAAAATTGCCAAAAATCACTATTTTGCATTTTTTTTTTTTCCATCAAAACTGATTTCAAAGTGCTGCAACTTCTCAATGAATTGAGATAGAGTAAAAGGCTTTTCAGCGTCGGTTACTAGTTACCCTAAGATCGATCTGAGGCCATTTTTAGCCTGTCACATGTCCAAAATTTTCTTTTTTAACAACATTTCTCAAATGAAAACCAGTGTTTGGGGCCTAAATAGGGCATTTTTTCACTGTTTGAGGCCACAAAAAGGGGGAGGGGGGCAAAAAGCCGTCAAAACACGCTTATATGAGGGAAAAGGTTAAAATAAGACATGTATATAAAATTCATAAAAGTAGAGGCAAAATTTATAATTTTGTAATACAAAGTATGTATTTATTATTTCAGTTGTCATTACAACGGCAGTTATGAATTTAACAGTTGCCACAGGGAAGTATATTACCACCTTCTTAAAACTGGGAAGAACTAACAGACTTCATGGAACACCTTTGGAAGGGCATATTGTTTTCAGTGTGATACACTATATATTGCTCCTATGTTTGTATTGGGCAATATTCCCCGGTGTCAATAAAATAGCCGAGGAGTGGAAAGCTTACAGAAGAAAGGATACTTGAACAGTGTCATACTACTGTGATTAGATAGCTCTTTAGGGTTTATTTTAGTTTTATTTTATATAAGTGAAAGCTCATGTATAAGCAATACCAGAGTATATTTTTGTAATCTAATTCATACTTGCTTTCTGCTGATCTACATTGGTTTGAGAGATATCAAGATCAGATAATGGGCAAGTCTGGTTTACAAAGTCAAGCCTTTGCTCTATATTCAAAATGTGCAACAAATGGAAATAATTTAATACTCAAGTTTTTTGTTACACTGATGATACTCAGGTGTCCGTTTGTGCCTGAAATAATGTATGGAAGGGCTCCTGAGGTCTTCCTCCACCAGTAAAGCTGGAATGTCGCAATATGACCTATACTGTGTCGGTGTGATGTAAAACCCAATCAAACAAATGAACACTGATGCTAAATCACCAAAACAAATAAATATGCTCCATTATATTTCGTTAATGAGAAAGACTTCGTCTATTAGCACAGTTTAAACACAAGTGGGATGATAACATGCCATGACCAGGGCAGTGAGCACAAGAGTGAAGTCAAAGTAGACAGGATATTGTAAGCTTCACATTTTAAGCTTTTTATCCCCCGCCGATGGAATCGGGAGGGGGATATAGTTTTGGCATTGTCCGTCCGTCCGAATTTCGTTTCCCAGAGGTAATTTCTCTGCAACAATGGCTGGAATATCACGGACAACTGTTATGGGAATGTTGGATGAGCATGGAAGTTGGTGCACCTGGGTATTTTTTTCGTCTGGATTATTTTTTAGTAATTTTTTAGAGTTATTGCCCTTTGACTCAGTAAAATTTTTGTCCGGATTTCGTTTCCGGTAGTTCTCTGGCAACTAAATGGCTGGATTCAACGAAACTTTATGGAATGTTGATTCAGCATGTGAAGTGGTGCACTCTGGGTAATTCGTCTGGATATTTTTAGTATTTTTAGAGTTATTGCCCTTGACTTAGAAATTTTGTAATTTCAACTTGTGTGCGCACGTAACGTCAAAAAGTATTTGACCTAGAAGTCATGAAACTTTACAAGGAATGTTGATCAGTATGTGTAGTTTGTGCACCTGGGTATTTTCGTCCGGATATTTTTTAGTATTTTTACGAGTTATTGCCGCTTGACTCAGTAAACATTTTGTCCGAATTCGTTTCCGGAGTAGTTCTCTGCAACTAATGGCTGGATTCACGAAACTTTACTGGAAATTTGATCAGCAAGTGAAGTTGTGGGCACCTGCGTCATTTTTCGTCTGGATTATTTTTAGTATTTTTAGAGTTAATTGCCCTTGGACTTAGTAAAATTTTGTAATTTTAAAACTTGTGTCGCATGTAACTCAAAGAGTAATTTGACCTAGAGTCATGAAACTTTACAGGAATTGTTGATCAGTATGTGTAGTTGGTGCACCTGGTGTTATTTTCGTCTGGATATTTTTTAGTATTTTTATGAGTTATTTGCCCTTGACTTAGTAAAAATTTTGTAATTTTTCAATCACAATCATTAGTCACAGGGCCAGAAAATGGAGTTTCAAAATGCAAAATTAAAAAAATCTTGTCTGAAGTACAAGGCCTAGAGCTTTGATATTTGGATTAATATGATATCAAGCCTAATAGGTCCCTCTAACCAAAATTGTTTCAAATTTTAGCCTGGGGTCAAAATTGGCCCCACTCCAGAGGGGTCATAAGAATTTTCCTTATAATGTATATTAGTGAAAACTTAAAAATTCTTCTTGTTTGAAGGAACAAGGCGCTTACAAGTTCTAAAGGATATTACAGTTTATGCCATGATTAATATATAAATAAAGCCTTATGTCTTCAGTTGTTGTGTTAATAATAACCAGTAATCGGCGGGGGATATAAATTCAACGAATTTGCTTGTTGAAATTGAAATCTCTTAAACTGAGCCAATGGAAAGTGCATAAAAACTTGGTGGGCTTGATACATGCAAATTTATTGTGCCTTGTTGACACACAACACACATATATATCACATGCTGTTATAATATATATTGTTGTGAACTTTGTTTTACTGTATGTTTACTAATGAAACAGTTTTCAATATACAATGTTCTTTATTTTATGCTATACACATATATTACATTAAATTTTATTCTGTATGGTTTTAGGAGGTGTGTCAATTTACAAAATATAGAGGTAGTAAGTGTTCTTGCATGTGTTAATTTTGTTCAATGATAGTGTGCAATAGTTCCAAACTAACAACATCACAAGATATTTTTACAGTTGCTTTTAATTGCTGCTTAACTTTCTTTCAAACAAAAAAAAAAAAAAAAAAAAAGAACTTGACCATTTAAAGTAATTCTGAGAACATAATGTTTATTTCTTTTAGTTAAGTATGCATGTGCATATTGTAAATATTTATATTTAGCATTTAGCAGGAATTACAACTGTTATCAGGACATAACTATTTGCCTTTCATGTTTTTCAGCTGTTGCATGATTTTATTATACTTATATTAGTTATTTTCATTAAAATATTTACTCTTTGTTACTCCTTATTACTTCTTATAGAAGCCGTTAGAAAACATGCCTTGTAGTCTTATAGACAGGAATAGAAAAGAAACAAGCAATTATCATAGTATTGCAAGCAATACAAAAGTCCCCTACCTGTTTAGAACCTCAGCAACTTTCTGAAGGGGCGTGGCCATTCAATTATGGCATTATGGAAGACATGAATGAACTGTATCATAGTAATGTACTTCCCTGCCTAGTAAGGAAATTATGTTTATTCAACAGATAATCAAAAGATCCAATTTTCTCAGAATTAATATAAATGTATATAACTTATGTTTTAACTTTTCTCTATTTTGAATTAATTTGTTGGAAAAGTTCTTTAAAAGTGATCTCAGGTAACAGTTTTTAGGGATGGACAGACAGTGAGCAAATCTTTAAACCTCTCTTTTTGTAACCAGAATGTAAATTTTTCAAAAGCAAAAATCTTAAACTAAAGAGATAACTTGAAATAAAGATGCTATGAACACTGTCGTATATGATTTGAGTGATGACAAAGAAAAATTACCTTCAGCAGATACTATTTCTAGTAACAAAGAAGAAAAGTGGGAAAAAAATATATAACAATTTAAAAAAAAAAAAAAATTCAAGAAAATTTTAAGTTCAAAGGGGTAATTCTAATAATTTTGGTGTCTAGCATATCAAAACTTCGACGTGTATACTGTCATCTATCCATATGTCAAGTTTCAAAGATTTTCAGTCCTTTTTGTGTTATCACAGGATCCACTTTCTGTGTTATTTTTGTCATATTTTAAGTCTATTTGTTGCCATAGCAACCAAATTTTTCGACATAGGAAGAAAATAAAAAGACTTGCATAATCTCCAGACTGCCATCTACCCATATATTTCAAGTTATTCATATAAAATATTTTTCCATATCTCTTCTCTGTCTATTTAATTTCCACACATTTTGAGATTCAGATCCTCTCCTTTTAGTGGACTCTGTATTAAGGACCCGCGAAGGTAAAATACTGTTAATATCTCGTTACTCGAAGTCTCCTCTGGTTAATACCCGATAGGCGGCTACGCTTAGAAAATAGCTTCTTCATTAATTTTTATATTGAAACATGATTATAAAGGTATATTGAACGTCCACTCATAGAGAGCTTATGCCTAGTCTTTTTTGTGTATTGTATTAACACTGTATCAGAAAATAAATAATTGGGGTCCATAGATAACAAGAGAAAAAATAGACCCTTAAGTATTAATCTATGTATGCTAACAACTTTCACATGGTATTCTTAAATCTTAATCTGTTATTCAGATTTGTAATGTATTCTAAATGACCAGTAAAATAGTTTTTTAAAAACTTCCATAGTAATAACAGTTTTACTTAGAATACAAATACAAAGAACTGAAATTTCTTCAAAGTTGTTTTTTCTCTTCATAATAGTAGTTTATTCACTAGGCAAGTGGGAGGTCTTTTCAGGTGTGTCCTGATAGTGTGCTTATTTATTTTTCATTTGTTACTAAAAATTGTATTATCAAATCCAATACATATCATCTGTGGCTCTTCCGCATAACTGTTGTTAAAGGATGAAAATGCTTCTTCTATTGAAAGTTAGTTGAAGAGGAGAGTTTGTTACATGCAAGTTATATTTTAAGCCAGAGTCTACTACTCTTACTTATATCTGTAATTTTGTCTTTGGTAAATACGGAGCATTTGAATAATTGCTGATAATGCTTATTGCGGATCACTCTTATTTATCGTCCAGAATTACCTGTTCCTACGCTATAACTTAATCACGAATCCTAAAATGAATACTATTCTTTAATATAACCTTATTGGCTTGCTGAGTAAATCGATCATACAGCATAAGGAGAGTCCATATGTAAACATTTTGTGATAGGTACTCAACATGTATACACTGATGAATATGTATCTTATTCTATTCTTTATCATCTTTTTTCTTTTAGGTCTGTGCATTCTTGATTTCGTACATAACGGACACATGTCCATGCTTGCTACTGTGAGAGAAGAAAGCACATTTCAATAGCTAGAGTTAAAGTAAATGCAAAGGTTTTGGTTTCTAAATTTATATACTAAATCGTTCTGTTATTACACATCGTAACACGAAGTGCGATGCACAGCTGTAAAGTAGGTCAACCTGGTGATTCACGCAATTGTTTTTATATTAATTTGATTTATTATTAGATTGAACCTATAGATCAAAACTTGAGGTGCTCCTTAATCAATTGAAACCCCGCTTACGAGCTCTATTGTTTATGCCATTTACATGCTTGAACCATCTCATTATCCTCCTGGCCAGTTGGTTCACACTTGTGTACTCTTATCTACCTCAGCATTGTTATAATGATATATAGAGCTCGCATGTCCACGATGTGTACAGTACATGGAGAATGCCTTCAATTGTTCAAAAACGACACCAGGTTAATTCCAGTAAACAAACTCAACAATTCATTGCTTGTAATTCTATGACCAGCTTGGTAAACACTGACATTTGAGATTAAATTAAATCTCAAAGTAAAAGTTGTTTAGTCTTCAGTTTTACTATGAATAATTTCTTGCTGGAGTTTGTCTTGTACCGTCAAATATTCTTCTGAATATTTTTTTAGAAGACAGTGGTTCAGTCATCAGATTCCTTTAACTGCATGCCTTTTTTGGCTGGTCTTGATTGTTTAATGGCTGCTTTGATGTTTGCATTGACATTATTCAGTTCTACCTGTTTCCTTGCAGATATCTGAACATTTTAAATCTTATATAGACATATGATTAAATAATCTGATCACATTGCATCTATTCATCGTATATCTACCCACCTGTATATCGGGCATATAATTATATAATGTATAAAATGTGAAATGACTATGTATCTCATTAACAATGTACTTCTTACGACATGAATAATATCATATATTTGACATCATATGACATATGTTGGACTAGATGCTATTTTCATACCTGTTTAAGTACATTCTGAATAACACACAAGTTTCATATATTTTTTAATTATCTGATTTGTTGCATATTTTTGCATTTTCCTGTGTCATCATCGCAGCATATTCTCGTTATTCTATACTAGGCCAGATGTTTGCTCATCTATGTCTTTTGGACATCTTTAGGAAAAAGACCATTAAAACAATGGTCTGACTGAATGATAGAACTTGTAGTATAAATGAAGAAAATCTTAGCAAGCCAACAAATATGACAAACAAACAAAAACTACTTTACTGATTTCAAAGATTGTCAACATATATTGCAAAAGAATGTGCTATCAATTCTAGAAATCACAAGCTTTAAAACTACTGCGCTGTGTTTATTTGTTACATTTTGTGGAAATAAAAAAAACAAAGTTAACCATTTTTTTTAAAGAGAAATCAGCTTAAAAAGTAAATAAGTGTAATGGTATATAGATATTCAATAGTTTTATATACTTAAAAGCTTTGGAGTTTTATGTAGCAAAAACTTAAACTAGAACTGTGTCCAAAGGACATGGATGCCCCCACTGTGCAGATGTGCTCGTAAACAAGAGCATGCATATCTGTATGTAAGATTTTTATGTGGAACTTTTTATTAAAATCTGCCATCCGGTTTAAGAGGAGTTGCGTTCACAAAATTTCTATATGGTATAGAGTGAAAAAATCAACAAAGGGCCATAATTCTGTTAGATTTGGTCGCATCAAAAATTCTTCCTTTACTACCATCTACACATTAAGGTTGTTCATCCCTGGAAGTTTAAGCAAAATCTGCCATCCGGTTTAAGAGGAGTTGCGTTCAAAAATTTTTACATAGTATATAGTGAAAAATCATCAACAAAGGGCCATAATTGTGTTAAATTTGGTCGCAGCAAAAATTCCTTCCTTTACTACCATCTACACATAAAGGTTGTTCATCCCTGGAAGTTTAAGCAAAATCTGCCATCCGGTTTAAAAGGAGTTGCATTCACAAAATTTCTACATAGTATATAGTGAAAAAATCAACAAAGGGCCATAATTCTTTTAATTTGATCGCAGCGAAAATTCCTTCCTTAACTTCCATCTACACATTAAGGTTGTTCATCCCTGGAAGTTTAAGTAAAATCTGCCATCCGGTTTAAGAGGAGTTGCGTTCACAAGATTTCGGGACATACGAACCGACGGACAAGTGCAACGCTATATGCTCCCCACTTTGTGGGGGCATAAAAATACATCTCAAAAAGCCCCTTAAACTTAACAAATTAGCAGGATTTATAAACTAACCTCAATCTTCCAGACAAGATCAACATCCCACGGGTGAATGACAAATGTAGTCACCTGACCTGTATTCCTCGACCCCACCCGTCCTACACGACCGGCACGATGAATATAATCTGATATATGATTAGGACAATCATAATTGATCACATGGTCAACCTATATGGAAAACGATAAGTAAAATTTTGTGTGAAGTAACCAAAAGAAACAGGCAAATGTTGAAATGCCATGCTAAAGCAAAAATGATTTTTTTTAACACTATATTCTACCGATATCAAGAAAGTGCAGTACTGAAATCAGTTATAGGCTCTCATTTTTTGCTTCTTATAACATATTTCTGAAGTTGTTTATTGTTTTATCTTTATAAACAGTATATCAGTTTATAAGCATACAATATAGAGCCAGTGGAATTTCATCAATGTAGAACTCAAAACAGGACTAGTCCATTTTATAACATAAGCAGGAATATGGTAAAGCAATGAGAAAGATAAAGTACACTAACCATATTTGTGTCTAATCCCCTTGAGGCAATGTCTGTACATACAAGAATGTCTGACTCTCCTTCTATAAATGTTTGAAATAGTCTAAATCTCTCCTGTAACAAACCAGAAAATAAAGTATTTTATTACATTCTACTTCTTTCCTAAATGAGATGCATCAGTTTGACTACAGACATTTCAATTACAGCATGGTGATACAATGTATGGAAAAAAAACCCACAAGGTTACTAACACAGTAGATGGGAGCAGTGACCTGAAAGAAGTGGCGGCCACGTGGTTAAGATGTCAGCACAACCAAAGAGTCCTGGATTTAAGCCCTTCTGAGGTCACAATTATGTTTCCATACATCACATCAGTACGGATTAATTAAATGTAGACTCGGTTGTCTTTCAAATAGTTTTCTTAATTTTTCTTAAACTAATACATGGATAATGGAAGTTCTATTTTCTTCTTAACATGTCAACATTTTTCACACTTATACCAAGTTAGTTACAACTCTTTCAAGTCACAATGGAGTAGAGTTTTCTAGTTGCATTCCAATTATACAAAGAGGTACATGTCTATTACACAAAATACCAGTTCAAATATTGCTGGTATATGTGTAATACTTATCATTCTTCTATTTATTGTAATACTAATCATTAAACAATCTTTTTAATGATACCTTACCTTTGTCTTATCTTTGCCAGCAACACATACATTATTTACCCCCATCTCCTCTAGACTGTTACTCAACCATATACAAGCATTTTGTTTGTTACAAAATATCATTGTTGTCTGATTCTTTTTCTTCTTCAATATCCCTAACAGTGTTGCTGAAATAACATTTATGTTACACTCTCTATCTAGTTATATTTTACAAAGTTTTAAGTTATATGGTATACTTGAATCACCAGTAAGAATAACTCCCATTGGCCTATGGGAAATTAACATTACAAAAATAGTGAGGGCTAATAACAATGACTATCTATCTATAGGTTTTGATCTCATTTTAAAGAATGGCTGTGATGAGAATGGAAAATTATGGTCTCTTTTAGTATGGAAATGCTTAGAATAGACATACAGATAGCAGTTAATCTGTGGTAGCTATAAAGGAGATTTGTGCTGGATGAAATTATGATGAATTTTCAACTTACAGGTACTTCTCCCTTAATTAATCAAATATAAGTTAATGTTGAATAATGAATAATTATTACTGTAAAGCTACATGCCCTTCTATTGTGTCTGAGCAATGACTGTAGACTGATATTTTTCTGTAATTTGTTTTTATTAAAAAATTCAGAACAGTTTCAAACTACAGCTCTCGAAAAAGACATTTTCTTATTTTATGTTTGTTCAGGGACAATAACTTTTGAAATACAATATTACACTACATATTTCTGAATTTCCTTATAATGATAAAAATGTACAAGAAATATTAGAAAATATCCAAGCTTAAAACATATGTATGCAAAGATAGAGGCAGAATGCTGAAACTTGCATTTTTGGCAGGTGATAATTAACAAAGTGACACAAGGAGTATTAAGTTAATGACTTACAATAAATCAATATTACATTATTAGATAACAGGACTGAGGAGACTGATATCAAAATCAAAGGTTTTACCAAGTCTGTCTGCTGATTTCATCTTGATAAACTTTTGTTGAACATGGGGCATCAAATGGTGAAGATTTTTTGTTGTTAGTTGTGAGAAATTATCAATCTGAAACATAAGTATCACATAATGACCTTTTCATGCAGGAAATGCCTGGTGTTTATTGAACATACAATAATATTCAATGAAGTGTACAAACCAATTTTTATGTAATTTGACAGTAAAAAACAAAAGACATAGATGTCATTTTTGAGATTACATTAAGAAAAGTTAATACAGGGTAGAAACACCTGGTTGAAAAATTATCTTCTTTCAGACTTTTAAAATATTTATAAACAATTATATCATTGACAAAGTCTATAAAAGAAGATAAGCATGATAATATGACTAGAGATACTTAACCGTTATTCAGCTGAATTTCTTAAATGGACTTGTCAAGATTCCATTCTGGAATTGTCCATTTTCATTTTAAGGGTTATCAAGATGAAAAACTTAAGTTAGTCAGCCAACAGTATAGAGGCTGGTCAGACTGCAAAGATTTACAGACTGACCTGGCTCTAAACTGGTGGCAAAGGCTAGTCACTTTCTGTTCCATCAGTGGAAGGGTTTTATTGATTGATCTGAGTTATGTTATACATACTGGTAGCACTTCACCAACAGTTTCATCTAGTCCTTGAGGAAATGTAGCACTAACAAGTGACACCTGAACACCTTCATTGATATAGTTGTCACCAATAGCAGAACTTTCTCCTACCTGAATATTATAATATGTAACACTTATGAGCAAATTATACTGTAATATGTTTACAATTAGCATAGCCAAATGAATAATTTGTCCAAAAAATCTTAACTCAGTCCTCAAGAATCAACAACTCTGCTATTTCAATACATTTCTATTTCATGGTATATTTAATGTAACTGTTTCAACATTCCTCTTTAAAACAATTATATAAAACTTTCTAAGAAAATATATTTAATCTTTTTTCTCGTAATCATATTGAATGCTCTTACTAATAATCTATTCTAGAACCTTCCACTGTCAATTTCAGAGAATTTAAGATAAAATATTTAAGTTAAATATAAAACAATATAGAGTCCAGTCAGACACTATAAAGGTGCAGATTGACCTAAAAATTCAAATTGCTGCATACACCTGCCATAAGAACATCTAGTAATGGAAAATAATCACATTAAACAAATTACCTGCAGTCGTCTAAGAATTTCTTTAATTTCCTTAGAGAAACTGTCATCAAGTAAAGTGTCAGCTTCATCCAGTACTAAACATGTCACTTTCAAAGCATGCATGTATTCTGTAAATATATCCATATCTTCTTGGTAATTATTGTTTAAGGTCCTATGTTTTTTATATACATATATACTGTTAAATCGGGTAAATAAGTATAATTATATGCTTAAAATAACTGTAGTGGCACTTTTATGAGCCTATTTTTGATATACATATACCGTTATCTTTAAATCCAACTATTTATAATTAATATTTGCTAAATGTTTTCCATGGAGTAAGTTCACAAAGATGTATTTGGCAGGGTAATATCATTTTTCTGGGACAAGTTGCAGTATGAATACTGGATAATTTAGCTCCTACAACCTAGGACAAGTTGTTCCTATACAAAATGTAGTATGGATAATTTAGCTTAAGGTTTACTTATAGTTTGAATAATTTAGCTCATATAACCTAAATATTAATCAGATTAAAACCATTTCTGGAGATGACCACCTAACAATTATCCCTGTTAAGTTTTTGGTAGATGTTGTCTTAAGAAATTGAGTATAACTTCACAGAATAGAAAATCAACATGAGGCACTCACAATAGCTGAGGTGAGGTGAGTTAAGACAACTTACTTGCTTTAAACAAAGTTGACAAAGTTCCTGGAGTACTGATTAACACATCTATGCATTGACCTCCATTACTCTGCAATAGTACCTTAAAATAGAATAGAAATAGTTACAATAACAAGAGGGCCATGATGGCCCTGAGGTCGCTCACCTGTATATAGGCCCCCGGAGCGGGGCCAGTTTAAACCCAAGTGCTTTTATTTGAACAAACTTGGAAGACACCCATTAGAAGATGTTTCATGATGTTAAGTTTTTACTACACATATAATGAAAAAAATGACCTCTGCCCCCCCCCCCCCCGCACTTTGGTAGGGCCAATTTTAACCCAAGGGCTTTTATTTGAACAAACTTGGTAGAGACCCACAAAAAGATGTTTCCTGCTTAACAATCTAACCTCTAGCTCATTGGGTTTTTTAAAAGAAGATTTTTTTAAGTTTTTACTATACACATATAGTTAAAAACAATGACACCCCTGGGGCCGGGCCAGTTTAAACCCCAGGGCTTTTATTTGAACAAACTTTGTAGACACTTACTAGAAGATGTTTCATGCTTAATATCTAAACTCTAGCTATTTGGGTTTTTTTCAAAGAAGATTTTTAAGTTTTTGTCATACACATATAAGGAAAATCAATGACCCCCGGGGCGGTGCCAATTTTGACCCCAGGGCTTTTATTTGAACAAACTTTGTAGACACTCACTAGAAGATGTTTCATGCTTAATATCTAAACTTTAGCTATTTGGGTTTTTTAAAAGAAGATTTTTTAAATTTAACTATATATATATATATAAGGAATATATATGACATTCCCGGTGCGGGGCCAATTTTGACCCCAGGGATTTTATTTGAACAAACTTTGTAGACACCCATTAGAACATGTTTCATGCTAAATATCTTAGCTCTAGCTCTTTGGGTTCTTTAAAAGAAGATTTTTTAAGTTTTTACTATATGCATATAGGGAAAATCAATGACCCCCTGGGGCGGGGCCAATTTTGACCCCAGGGCTTTTATTTGAACAAACTTGGTAGACATTTATTAGAAGATGTTTCATGCTAAATATCTTAACTCTAGCTCTATGGGTTCTTTAAAAGAAGATTTTTTAAGTTTTTACTATATGCATATAGGGAAAATCAATGACCCCCTGGGGCGGGGCCAATTTTGACCCCAGGGCTTTTATTTGAACAAACTTGGTAGACACTCACTAGAAGATGTTTCATGCCAAATATCTAAGCTCTAGCTCTTTGGGTTTTTTCAAAGAAGATATTTAAAGTTTTTTCTTTCGGTTGCCATGGCAACCAGAGTTCTGCATGGAATTAAATTCTTAGAACAATTTTTAAAGGTGACCACCAAAGGAATATTCCTGTGAAGTTTGGATGAAATTGGCTAAGTGGTTTATGAGGAGATGTCATTTAAAGTAAAAGTTTACGGACGGACGCCGGACGAAAAGCGGTCACAAAAGCTCACCCTGTCACTTTGTGACAGGTGAGCTAAAAATCTACATGACAATTTCCCTATGCATCTTATCATTAAGACACGTCATTTACCGTCCTTGATTCCTAATAAAAGTTGCATTTACATCACAAAAATAATTTAAAAATATCAACCATGAGGAACTGTGTATGCCTCTATTACATTTTTTTTTTCATTTAAGCCATGTGTTGTTTGCACTTTATTACACATAATTTAGCAATATACCAGCCAGTATTCTAAACACTAAATTAAAATATACCATATACCAAAAGTTTAAGTCAACTACAAATAGAATATGATCAATTTTAGCAAATTAGTTATCCTTGTTAAAAAAGATAATCTATTAATATGTTTTATGTTTAGCTTATATGGTTTTACTATTCATAATAAGATTTTACCTTATTACTCATCCTGTCTATAACAAATGGTTTGAAAGGTATTGACTTGGCCATTTTCTCACAAACTTTCTGTAAAACAATCATTTATGGTTAGCTCAATTAACACTATGAAACCAGTTGAATGACATGGCATGAAAAAATGAACAAATCCCACATAATATGTAAATGAAAAGTGTTAATTTGGAGGAAGGGTTAGCAGAAAGTCAATTCATTATTTTTTTTCCAAACATATTATAATACAATGACACAATTACTGACAATAATAGGGTAAGACCAATACCTATTACGGTTAGTTATAAGAAACATGTAAATAATATAAATAGAAGTTAACAAAGCACATATAATTTTCACAAAATACTAACACACAAATATTGGCTGTTAGTGAAAAGAACTTACAAGAATCAACATTTACACCTGTAAATATGGCAAAATTTATTAAATCTCATTTATAAATAGTCTAATAAAGTTTAAAGTGTATAATACACATAAACAGTTATTTTGTTCACAAAAAAAAACTAACCATGATTTGATTGGCTAGCTCTATGGCTGGTACAACTATAATAGTGTGAGGAGAGTTCTTGATGTCATCAGATAGCATACCAGCTTTCTTCTGCTGAAGTATGTTATGAACTATAGGTAATAGATATGCATATGTCTTCCCACTACCTGTAAAAAAATAAACAATCAAAGAGCCGTGTCATGACAAAACCAACATAGTGGGATTGCGACCAGCATGGATCCAGACCAGCCTGCGCATCTGCGCAGTCTGATCAGGATCCATGCTGTTCGCTATCAGTTTCTCTACTTGTTATAGGGTTTGTAAGCGAACAGCATGGATCCTGATCAGACTGCGCGGAGGCGCAGGCTGGTCTGGATCCATTCTGGTCGCAAACCCATTATGTTGGTTTTGTCATGATGCGGCTCAATTATATGTATTTAGTTAATACATAATTTATTTTAGTCTAATTGTTAGCAGCTTTAATCACATTTTCAGATTGGTTGCTTGAACTAACCAGTACAAAGCAATTAGTGTAGTTTCTTGGTCAAGAAAATAACTGCTTGTCCTTGATTGGGTTCAAACATAGCAATCTTTAAGTTCCTAGTGTGACACATTCACCACTAAACCACATTACCCACATACAGTATTTACCAGATAAATGTTCTACTACGTAACTACTAAGCTTCAAAGTTACTATAGTTACATTTCCTACTGAATCTGCCAATTCTGTATACAAATATAAATGAACAATTCCAGGGAATCAAAATTGAAAGTCATTAAAAGTCATAAACATGTTTGATGCCAACAAATCACTGTAATATTTTTACCTGTTTCAGCTGCACATATCATATGTTTGCCTCCAAGTAACTCTGGAATTGCCATGTTCTGTAAAATAGCATGCATGTAGAAAAATTAATACATTTCATGTGTGCAATGATAAAAAAAGAGTACATTTATGATGAAATCTTAATTAATTTTGGAGATCATTTTATAGGGAAAAGAAAGTTTTAGGCTAAGCCTGCTGGAATTTAAAAAGATAACCCTTTTGCCACCAGTACAGAGCCAAGCCAGAATGTACATCCATCTTATGTGACCAGACCCTGTACTTTGTTATTATTGTAATTATACATCATGTAATAATGCATTTGATAACCCAATCTGATTAAATTAATAGGAGAACTAAGTGCAGCATGTTAGAACGTTGACCAACAATCCGTAACTCTAAAATTTCATATTAATATCCCAAACTTTATAATATGGACAGTTCCAAAAATTGAATAAGTGTAAATTAATTAAAAAATTCAGCAGTTTAAAAGTTAATCCCTTTGCATAATGATATTTACAAATTTTATCCAAGGACATTTCTAATTGCAAGAATACTTTGCTCAATATGTAAAAGAGATTAAGACAAACCAAAACAAAAATGTTTTGAAGAAAAGTATGAGCAACATTTCAGGCTAAAATATTTACAAAATGCTCTTCATTTAGTGTAAAACAAAAGAGAACCTTAGGAATAAAAAGAAAATTACCTGAATATTAGTAGGCTTGCTAATACCTTCACTTTGTAAGTACTCTAAAATTCTTTTATCAAGACCAAACTCTTCAAAACTGGTTGCTTCAGATTTGTCAACAACTGATGGATTCTACAAATTATTGTAATAATTATATTGCTGTTTCTTTTCCTTAGGGTTTAATATTTTATAAAATTACAAGTTACTAGTATTATATGTAATAATCATTTGTAGTCGTCTTTTATGCCCTTCCTAGATCATTTCTTCCATTACAAACCTATATCAAGTAACAGGACATTAAGTCACAAAAGTTTCTGAAAATATTGAATATGTGAACAATAACAACAAAGGGTCATAATTCTCAAAAAAAAAAAAGATCAAATCAAAACTCCCTTACAAAGTAGACAAGGACACCCACTTGGTGATTATAGCTTTGTGAAAGTTTGGTTGAAATCAAAATGTAAGACTTGTGGTTTACTGCAGCCTAGCCATCTGACAACATACACTAATCTAATAACCACATAAATATTTTTCAAACCTGAAAACCTCCTTATAAAAAATTTTAAAAAAGAAAACATACTGTAATTTCCTACCAAATTCAATAGGTATTCAATCAGGTATAAATGTGTACATATGAAAGACACTTAAAATGGTACATGTACATATATTTGTCTGTTTATAAATTGTTTCTGTGTAACATTTTATATTTAAGTGTCTTTTGATATATCATAGTCAATTAATGATATTATTGCTTGGATTATTTTCAACATATACATGTAAAGCAAGACTGGCAGTATCAGCTTTTAAAGTTTGAATCTTTTTACATATTGACAAATAATCTACCGGTAAGCTTTAAAACAGAGAAGTGGTCATGAAATTTTGCATGAGCATTGAAAAGACACCCATAAAAAGACATGGCATTTTCTTTCATATGATACATCAAAGATGTAATATCTTTCAAGTAAATATTCAATACACTTACAGGTTTATGACACACCAGTGTAAAGTAGTCATAGTTACATCCTCTATGTTTCCAACCATGTGATGCCAACTGCTTTGGATCAAATGCATCAAATTTTTGTCCTTTATAAAACGTATAGTCTTTTCTCTTAGATGATATAAGAAGTGTGTTTAATTTTGGTCTCCTTCTTAGGGCATCTTCCTTTGCCTTGCGTGCATTCAGTTTTGTAAGTTGTTCCACCATTTTCTGAGGCATTGTGATCCGTGGCATGTCATCCCATGCAGACTACAATCAATTAGTATAATATTAACACTTACACACTTCAACTAATGATTTATCAGGCAAAAAGTTGAAAAATATTTGATCATTTATATACAGTACAAAGCCTTCAAAAAACTTGTAATACTATTTAACAACATTTCTCTGCATTATCACTGGTAAAACATAAATCTGGCCTTTCAATATCAGACCAAATTAATTTCTTAAATTTCACTTTAAAAGTCTGCTTTTAGCTTTTCAACCTAGACATACATTTGACAATAACAATTTGAACACCTTTGTAGAGCTTCAAACAGCAAGCATTCAAGGCAAATTTTAGTAAATTTAGCCTAGAGATTTTGGAGAAGATGTCCTTTACAAAAATTGAAGACATGGACAGCTATAAATCTTTAAAGCATACATGAACAGGGGAGACAGACAAGATGAAAAAGTAAGATTCAATGAATGATCACAGTTTTTTGCAAATTATCACAGTATACTATTTATATGTCAATTGATTGTTGATTATCAGAAAGATATATAAACCAATCATGTTTGTCTTTAAACCATACTACTCTGGAAGTTAAAAGTTTAATGAAAACAACTACAACTACGTCACAAATATGAAGATAAACTTACAGCATAGTTTCTCACAAGAATGGGAACCCTCGTCTGATATAAAACATGTAATCTACACCATGTCAACATTATTCACCTGAAGTAGAGACAAGCATATTAATTATATAAATATAACTTGTTGATTACCACTACATTTACTTCATCTGAAATTGTTAATCATTGGCACAGTTAACAGTCTGCCGCTAGTACATGTATGTTATTTTGGCAATATTATTTCATTTATTTTTTTACAAAGATCTGTACATCGTAAGTTTAAAGTGTGAATTAAAGGTTGTCTACCGATTGCATAACAGACGGACAGTTGTACATTAAATATAATTATAATTCTGCAGTTTCATTTTTATTTAATAATTATATATAAACAAATACAAGAACACAAGAATACAAGAAATATTACAAACAAGAACAGTTGCAGGCAGATTGTGTTCACAATGGTTTAAGCCTAATTATCAATTGATAAGAGTCACATTTTATGTGAATTTACCCGAGTGTAGGACAAAAGCCCTCCCGGACAAAAGCCCTCCCATCAAAAAATGACAAGGCGGACAAAAGCCCTCCTGTGAAAATGACAAAGCGGACATAAGCCCTCCCGTGAAAATGACAGGGCGGACAAAAGCCCTCCCATAAAAATGACTTGGCGGACAAAAGCCTGTGCCTGTGATCTGTATATTATTTACCGCACCATGCATAAGGAGCCAGCTAAGTCAAGTATCTATGACGCATGTTTTTGTTGTTACTTTTTTTTGCTATATTGTTGTTATTTCTTCCCGCTAAGGACATGACATTTTTGGCCAAAACCGACCGGACCCAAGGACGATGACTTCCTCCACAAGTGGAGTTTCAGAAAGGTTGCAACACAAATTAGTGTAGGCCAGAATTTTTTGTTTACTCGACTTACTTATATGAACGAATTAAAGAGGGAAAACTACATTCAATGCATACATAGGGCCGCTATACATCTCTAGTGCATGTCCGACTTCTGATACACTATAAAATCTATGTCGCGGAAACATATGATAAATGCTGTTAATGGAATATGTAAGACATATCTATTGATACTTTTACTCTATTACTATCAGTTATTCATTACCTTATCAAAATTCTATGTTTTTTCTGATTTTCGACAAACTATCAACCTAAATAAAAAAAAAGTTTCCCCAACATATTTTTTTTATATTATATACACGACACATTTTATAATCTGCGGCTCCACAGTTTGTCCGATTCAGAGGTCAGATTATCGTATTAATTGTTCCATAGTCTTACATTACTAGAAATTGTCCCTAATCGAGTTTTTGTGCATACGAGGAAAGGTGGATTTTCTATGAGAACGAAATGCCTGACACATAAAAATAACCCTATTTAGGGGGAGCCAACCAAATATTTTTTGCAAATTGACTTCAAAGAAAATTACCCCCGTTTTCATTTAAAGTTTCTGGTTCTCATAGAACTGATATACACTTACCAAATGCAAATATCCAAGTAACAAATTATCCTACAGATTTATGAAATAATTCTTTTTCTTAAGAAACCAATGGAGTGTTAGTTTCGAACCTAAATCACCCCGTTTTCATCCAATTACATGTACCTCATGTCCCATTGAATCTTATGGTTTTCTCTGCATTTTCTTTTCAGCTAATCGCTTGCTATGTTACAAATAGTCTGACCTATCCAAAAGTGTATATTATACCAGAAATGATAATACCACTGATCATTTTAATATAGAATTTCAGTCAAACAATACCTGAATTCCTTTATAACCCCAGGGCAAAACAAAAACTCTAAGATTCATCCAGAGAAAGTTATAAAACAGGCAATTCGAAATTAACATTATGATCGAATGGTCTTAACAAGAGCATTGCTAAGTAATATGGCAGTCTTGCCAGAAACACAACACGTAACATATGAAGTGGATAATGTTCAAAGAGGTGCGGCTGGTAATTTTTGCAATAATTATTATTTTAAAAGTAGTGTGACATATATATGCTTGATTGTAAATAATATTGGTTAATCCTACTTAAAATCTGTGGACTTCTATCCTTCTCTATCTTCTAGAATATTCTCTTTTACAAAATATAGTAAAACCTTACACACGTTTATCACAACCCCCTCATGCCTACGAGAATGTTGAACTTCCTTAACTCCAGTAATAATATATAAATCAGTGTATAATCAAGTTAAATCAGGAACGTATGAATAAATCACTGGTTAAATAAGCCAAAAAAAATATAATTCACCGGATGATAAAGACAAGTAATTGACTCTAAGAAAGTGCTTTCATTGATTAAGTTCGCGTTCCCTGTATAAATTTTAGAATTATATATGAGAAGGGGAATTGTTCGTGGAAGTAATTAATCAAAGCATTGTAAAATCTATAGGTCTTCCAACCGCATATAGACCTTTTTACAGTATGATTTTTCCATAGCAACGTATGTTGCATTTCGCGCATGCGCATTCTGTGTAGGGCAAAAGCGCAATAACGATAGCACACATTTAGCGCACTTAAAGTCTTAAAAAGGCGCGATTACAAGTTATGTCACCCAGAAAAAAAGAAATTTTGGGATGAAGTAAAGCGGTAAGTACTTAAAACGTGAATTGATATTAACAGATAAACAAAATTAGCGGGATCAAAAGTCCTCTGTTCAAGGTATCATTTATATTAGGTGACTTTTTCATCAGTAATTTAAATTAAAACAGCAGGGTGTTAAAGATCACATTTTATTACCCATGTACCCAAGCTATTTAACAATATCATTCAACCGGGTCGTTTTAGTACCATGACATAGTTAATTACTTAAAATTATGAAAATGATTAATCGTAATTTAAGTAATTTTTATTTATACCAATCTCATCAATGTTTATTGATTTTTTTGAAGTGACAAATATTGTACGTGACGTGCATTTCCATGTGTTACAAGGAACCGGACAAATAAGAGATTAATACACGGCTGAAGCCCTCGGGGCCATTATTCATTTTGCGGGCCGATTATCACATTCCGGCGCAGCTATGACGTGTATTAATGTCTTTAATACAATTGGTAGATTTAATAGTAGCATTATTTTTGCTATTAATAATTACTTTGAAATTTCTTTCCTTGAAATTCCTGTCTGCATTTCTGCTGTACTGTAGACTCTACTGTACAATTCAGTAACTTATACAGAGTTGTTTACTTTTTGTGTGTTAAAAGTACACTACTGTAGGATCTAGAAGCAAGTTTTATTTTCATTTTTTTTTCATTTTAATTTGTCGTATTATTTCTTTAATTTTCAAAAGTAATAAAACTGTGTTTGTACGAAATACGCTTAAGCGTTCATAATAAAATCAAGCGATTCGTGCTTTTAACCTACTTTCACTTTTACAGTTAACTGTTTGATGACGTAAAATATGACGTCATTGTTTCAGTTTGTGCACGTGTACATGTTCGGCGGGCTGACCGGGGCCGCAAACTCATAATAGGTCACGTGACACTCATAATCAGTTGAAATCATAGGCGATTTTGTTACTATAGTAACAAGTGTATTAACCTCGATTTTTAAATGTTAATAAAATTTATATAAAAATGTTATATATTATATGTAGATCTAATAAAAATATTTTTTTAATATGAACGTTTTCAACAACAATTAAAATGACTCCTTTATTTGCTAATATATATACTTCCATACATTTTTACAACAATAATCTCAATGTCAGGTCAGTGATCGTAAGGGGGAATTTTTAAACAAATGTCTTTTCCATGCCTTTTTTTGGGGCAATCTTGGCCACAAAGCTATGAAGGCATCTTTTGTGTTTCTGTTTAAAGCTATTTTATATGATTTTCTCATTTTTACCTTAAACAAACTCGGAATTGTCTATGAATTTCTACTTCATTTCTATGTAGGGCATGGCTTTTTTGCCCTTTGCAAATTGCGCATGCGCGAAAAAATACTACTTCCGGTCATTTTTTTCATAGCAACGGACCGCGTCGTAAAAAGGTCTATAGCCTGTAAATCTGATTTTGACATGATAGTCATTTTGGTGTAAAACAAACATGGAATCACGAATTTTGTATTTCTTTTTATTTAAGTAGCTTTGTTTAACATATTTTAACACGATGCTACATGTATATCAGTCCAGTTTATCTTTAAATTAATTGGAATAAGTGTTTGGGATTATTTTTTGTCCAATAGGATCGCAGTATTTCAAATGAATCGTATCACATTTACTTTGGTAAATCGGCAAACTGTTTATCAGTTTAATAAATCGACTGTTTATAAAAATAATTTAAAACACTAAGCCGGTTAAAATTTATTGTTACGTATTTACAAAAATAAATTGGTCGCGCGGCTGTGCCGACCCTGACCAATTTATTTTTGTAAATACGTATACTTTTAAACTTTAACCTATACTTAAGAATTAATTCTTCAGATAAAAACATTCCCGACCCAAAATACACCAAGTAGGACACTTACGACCTTTAAGTACATTGTATGCCTAAAGACTAAGTTAAATAAAGCCCCATATGAGTAATCTTCACAAAATTATACCAACCAAGTTTATAATCTACCTACAGTAATCAGTAAATTTTGTACGTATCGCTGTCAACAGCAGCAATCTGTCATCACTGGCGCCCATAACACGGTGTGTGTAAATGTATATACATGTACTTCTGACATTTGCAGTGCGAGTTTCTCTGCATGTATACGTACAAATCTGGTGCAAAATTACCCCTTTGTATATACGTATATTTTACACCTTCTAGAATGAAACCCCTACTCACCAAAATTGAGAAAATAAAAAATGCCTAAAGAATGCCCAGAACGGCAAAAACAGCCTGTTCTTTGGACGGTTATCAGTGTGGTTCATTTTGAAAGATAGCCTAGTTTATGCGCGCGTGTGCGTTTTTGTTCAGTGTGTATTATGAATGCTGATAATAAAGATACCGTTATTTGTAAGAAAAATAAATCTACATTATTTTACTCAAGCTCAAAGATTTATATAATATCTGAGCCAAAATCTGTCTAATATTGAGTTTTTACATATTGAACTGACTAATAAACATCTGTTTCTAGTGTCAAAGTATATTTTAAATGAATGGCATTTATAAAGAGAAGGAACAGTAAAGTGAGCGAACTTGAAATCAGCAATTATCGATGTGATGGTCCACAGATCATTATATTATCTTAAAAAATATGAACATATCGTATTCATAACATAATGTTAGGCATGTCCAAATGTTTCTTTTGTAGTAGTTGACCATCTTTCAACGTTTCTTCAATAAAGGGCACATTATGCCTCACAATTTTTTTTTACGTCTGTAGAAAGGGCAAACATGAATTTTATAATGTTTAGATAACGGTTTTAAAGAATGTTAGATACTTGTTACCTGAGGAAAGTAACGATAAATGTGATAATTTGTCATAAAAGTAGCAAAATGTAAACAAAGTAGTATTTTGACTTCCATACAAAATACTAATTCACTATAACTGTACTAAAAAGCAACAGAAGGAAAACATTGTTCAAGTGATTGGGCCAATGAGTATTTTTTTGGATTCTATGAAAGTACACCGAAATTTAAACGCTTTTGAAAAGTAAAAATAAAAGCATCCTGAGGAATAAGGGCCTTAAATAAACAATGCATAGTTCGATGATACGTATGGCTAAAATATGAAATATCGTTTTTATCATGCAGAAACTGAAGATGAAAATATGTACAAATGCTATGCGTAAAAACGCACTTCGAGTCGAAACGCATCATGTACAAATGTAATTCAGATCATGATTTGATACATTTCAATTCCGTATAAAGAGCGCATCATGTGCCGTAAGTCACAAGAAATTCACTGTTAAATTATTCAAGAGAGCACCAAGGTCATTTAGAAAAAACATTTTGAAACAACAAAAAAATATTGAATTTACGTCACAAATTGCATGTGAGCTAGATATCAAGGGTTGCTGTATTTCGCCAATGGTTGTAAGCTTAATTCACCATAATATAGTTAAAACGAAATATGAAAGTGAAGTTAGAGATGTAAGGAACGGACAAAAATGCAATTCGACGACAACGCGAATGTTATGCGACCGATTGAAATCATTTGTTACAAGGAAGTAAGCAGTTATTTATACAGAAATTCTGAATTAAGAAAGCTGACACATGACTCAAATGTGCTGAAGTCCAGTTGGTTTTAAATATTTCATTTTTTTGTCTTTCTAAGTTTCTATATACATATATGTATATCTATTTTGTTAAACATAATAAGTAAAACACAACACAGAGGGCATGGACGTTGTTAAATGAGTTGTTTTAAGTGCTGATCTTTGCTATGACCAAGGATCATGTGTATGTTCTAGGCAAAGTGGAATGCTCTAGCCAGGTTAAACACAAGTATATAAATTGTAGAACATCCTGCTGTAGTTCCGTTAGAAAACAATTTTTAATTTTACCTTTGCTCCTTAGCATGTGAATCACGTATTTTAAAATGTTTCTAATTGTATATGGGGTGTGAAGTTGTTTCATATCTTTGTGATTATATGGGGTGATAAATTGGAAGTCACACTATTCAACACAACGGTAAATAACGGTCGATTCATGGCTTAAAATAATGATGTTTTATAGTTTCACCATGAACTGTGATGTACTGTAACATTCTTTCTGCATGAAGCTACATTTAGGTCATGACCGCAATATATTTTGTATAGGTCAAATCGCCATTTGTTTGGTACGAAATGGAGTAACCCTGTTCACAATTTTAAACAGTCCATGTAAGGGGTTTCAGTATCAAAAAGACTGGAAAGGAAAAAGACCTGTGCAGTTGCATCCTTGCTGTTTTAACAAGTATCCAAGTTTCACACAAAGGGTCGAAAATTTGTGATTGGTGCACAGATTGGCTGGGACTATACAAATGTACTGATAGTGTGTCATTTATCATCGCCAATGCACAAATGAATACAGGAGAAATCATTATCATTGTATAAAACAAATAACAAAATCAATATACAAATGTATCTTTTAATATTATGTCATAACATTATACATGTACCAAAAAATAAGCATACTGGTTCTAAGCAAGCTAGATAAAGAACTTTGTTATTCTGTACTTATTTTCATACAGAATTCTAGCTTTTTTGTTTAAAATTTATATGTTAAATAGCCTTTCCTCTAAAGATAATTCTAAAAGATTAAAATGATTTAAAAAGGACAAAGAGTTCTAAAAATAATATGTAAAATTTTTAAAATGTGATAAAAGGTAAAAAATTTGATAGCAAGCTATGATTTACCTGGAATAAATTAAGGTAACTAAAAAAGCTAGAAATCTTAAACATACAATAAAAAGGTTTAAATAAATAGCATCAAGTAACAAGCACTAACATCAACAAAAAGTCTAGAAAATTTAAACTGTCACTAATTCAACTATGAACAACAGCTTAAACAAGTGTATTTCACAAAAAAGTATGGCCATTTTATAGAGCAAATCTAATAAATATCTTCAACTTTCAATCTTCATGAATTTTTGCAACAAAAAGCAATTGGCCCTATCACTATAAGGTTGCAGAAAAACATGTTTCAGTCAAGTTGAATGCTCAATAACAATATCTGACAATATTTTACCACTATGTGGTCACATATTGTTCTAAACTTGCAGCCATTCTGTGCATGTGTAAACATTCAGTAACCATGGAAACAACTACCTGAGACTGACAACAATGAGACAAAACAATCACAACAACATTACCACAGATATCCCAGAATTTGTGAAACATTTCCTGCAAGCAGAGAAGTTTCAGCTTCACAAAATATTAAAAAGTCCAGCCACTAGTATCTACTAAATTTATCTTATTACTGACATTTGTGCAAAAGTTTATAATTTAGAAATAAAAGATTTTAGATTTATGCGTTAACAGAGATTTCTTAACTTTGAGAGCTTCTAAAATTATTTTTTATTTACATGTTTATTAAAGACAAGAAGAGTGGAATTTGATACCCCTGCCCCCAAACATCAGCTTTCTTTAAGAATTATAAAGCTTACTTCATGCTGGCTTTTCATTGGTCCAACATACTCTGAGTACCAGAAATATCATAGTTAACATAATCACAGTTGTTTGTGAGACATTAGTCTCTAAAATATCACAGTCTTTTATATGTAAGTTGCCATGGAAATAAACAATAAATGATAATTGTTGATGATATAAAATGGTGCTTGACAATATACATGAATTAATGGATATATACATTTTCCTTTATAATAAAGACTCAATAGTTTTATGTAATGGAGTCATTGGTATTTACATTTCTTTTTCAAAAAGGGACAGATCATTTTTGAAAATCATGGTTACCGGTATATACAGATTCCTAATGTAAATAATATAATGTCAATTTAATAAACAGGAAACTATATTTTTATATACATGTCCCTGTAGATTAATACATATTCCTAAGTTATGTACATCACACATAATTGGATCATTATCTTATTATCTATATTTAATATGGTGGCTGTTGGTGCTTTTTTGCTGCCAAGAAAAGATTTCACAAAAAATATTAAATTATCCATTTGGTTATCAGGAAATTGTGATGTAAATTTGTAAAATGTAAATTCTATGGCAACTTAATTTTATAAACAACATGCTACAAAGTTATTACATACATACATTATAATTATATACAAGTAAAGTCAGATCTGTTCTCAGCCTATCTCTTCCTTTTATCACAGTCTACAATATTCATCCATGTGTCCAATATTTGCTGCTGTTTACATTATTCAATCAAGAAGAATTTCAGTGTTCACATATCACATAATCACAAAATGTCTGTATGTGAGTATTTCTCTCCATTCACCAAGCACATATTATGTTTGTGGAACAATATAAACATTTAATATATTGAATAAAAGTGATCCAGGTGTCATTTCACACACACAACATCAATTGTTACAATACACAGAGATCTGAAAATTTTGCTGAAATAATCCCTTTTTTTCTAGAGAAAAGTAATTTAAAAAATCAAAAATCAATTGTTCTAAATAATCAATTTAAATTCAAAAATCTTCAAGGTGTTCATTAAAGTGTAATGTCATTTACTTCTGAAATACATGTATAATTATACAGTTTTCATATTAACATTCTTGTAGTAAATAACATGTATCAATGGCATTGCATTTTGCACTTGTGTCCCATAAAATAATACTAGATGTGTTATGGATATAAATGATGCTATCATACAGGGGGTGGACCATCTGTGTATTGCAACATTGGATCAAGAGATCTGCGGAAGTTATTTGCTAGAATACAACTATAGTCCTCCTCTGTCACTGGAACAAGACATGCTATTGCTAGTAGTAGAAGTAGTAGTAACTGTAATGGTAGGGCAGTGCGTAAAACTCTCATCAAAAATGGACAACAACTTGTGTCAATATCGTTGTCATCTTCGGTGTCAAGGTCATGTGGTGCGATTGAGCTGAAAACAGAGCAAACATAACACTTAAATATACAAGCATTGTCTCAGGTATATATGGTAAGTATAAAACATAATGATCAATGGAAATGTAATGATGACAGTGAAGTATGATATTTATGTAATGAAATGATTCAATGATGAAAATAAGGAAACTAGTTTGTAAATTATTAAAGTGGAAGCACTAAAATGAGTGCCTGAATTAATGTTATTAGGAGAAAATTACTGGAATTAGAAGAACATAATTATTACACAACTATTTTATAGTCTTTAAATTTATAAAATGGCAACACTGTTTACAGAAACGTCATTCATTTAATGAATTAACATTGACAAGTTTTGAGATGTCATTAAAATTGATTTTCACAGGTAAAATTACTAGTTGTTATCTAGATAACATTGCTCTGTTTCAAATGTGTAAAATCTGAATAAATGTAAAAATCATTAAATGATGTACTTAATCATGTTTTATATTAACCAATTGATTGACTCCCTCTTAACATTGATGAAGACATATCTTAGTTTAAAAAGTTGCATCATTATGAAATTCAGCTTGATTTGAGTTAAAACTTTCACAAATGGTGTTCAAATAATGTAATGAAAAGTATAACCACAAAAATGTCTTCATCCATGTTATATTTCATTGTTTCATAAATATTTTTTAATTACCACATTTTATCTGATTAATATAGCCACAATATATAAAGCAATAAAGCCCATCAACCAATTTTAAATTAAACTATCATTTTCAAGTATAATATAAATAATTATTCTGCCCTCTGTGGATTATATAATTAATCTCCAATTATATGTTTTAATGAATACACATTATTCATCTTCTATATTTTACCACATTCAATGACACATTTCATGCAAATGAAAATTTACAGACTTTAAAACTTGTCAAAGAAAATAAATATAAAATATAACCTATGATTTTATTTTATACATGCAAATATCTATATCAGATCAAGGTCAAGATGCAACAATAATGCATTTCAACAATATTTAACTTTCTAACATATTATGCTTGCAATTAATACTGATTATAACTTTAATTTCCAAATTTCATATTGGCAAATGTTTTGCCGGCCGAATGTATATAATAATAGTTATAGCTTAATTATGGAGTTAATGTAAGTGCAAGATAAGCAGCGCATGCGTTGTAGATTGAAGCCTTTTGCACTGATACCAGTTGTTACAATAAATAGTTTCCTAATAGACTTGAGGAAAATAAAAATGTAAAAAAAAAATCAGAAAAAAATATAAATTTTTTACAGGAAGAGTTCAGAAAAAAATATGTATGTGTGTTGTATAAAAACTATAAACTGGCATCGCTGCAAAAGCATGGCAACTGTTAAAAAGCCAATGAGATGATGTTAGATGATTAAAATAAATTGACAATGATTATGACAATGATGATTATTATGTGCTAATTTTACATTTATACAGAACATGATTGTCCAGAATTTACAACATGCAATTATCGATATAAATGTTCTTAAAATGTTCATCTGGTTGTAATTAACATAGGTGCATTAAACCATGTAGTCTGACAAATGCAAAATTAGCACAGTTTTTATGTATATATGATTTATTTAAATTATTTCACATATGTTTTCAGTAATCCCACTTTATTCCAAAAAGAATAAAATACAATATTATTATGATTATGCGTACTTTGACTCATGCGAATAATAAATCATAATATAACATAAACATAATACAATGTAGTTAGTTTCTAGACAGTTAACCCGGTCCAGTTGCTATGGCAACTATAAAAGTACAGAAGGAAATGTATGATCTTACGATGACAAAACATTGTGGATATCCAGAGCCAGCTAAATGGTGGAATAAATTTAGACAAAAATTAAAAGATGGTAGAGAAAATACGATTAAATTTGGAGAAGTGAGACCTTAGGCATAATATGTTCCAATGTATGTCCCAGGTGTAACACAGCTCTTTGGTAAAAGACTAGTAAGAATGATAACAGAAACAAGCTGAATATCAAAACATGATGAATGAAAACATGCATTTTGTCAAAGATGATCAAAAATATGGGAAAAAAGCTACTCTGAAATAAAAGAACTATTGATGCTAAAAGCTGTTGTAAGCAGGTCTGAAAACAGGATCAAGCAATGAATTCTGGGTAATAAAGCTGGATGATTCTGGAAACAAAATGACACTGATATGAATCATGAGTATAACAAGCTGAAATGCATTATGGGTAAAGCAGATACATAAAAATACAAGCAGTCAAGCAGTTATGAGTCAAATGTGCATTTTTATACCAAGTATAATAAAAAAAATATAATATAAGGGTGAGAACAGTAACACTGAAAACATTTTTCTCCCTGAAGATTGTAAAAAATATTTATTATATACATTATACTAATATACCAAGGATGTCATTACAAGAGTTTATTCAAATCATCATCTTATAAGCTAAGTATACGCTTCTCTCTTTTTTTAAAATAAATACACCACCTTTCTATAGAACGTAAAAAGCAATAGCCATTTAAATATATTCGTAGATATTTTCTACTAGGGTTACATTATGTAGTTAACTTTTCCCACTGTCGCTATTAAACAAACTTTATTTAAATAGTTTCAGAACAACTAGATTCATTTCCAGCATGAACTAACAATACAGTTCAGAACCTACTTTGATAATTTTCAAGAAAAGAGACCCAAAGCTGACAGAACAGACTTCAAAACAAAACAATATCTACACAAGCTGACAATATACACAAATAAAAAAAAAAATATGACATCCACATTTAACACATCCTAGTTGAAAATTTAGTTACATGCATTCTTAAACTTTTCTACCATTAATAAAAAAAAAATACAATTCATGCTGGAGAAAAAATAACCAAGTATGATCATATAAATGACGACTAATGAGAAGTGTTTTTACTATCAGACACTTGACATGTTACAAGATCTGTGATTGGGTGATAAAAATGCACCAATCAGAGCTAAGCAGCAAGCTTTTACATCCAACTGGTGATATGTAAGACCTTGGTATCAGATTTTATTTCCAGTACATATAGCTATAGAACAAGAAATTTTAACAAATACAAACATAGTAGTCTGCCCTGCCATGCTTAGGAGTGACTCAAAACCAGAAAAAATAACTTCTAAATAAAATGCCTGGAATATTTAATGTATCAAATATGAAAAAAGGCCAGTTAACCATCTGTCTTTTTTCAAGTTTAACTCTTTCTTTGATATTGTATATGACTTGAATATTCAACTTTGATTAAGTTATTATTCAGTTTAAGTTGAAAGTTTTTTTCAGAAATTCATTTATTTATTTCAAGAAAGTCAGAAAATCATATCAGAACCATATTATATTTAGACTTGTATACTTTACATACGTGCACAGTTTGTTTATAAAAGTTAAATTTGTATACTACAACTGGCAATCAATGTTATCAGACAATAATTATCTCCGTGCCCGCATGCCATCACCAATCGTATGCAGCAAATGCTTAGATCTGTCAACAAAGGCAACATTAATGATAATTGTAAAGGGGTGAGAGAAATAATTACGTGTCCATGGTTCCCGTGGCTAATTTTGGTCGTCGTACAAATAGTCGGTAAATTCCCGACAAAATTCGGCATAATCCTGATAAAAGCTGCGGACAAAAATAAGCAATGAAATGGTGATAAGTTCAAGGTTAAGATAAAACAATGACAGATCAGCATGTTATTCAGCTGCAACAGAAGATGAAAAAGACATAGGGAATGATGATTAAGGCCGTATATAAACATAGTCTGTCCAGTCAAAATACAACAAAATTATACCTTTCTTTTTACTAGAAAAGAAACAACATGATAAGAAAAAAACTAGAAACAAGATACCATTAAAGTTTTTGAATATAGTATTATATATCTTGAATGGACAGACTATTTATATCAGGCCTAACAGACTGGGTAAAGTACACAGTAATCTGGGTATTACATGTAGAGCTGAAGTCAGAGAGAATAAAGGCAAATATAAGAATTCAACAATAAAATGTTTTTACTTTTTAGAAAATACCGAATCTAAATTGCAATATGTTAGAATTGACCAACTATAAAGTTTTACTTTTATGGAAAGAATAAAAAATACTTTATATTAAATGTTTCCCTCACTCAAGGTGAAAATAATAAGAAGTCAAAAATTTAAGAATTGCTAGAGGCTATGCATATTTATGTAACGCCCTGCTAAACCAATAATGAGAGATGATGATTTTATATATCATGATGTATGGAGGTAGATAAACATCTAGCAGAAAACCTCACTCACTTCTAGCAAAAAAAATAATAATAAAAATCTTTTACGATTTTACATCTTTTCAAACTTACATAATTAATCAAGGTGTTGAAGAATAATCTGTGATTGAAAAATTAAATAAAAAAAGTGAACATTGTACACACACCATTTAATGTTGGAACAACTTAATGTACTCAAAAATTAAATTAAATCAATAACACGTCAACTTGTTACAACACAATTATATGGAAAAAAACCTTGAATTACTGAGTCAAAAACTTTACCACTTCAATAAATAAACCATTAGACAAATATTTTGTGACAATCAAATTCCTAAAATAGAAATTGTTTCCTTTCAAATAATGTAATGTTAGTCAAATATAACCTAAATTTGGTCATTAAAATATAGTTCCAGGAAAATGATTGTCACAAGAAATTACATATAACAGAACAACAGACAAATGATCCTGAAACAGAAATACAAGTGTATTACACACAGGTACATGGATGTTGGTGAAATAACAGACAAATTAATTAAATTCACACAATGTTACAAAACAGGTACATTATATATTATATTATATTACCTCGAATGATTTTACACTGCCAAAGTGACCTCTTGGCTTAGGTTTCTAGTAAAGAAACATTAATTTGTAGAGAACTTAGTCAAAACAGTTTAATTTACATATCACTAATGAATGTTGATACAAAGAACATGGAATGAAAAATATCTTGCAACGTTCAACTTATGAAAACAGAAGTAATACTAGTCAAAACTGTTTTTATTCAAAAAAATACCCTAAAATGCTGGAACCAAAAGTTAACAACTGACTGTTGGATGACTAGCTTCAAATTTTATATCTTGATAACCAAAAATTTGATAATGGAAAGATCAAAATAAAGATGTTGGACAAATTCATTTAAGAAAATATGTTGAGCTGGATAAGTCTATATATAACAGAACATATCAAGTATTTTTCATTCACATCTGTAGTAGGAATGTTTTAACATGTATTTACATAAGAAAGATCTTTCTACAGAAAATCAACAGAAGAATTATTGCTCTACTTCTATACACACGTGAAAATACTAAGTTAAGTAAGAAATGAATATACCTGTCTAGAAAGGGCAAAAGGTGACCTAGTTCTAGGTCTTGATGATGTGGATGTGTTGGTAAGTGGACGGAATGTAGGTCGGAATGGGCGTGTTGGTGTACTAGTACGTATGGCACTATCCCTGGGGCTGCTCGCTCCAGAGGAAGAAGGTGAAACACTGAGTTCAAAGCTGCGATCTGGGCTTCGAACCTAAATCATAAAATATAATCATGTAAAAGCTACACATCATCATCAATCATGTTTTCTTGTCACATTAAATAATTTCTGTATTATAAAGTTCTATATAAATTTATAATCTGATCAAAACACAAACCTTGACTACTTAAGTAAAGATTTTTAAAAACAAAAAAAACATTCTCACAAATTTCATATATTTTACTTACTTTCAAGCTAGGTGAGGACAGTAAAATACTAAATAAATGCAATATCTAATAATCTTTATATAAATACATTACTTTTGATAGTTACTAAATAGAACTTCTGTGTGGAACTTTGATAAGTTGATGTGTCGAAGTACAATGAAAGTCCCGATTCTGACCCCCCTCCCTATATATTCTTTATCAAAACAATAAATAAATATTATTATGTCAACATGAACCTATAATGTAAAATCAAAAACATACACTAGATTTTGTGTCCAGTCTAGTTTCTAGACTAGATATATACGATGAACACAGTCTGAGTAATGCTTTGAGACGGTTGGCTATTATATGCATCTTGTCCTTAGCTTGGCACATTTCTGGAGAATCTGAGTTAAGAAGTAATTGGTCTGCCGTATCTCTTAGGGACATAACTCTTGGCTGATTCTTCTCTAAATCATACTTTATGTCCTGAAGATAAAAACATTATTATAATCAGAACATTTAAAAAAATTTTTTCCTTTGTGAATGTTATTTCTTTATTTAAATGTTATATAACATCTACCTCTATTTTACTCACTGTTTCAGCTGAGATTTACTTAAATATCACATTATTATTTATAGTGATTTCAAAACAGAATGATGAAATACATGAAAGACTCTGTGAGAACTCAATTAGATATAATACAATGAAATCTAAAATAATGTTTAAATTGTAAACAAGAAATAAAAATATGTACCTGTAGCTTTTGAAGTCTGGTCCACAAAGCTGCTTCATCACTGCCCATTTTGATTGGTTCACACTGCTGTATCTTAGATTCAATTCCCTCTAACCATAGCAACAAGTCATGTATGGTATGGTGGAATTCCTGACACTGCATCAGGGCATCTTGTAATTCACCCTGAAGCTTCGTTGCCTTCGCACACACTGAATCCCATCTCCGGTTCATTTGTTTAAGTCTATCAATGAGTTGTCTCCCTTCATCTGTTGTTGGATCCACAAGTTCCCGACTAGTTAAATTAATAGATATCACCCTAGCTTTCTTTGATTCAAGCTGTACTAGAAAGTCCTGGAAATAATAAAGTTATTGGTTGTATTTATTATAAAAGACAACTGAAATCACTGTTAGAGTCACTGTTTTATTTACAAATACATGTTAATCCAATGTACATCCTTCAAATAATTACATATACAAAATTTACTCAAGACTTATGTCAGCTGTTGCCTAACATTATAATTGACACAAGTTACTTTGTATTTGTACCTTACAATAAAGTCGATACTATTGTTTACATGTTAATCATATATACACATATTTGAGTCACTTCATTATTATACATGTGAGTGATGTGTATATCATAAAATATAATATGCGAAAAAAACATCACAGTGGAAGATATTTTACAAAAGTAAGTAAAATGAAAATTCAAAGTGAACTTGTAAATACAGTGTTTAAAAAGAATGATTGCATAAAAATAACTTTCCATTCTTGTATAATATTTAACTGTTTGTTATGAATTAAAAATGCTCACAATGGATTTACAGGGCCTACATATGTATTGTTATAGTTGATGTCGATTTGTAAGTCAGTTTAAATATCAATAAGAAGCTTGATTAAATTCATTATAATCATCAATAAAACACAAAAGCTCAATTTAAGAAAAAACAACAAGAGTTGACAAAAAATTTAGAAGTTCAGTAATGCATTAATGTATGTGAGGTGTGAAAGAAACAGATAAGAAATACAAGAGGGCCATGATGGCCCTGAGGTCGCTCACCTGTATATAGGCCCCCCCCCCCCAATGTTGCAAGGCCAATTTAACCCAAGGGCTTTTATTTGCACAAACTTGGTAGACACTCATAAGAAGATGTTTCATGCTAAACATCTAAGCTCTAGCTCATTGGGCTTTTTAAAAGATTTTTTTAAAGTTTTTACTATACACATATAGTTAAAAACAATGATACCCCTGGGGCCGGGCCAGTTTTGACCCCAGGGCTTTTATTTGAACAAACTTTGTAGACACTTACTAGAAGATGTTTCATGCTTAATATCTAAACTCTAGCTATTTGAGTTTTTTCAAAGAAGATTTTAAGTTTTTGCTATACACATATAAAGAAAATCAATGACCCCCGGGGCGGGGCCAATTTTGACCCCAGGTCTTTTATTTAAACAAACTTTGTAGACACTCACTAAAAGATGTTTCATGCTTAATATCTTAACTCTAGCTATTTGGGTTTTTTCAAAGAAGATTTTTTAAGTTTTTGCTATAATACACATATAAGGAAAATCAATGACCCCCTGGGCAGTGCCAATTTTGACCCCAGGGCTTTTATTTGAACAAACTTGGTAGACACCTATTAGAACATGTTTGATGCTAAATATCTTAGCCATAGCTCTTTGAGTTCTTTAAAAGAAGATTTTTTAAGTTTTTACTATATGCATATAGGGAAAATCAATGACCCCCCCGGGCGGGGCCAATTTTGACCCCAGGGCTTTTATTTGAACAAACTTGGTAGACACTTATTAGAACATGTTTCATGCTAAATATCTTAGCTCTAACTCTTTTGGTTCTTTAAAAGAAGATTTTTCAAGTTTTTACTATATGCATATAGGGAAAATCAATGACCCCCTGGGGCGGTGCCAATTTTGACCCCAGGGCTTTTATTTGAACAAACTTGGTAGACACCTATTAGAACATGTTTGATGCTCAATATCTTAGCCATAGCTCTTTGAGTTCTTTAAAAGAAGATTTTTTAAGTTTTTACTATATGCATATAGGGAAAATCAATGACCCTCCGGGGCGGGGCCAATTTTGACCCCAGGGCTTTTATTTGAACAAACTTGATAGACACCCATTAGAACATGTTTCATGCTAAATATCTTAGCTCTAGCTCTTTGGGTTCTTTAAAAGAAGATTTTTTAACTTTTTACTATATGCATATAGGGAAAATCAATGACCCCCCGGGGCGGGGCCAATTTTGACCCCAGGGCTTTTATTTGAACAAACTTGGTAGACACTCACTAGAAGATGTTTCATGCCAAATATCTAAGCTCTAGCTCTTATGGTTTTTTAAAAGAAGATATTTAAAGTTTTTTCTTTCGGTTGCCATGGCAACCAGAGTTCTGCATGGAATTAAATTCTTTGAACAATTTTTAAAGGTGACCACCAAAGGAACATTCCTGTGAAGTTTGGATGAAATTGGCTTAGTGGTTTATGAGGAGATGTCATTTAAAGAAAAAGTTTACGGACGACGGACGGACGACGGACGGACGGACGCCGGACGAAAAGCGATCACAAAAGCTCACCCTGTCACTTTGACAGGTGAGCTAAAAACAAACAGACAGACAGATAGAAACAAAACAAACAGACAGATAGGATAAGATATTCCAAACCTCTAAAAACACAGACAGATACAGCATGGTCCATACAAATTTTTTAAGGCCATAAAATTCAAGATGAGTAAAAAGCTGTTAGAAACATCATCGATGATATTGATTAAAAATATATTTTCTTTGATTCTGAACAACTTTATAAACATTATGTCTAACAATCTTAAGTGAAGCAATGTTAAAAGTTTTCCATCAGCACACAATAAGATTTATTATAAGTTGATAAAAGAAATCAAAATTACACACAATAAACTCTGCATTAACACATAAATATACGTGCAGATACCTTTGCAAATATTTCCTGTAATAACAATCAACCAAATTTAATGGTCCAGATTTCTTTTCTTAATATACTAAGTACATACTAATCCTTAATGATACAGAGAGATAAAAATAAGTGAAATTAACTAAAAACTATACATGTCAGTTGTTTGTTTTAACGATGTAGTAAGTGTTTGAAATTCTAAAATGAATCAACTAAAATAGAAGAAGGTACCATCAAATGTTACAGTAAACTAATCTTTATATTAATCTTTCTATGAGATAACTCTTCCTTACCTTATGTTGTCTAATGATTGAGTCAAGCCTAGTGATCTCCCCTGGTAAAGTAGAATGAGATTTTTGCAGAGCCTCTGCTTCATCAAGCCATGACATCATATTCTCAAGGTCAGTACAGAACTGGTGCCAGTCTTTCCGATGTTGACTTAATCGATAATCTTTCTGTATGGCTCCAGCTTGTAACATTTCCCACCGTGATACCACAGCTGTACAGAATATATAAATATGAATATAAGATATAACTTAACTCAGAAACATTTGTTCTTTAAATTAAAAAAAACACAATTTCCTTCCTTATTTTACGCTAGTACAATTTCATAATGCCACATAACCTCTATGTTAACTGTCTTAAAATACCTTACTTTCATTTCAAAATTTTAATTCATTAAAAAAAATTCACTACAAATCATCATCCTGTAATTGCTTCAGTTTTTCACTATTGCAAGAGTGGTTAAGTTTGTATATTTCTTATTGTCAACCTTAAATACTTTGATCAACATCTTCAGTATTGTTTATTAAAGTCCTATAGGTGAGGACCTACCATCAACTTGTTTATCAGCACTAGCTATGGTATGAAGTCCTGTCTCTTCTTTCAGTAGACGATGTATACGTCGTACATCCTCGACACATTTCTCTGCTTCTGTCATACTCTGTAACTGTGAATTCAAGAAAGCAAAATACATGTATAAGTTCAAGTTAGATTAGAAAGATCTTTGAAAAAAACAAAACAAACAAAACTGAATAATACAACTATTGATTTTATTCTTAAGTACTGTACACGTTAATTACAATTATCAGACAAATGTTTAGATGCCAATGCCATAGTTGTATCTTTATTATTTAAGTTTGCTTCTATTAGAATGATCAATTCAAAGAAAATGCTTGGTATAAATTACATTGTATTAAGAAGTAAAAAACTCACATAATTCAAAGATCTATGTTCTACCCCTGGAGCTATTGGCATAGAAATGCGAAGTTGACGGTCAGCAACATCCATCTTTTCTGTAGCTTCCTCGAGGGCGTCTGCTAGTTTCTCAAGGATTTCTTCAACTTGTGCCTCCTTGCCACGATGTGTTAATTCTGACTTCATTCTGTTAAATCTTTCTTGCCTTGATGGTGAATGGCCTAAAACAAGAATTTCTTATTTAGTTTTATACATTATCATTGGAATATTAAAATCTTATTGAAATAGGAGGCACATGTATGCTTTTATAAACAAACATCTGGCATATTACAAAAAGGTTGATGATAACTGCTCATGTATGTAATTAAGAATAACATCTACTTGTCTCATATATTGTACCTTCAACGTTTTTCCCTAAAATATTATTACCATAAAAAATACAATTACCTCTGCTATCAACATAATCCTTTGCAACACGTCTTGGTGATTTTGTTCTCAATGACCTTGTTGGTGACCTTGACCTTGTTGGGGAGGATGATCCAGGTCTGCGTGACCTTGGAGATTCTGGTCTCTGCGACCTTAATGGAGCCGAATCTAAAGTATCAATTGTTCTTCTCTTGTAAGTTGGTGAAGAATGTAATGTTGAATGTGTGGCAGCTGTCACTAATGGTAACTTTTTAGGTGATGTTGATCGTGACCTAGATCTTTCTCGTAACTTTTTCAATAAAGCTCTACGTTTTTCTGGAGGACTCTCTGGTGGAGAGGATTCGAGGTAAGCTTCAATTTCTTTCATGTCCCAGTCTAATGTTAATTGTTCACCTGGTGCCAGTGTATACAATTCTCTCTCTAGACGGTCTAGATCATCACCATCAAGACGCATTCTCTCCTCAGTCTGAAAATAGTCAATAGATCAATTAATGTAATTTTGTCATACACACAACTGTTTTTGGAAAATTTACAATATTCAAACTTGAAAATGTAGGAACTCAATTCACATTTTTACATAAATTTTAAAATGCATGTTGCTAATAAATTGTTTATCTGCTAGAACCACTCTAGTCTAGAGTCTACTTTCTTGAACTAACCAACGCTGGTGTAATATGAAGAGACATGAAAATGACCCCTTAAACGGTGAATCCCTTTGTTGAGAGGCAGACACCATAATCATTAAGTCATTGCTACTCAGGAAAATTTTCTTAATACAAGCTAATCAACATTCAAAATATTTACTACACTCACCTGCATGGCAGAAAGTCTAGCATTTGTGATTGCCACCCTGTCCAGCACTTGTCTGTGGTATTGTCTGAAGGAGTCAATCTCGGCCTGTGTGGTAATAGCATCTGTGCTATCACCTTTCTGTATCAGGAACAAGGCAGCTTCATCTAGGAAATCAAACTTTCTTGCTCTTGAATCTATTTCATCTTGAATTCTCTGAAATTTGTAAAGACAAATTGTTTGATATTCAAACAATGTATTTATCAAATGAAAAAACATAAACCAGAAAACAAACCAAGAATCTTATTGATACAGAAAGAAATACTCAATAAAATTTTATGCAGACCTATTATTTCAAAAACAGCCTAGTCTTATCTTGAAATCCAACTTCCACAAACATGTGTGAAGCTTTCTTAATTGAAAACTATTCAAAGAAGCTTACAAACTTTGTTTAACAAACTAACCAACAAAGAAATAAAGGCAAATCTGAAAATCATATTGCCTGAAGGGAAAGAGTGTTTATATTTTACCTGCATTTCTCTTAATTTTGTTTTTACATCCATTGAGGAAAGATGTTCAATATTGGTCAACTGCATGTCAATCTCTGTTAACCATTTTAATAATGAGTCTTTTGTCTGTTTGAAATCATCTCTAATACTTGAGGAATGTCGAATTTCACGCAGGTTTGTTGACATTTTACCCTGCATTCTATCCCAGCGATCATTGGCATCCTGCATCATTGTTTTCAAAGTACCAGCAGAGTCTGTACGACCTTCTCTTGCTAGACGTCGATACTGGCGATTAATGTTCTCCAATTTACTCAGATTTTCATGAATCTTTCTCTGGACAGACTGAAATATTACATTTCATTGTTAATATTTATGTCAACATGTTAATATTTAATTATCAAATATAATATCTGAGATATATATAATATATATATAAATATACCTTAAAACTGTGCTATTTCTGAATTTTCATTTAATGATGTACACCATTCGCTGTATTTGTGGTATGCTAATGATACCGTGACATTTATATCAAACAATTAAACAATTCTATATCTTATCAACATAAAAATGAAATATCATGGAATTAATGATGAATATGGAAAGAAATGTGTAAATTCTAAAAGACAACATACCTCACATCTACTGTACTCTTCACTAGATGTGCTCACATTTAATTGGTCAGCTGCGACATCAGTGACCTCCGACTCCATACCCTTGAGCCAATCACCAAAGTCTCTACAATCATCTATCAATTTCTGCCACAGTTGCCATGTCTCCTCAATCCTTAAAAAATATTTAAGTATAATATTGATAAATAAAAAATTTGATTCAATTAAATGAATATTCAGTATTCACTAGAAAAAACCTCTTTGTTTACAAATTGAATTAACATAGAACAAAATCATACAGAAGTACTTGGTTAGCACATTTGGTTTTCATTTCACTGTAATTATTATAAAATGATGCTTATGTTGTTTACTTGATGTAAACCTAAGATGGAAATAAAAAGTTTGAAAGTTGAAATTTTTCTGGAAAACAAAAATACTCAGATACCCTTGACAATAATAAACATGTATATAGGCACTTGATAACTAAATTAGAATACAAACATTTTTGTATTGTATTCTCACCTAGTTCTTTGCTCTGGAGCAAGTTGACAAATTCCCCTCCAGCGTCTCTCAAGATTCTTCATGGCAGTTTGAAGTCCATTAAATTCTACATCAGTAGGACAGGCATCAGAGTCATGCAGTAAGACCTCACATAGGTTCAGTACAGACCCAACACCTGGACTGTGACGCTCTATATCATGCTGCAACTCCTGTAAACGGAACATAAGCTAATAAATACAACATACTTTAAATTCTTTTATGCAGCATTTATTACACATTCAACAGTCTAACCATTTAAGTACACATAATCAAAATTTAGGTACAGTCCGACCCCGGTTATTCGACAACCCTTTATTCGAATACCCGGCATTATCCGAAGTAGATCGGCGGTCCCGTTTTTATCTCTATATAAATCAATATAAATACGAGCGTATTATTCGAAATGCATTATCCGAATACCTCCTATTTTTCGAAGTAAAATTTCGGTCCCGATTATACAATTATGAAAGAATTTCACACCTATTATTCGAAGCCAGCCTAATTATCATTCGAAGTCAGACTAATTGGCGCAGATCCACTCGCTGACCGGTCGACTTGTGAAAAATATCAACAGTCATGCGTGTATTTAGACAATCGTGATAATAACTCTTTGTATGTTCTTTAATCAACTTTAATTACCGAAAATGAAAAGCAATGCACCGTGTCCGATTGTGTAACTGTTATTGCTTGAAGATGACAGCAATAATTTTCATACATACCGTATAGGTAAATTTGTCAAAACATCCAAAACATTTTTTTCATTAATTGTAACGCTACATAAGAGCCTTTTTCCTAATCTAAAATGCCAGTAGTGACAACACGGCCATTATCAAGGCTTTGCGCGAAACGAAACGATACATAATCTGGAATAAAATGCAAGTATTTATGTGTTCAATGTCAATACAATAATTTTTACGCATCTTTTCTTTAATATTTATTTTTCTCAATTGATTACAGGAAGTAAGTGTGTTGTAAACGGTAGTTTTGCTATGATTGGTCAAAGTGGAGTAGTTTTCGTCTATCACAATATTCCGATTTCGATTATTCGAACCCATCGATTATTCGAAGTAAATATTCAGTCCCAGGAACTTCGAATAAACGGGGTTGGACTGTATATTTAAATATAACAAGAGCTGTTGGTAGGACAGCAACGCTCGACTATTCTTAGTGCTTGATAGTAAAAAAAGCCTTGATTAAAAGGTAAAATTTTCTAAGAAAAGAAAAAGACAAAATTTTTCTTTAAATCCATATTACAGTTATAGGCCTTGGAGAGAATCCTATTATGCTCTCAAAGAAGAGTATAAAATTTCAACATGTTTCAAAGCCTTATGTCAATGAATTTTGAAAATATTTGAGGTATTACAAAAACTTTAACGTAAATTCTTAGTCGAAAAAGGGGCATAATTCTGTCAAAATGCTTGATAAAGTTACCTCCTCCTGTCTACATGTAGGGGTCATGATGGTGAATAAGTGTGCAAAGTTTCAAAGCCATATGTCAATGGACTTTGAAAATATTTGAGGTATTGCAAAAACTTTACCTTAACCTTTTCCCTTATAATTATAAGCGTGTTTCAACGGCTTTTTGCCCCCCCCCCCTTTTTGAGGCCTCAAACAGTGAAAAAATGCCCTATTTAGGCCCCAAACACTGTTTTTCCTTTGAGAAATGTTGTTAAAAAAAGTGACCACTTTTTTGGCGCCGTCCCCCATCCAAATATTACATCAGGGGGTTGCCAGAAGGGGAATGTGCCCCAAGAATCTCCAAGAAAATTTTGGACATGTGACAGGCTAAAAATGGCCTCAGGTCGATCTTAGGGTAACTAGTAACCGACGCTGAAAAGCCTTTAACTCTATCTCAATTCATTGAGAAGTTGCAGCACTTTGAAATCAGTTTTGATGGAAAAAAACAATGCAAAATAGTGATTTTTGGCAATTTTGGACATCCCCCCGCTGCCATGGTAACAGGAAATTTACCATTGAGCATGCTGTTACAGAGGCTATGGTGTAGTCAACATTTGTGCCAAGTTTCATTAGTATTGAAGCATTTTTCACAGTTTCATAGCAGTTTCATAGCAGTTTGAACTTGTTACAGGAGGCTTTTCAATGAAAACGGCCATTTTTCGCAATATGCTCATGGGGTAAAAGGTTAAATACTAAGTTGAAAAAGGGGCATAATTCTGTAAAAATGCTTGATAGAGTTACCTCCTCCGGTCTATATGTTAAGGTCATGATGGTGAACAAGTGTGCAAAGTTTCAAAGCCATATGTCAATGGACTTTGAAAATATTTCAGGTATTACAAAAACTTTAACATAAATTCTAAGTCGAAAAAGGGGCATAATTCTGTCAAAATGCTTGAAAGAGTTACCTTCTCCGGTCTACAGGTTGAGGTCATGATGGTTAACAAGTATGCAAAGTTTCAAAGCCATATGTCAATGGACTTTGAAAATATTTGAGGTATTACAAAAACTTTAACGTAAATTCTAAGTCGAATAAGGGGCATAATTCTGTCCAAATGCTTGATAGAGTTACCTCCTCCTGTCTACAGGTTGGGGTAATGAAGGTGAACAAGTGTGCAAAGTTTCAAAGCCATATGTCAATGGACTTTGAAAATATTTGAGGTATTACAAAAACTTTAACGTAAATTCTAAGTCGAATAAGGGGCATAATTCTGTCCAAATGCTTGATAGAGTTACCTCCTCCTGTCTACAGGTTGGGGTAATGAAGGTGAACAAGTGTGCAAAGTTTCAAAGCCATAATGGACTTTGAAAATATTTAAACTATTACAAAAACTTTAACATAAGTGGTTACGCCGATGCAGACGCCGACGCAGACGCTCGGGTGACTACAATAGCTCTACTTATTCTTATCGAATAGTTGAGCTAAAAAGTAATCTTACACTTTGAAGTTGTAGTTTTTTCTGTATTTCCTTTCTATCACAGTCTTGGTATATAATTGGTGCTGATATATTATCCTCCATATTGGCTAGCCATTTACGTAGATTACTCATGCTTACATCAAGTTGTTGTACAGCCAATAGGGTCTCCTGTAACTTTCGTTCCCTGAATTAAAAATAGTGTTCAAATATGTAAATAAGTTTCCAGTAGGACATTTTTATACTTTATTTAGTTATAGCTACAAGATGGTCAGGAGAAAATCAGAAGAGAATTTGGAGTTAAAAACATTTAATATTGTCTCCATGTGATGTTTAGCAGAGTCAATTCAAAAAAACATTTTTTTGGTCAGGTTTGCGGTACACCAACCCTGTAAAGGTATAATAGCAACTTTCCAGCTTCAATGTTTGAAGATTACCTCAGGTACACTTCAGACAAAGCAGGCGAGCTTAAAACCAACAAATATTTCGTTATAATCGTGAAAAAAATGTAAACATTAAAGCCATATAAAACAAACTTGTTGAAAATTACCTGAACTGTATAACAGCTTTGAGATGTTCCCATTTATCTTCCAATCTGATCACTTTCTGTTCTATATCACTGGCTCTCACCTCACTGCTCACCTTCATAAGGGCATGACCTTGACTTACAAGATCATTCTTCGTCTTTTCTTTGTCTGCCATTTCATTCTTAAAGTCCTGTGATTCAAAAAAATAACAGAGTAAATTTTCATTTACATCAGATTTTAGTAAAATAAATCCTTGAATTTTTTATTTGCTCAATTGTTATATCACAAAACTGTTTGATTCATCATCTACATATATATTATATATACTTTTAAAGTTTTCATCTAATTCTTTGTACTTTATATAAATCTTTTGTACTCTACATTGCTAAAATTGTAGAAAATATAATTATGAAGATACTGACGGACAAAGTTATAATAGCAAATCAACAACTGAAATGTTAGTAATCATATATCAACTTGGAAATAAGAAACAAAGACCCATATTCATCAAAGCTTAAATTTAGTAGTTTAAAATGTCCCAAAATATCTTGTAGATATTTTAAATGCTTAAATTTGATACAAACCTTTTCCATTCTGTTGAGAAGATCCTCGATATGGAAGTCTTTACTTGAGATAACCTTGACTTCCATTCTGTCTATCCAATCACAAAGATCCTTAAATTTCTGACTGAAGTTAGACCAGCGGAACATTGTGTCATCAATACGTTGTGCACGTAGACTGGCTTGGTTACGTAATTCATCCCACTGTTTGTTCAGCAGACGGATTCTCTGGTGAAGGACATTCAGGTCCTCAGGTTCGATAGTTTTGGACAGTGACGTCTCAAGGGCAAGAAGTGACTGGCGTTTTGGTTCCGCATTAGCAAAGGCAACTTCAATATCCTGAAATGCAATGTACGAAATTCATCAAATATTCAACCAGGACATTAACAAGAGCTGTCCGTAAGACAGCGCGCTCGACTTTTTTAGTGCTTGCCTATAATACAAAACATTGACAGTTAAGGGCCATAATTCAAATAAAATCTTTGACAGAATTACCTTCTCCTGGACATGTTTGGGAATCATGATTGTAAACAAGTATTCCAACTTTCAAATTAATATCTCAAACAGTTCAGTCAAAAAGTGGACTGGTACTAAAAACTTAACCAAGATTCTAAGTCGATAAAAGGCCTTAATTTTTAAAACAAATCCTTGACAGAGTTACCTTCTCTTGCGTACAGATGGGGTAATGATGTGAAATAGCATTAAAAGTTTCAAAGCAATATCTCAAAGGGTTAAGGCAATAAGTGGATTTTACCCATATTCAATGTATTTTCTAAGTCAAAAAGGGGCATAATTCTGTCAAAAAACCTTGACAGAGTTATGTCCTCTTGTCTGTTGATGAAGGTCGTGATGGTAAACAAGTATGGTCAGTTTCAAAGCAATACCTCCAATGGTTTTGAAATAAGTGAGGTGGTACAAAAAACTTAACCAAGCTCAATACACTTTCTAAGTCAAAAAAGGGCCATAATTCTGTCAAAAACCTTGACAGAGTTATGTACTCTTGTCTGTAGATGGAGGTTATGATGGTGAACAAGTATGGTAAGTTTCAAAGCCATACTTGTAATACTTCTGAAATAAAGTGGGGTGGTACGAAAAACTTAACCAAGGTGTGACGCCGACGCCGACGCCGGGGCGAGTAGGATAGCTCCCCTTTTCATAGAAAAGTCGAGCTAAAAATGTTGTCATCTGCTAAATAATATTATTGATTTTTTTCTAAAATGTCATTCAGTATTACCTTTGAAAAAAGAAATAAAGATGTCTCTAATGAACTCATTTTACTTACTTTGCATTTATGCATATCTGCTTGCAGCTCTTCATAAGCATGTGGAAGTGATCCTGTCAGGGATTTTCTGGTGTCCTTTAACCAGGTCAGTATTTCCTCAATATCGTCCTCACATTCCCGCCATTGTTTGAGGACACCTTCCAATTTCTCTCTCTCACCATCCAGCTTAACAAATATCTGGTGCCAGTGTTGCTGTACTTGTGCCATGCTGACCTTGATTTCCTCCTGTGCCTTGTTGTCAGCTCTCTGCAACAGTTGTTTCCCTTGGGTGTTCATGTTCTTGAAGAGGTCTTCTTGTAGTTTAAATTCATTTTGAGTGTTCTGGTGATTAAAATAAAAAACAAATATATAATACTTCTTGAACAACATAAATATCATTTCATAACAAGGAAAGACTTCAATGTCATACTGCAAACCCACCCTAGAAACATTTTATTTTTCAATAAATTTATCATTTTAATGCTCCTCTACATTTCCGCAATAATTTATTAGCAATAAATAGGCATATAAATTATCAGTCACAAAGATAACATCAGCAATCTGTGAAAAAAAGATCACTACTTAAAGAGATGTCACATAGTGATTTTGTAATATTTTTTTTTACCTTTGCCTTCTCAACAAGATTTTTCACTTTCTGTAAAGAGGCAGTGTCAAAGTTGAAGACAAGAAGGACCTCCTCCTTCTCCTTCAGCCATTCTCTCAACTTCTCTGACATATCATTAAAGCTCTGCCATTGTTTGATAGTGGAATCTATGATAGCCTTTCTCTGATTGGCTCTCCTGTTTACACTCTGCCACTGATTAGCCAATAGTATAAGCTTTTGCTGGAACTCATCCTTGTTTTCAATGTCACCTTCATTCATCATTGTCTGACCATCACTGATAATGGCGTGAAGAATTTGTTGTCTGCTGTATGACTCAGCCTCAAATTTCTTAAAAGACAAAATAAATGTGATTTGTAAAAAAATATCCAATCTTGTAGATCACTGAACATTTAAGATAAATAAAATAAAGACCCAGGAGTAAGAAATCCAGATATATCTTTTTAAATCAAAATATCTAGTTTTATCCAACATGTTTATTCAATTGTAAGAGAGTTTATTTTGGTGTCATTAAAATACAAGTCTCTAAAGCAGAAGTGATAAATAAAAGCAATACATAAAGTATATTCTCACCTCACATTTCTTCTGTTGTGCTAACAAATCTATCAAATTTCCAGCAATTTCAGTAGAAAGGTCAGCCTCAGTTTGAGCCAGGAATGTCATCCAGGTGTCACATTTAGACTGGAAATCTTGTTGAATCAAAAGCATTCCCTGGAGGGTTTTACACCTTTCTTTTGTTTCAGCAAAAAGTTCATGCCATTTATGATTCAAATCCTGCAAATCAGCTGCTGCGGTCTCATTCAGTGCTAGCCTGTAACCAAGGTCATTTAGTGCATCAAGGTTAGCAGAATTGTCATTAAACTGTACACAAAGTTCCTTAAGGTGTTCTAAACGGTCACCAAGAGCTTTTTCATCTGCTGATCTGTTTGGGTCTTCCATACCCAGAATTCTTTGGGCCTGAGAAACAAAAGCTTTCACATTATCAAAGGCTTCTTGGAATCTCCTCTGCTGGGACATGTCTCCTTGTAAACTCTGAACATGTTTTGCAAGCTTTTGTCGTAGTGTTAGCAGGCGCTGCTCAAGTCCTGAGAGTTTTGAGGTGATGTTAACTATTGATGATGGATCCATGTTCTTAGTGACATCTTCACCCATTCTGTACAAGTTGGCAAGTTGTGACTGGAAATGATCAAGGTCTCTCTGTAGTGTCTGAAAAAGAAGTTCAGATTAATAAGTGTGCAATTTAATACATCTCACAATAAAAAAGGTAAGTATAACAACATTACTTGAATTATACAATAGAATAATATAACTTGAATATATAACTTAAACTCTACACTTTTCATGAATGATTAAACAGAAATATGTTCCTACCTGACAATTTTTAAGGTTTGCATCCCTCCTTGTTCTTGGTTCCTTTCCATACACTAATTCATCACACAACTTATCCTTGGCATCAAGCCAAGTTTTAGCTGTGTTGTATTCATCCTCATAACTCAACCATTCTTGTAAACAGGCTCGGAACATTTCTGTCCTGGCACGTAACTCATTAAACACTTCCTGCCATCTTTTCTGTATGTCTGACTGTGTCTTCTTGATCTCTTGTCTAGTTGATGGCTCACATACTTGAGATAAACGGTTTGCAAGATTGGAAAATTTCTCGAAGCGAGAAACATGTCTTTCCATGTCACCCATTAAACCCTAAAATACATGATATAAATGATTCATTACAGCAGGCACATTAATCTCATAAGACTTAACATTTGATACCATGTTTCTATAGTAAACTATTGTAGTATCAATCTTCTCTTAATATGTACCTAGGAGATCATGTAATGAGCAAACCTCTAATTTTTCAACCTGTATTTTGAGTGCTGCTATGTCACCACCAAAGACTATTGCAATTTTATAGTATCAATATTTCCTTAATATGTACAGAAATGATCATGTAATGAGCCTACCTCTAATTTTTCGACCTGTATTTTGAGTGTTGCTATGTCACCACCAATGAGGTTATAACGTTGTAGACAGTACTCTGTTTCTGCCAGCGTCTGGTTTACAACCTGCAACTCACCATGGAAACTGTCCCATTGTGCCAAAATATCCTCCAATAACTTATGAACCTTTACAAATAAAGACAATACATAATAAAGATGCTGCCTATCTCATATGACTATGTATAAATGTACTTCTAAAGTTATATAAATGTTGCAAAACTTTAAATATATATGTGCATGTTTCTTCTTTGCTACTTATATTTGATCTCCTATCTAAACGATAGAGTAAAAGAATATCTGCTAACTTATAACACAAATAAATTATCAGTCAAGAGAGAATGAGACACTATTCAATAAATTCAGGTCACAAAAGTATACAATAAATCAAAGTGGGTTTCTAATATGATACAAGTATAATGGTTTTAGACGGTGATATTCTTACGCCCTGATTTGAACATTGACATCAAGTTTTTCCTTAATGTTCATCAACATTTAATTTAAGACTGTTGTAATACAATGTCTGACCTGAGGGGATGTCCCTCAAACTCAGCTGAACTTTAACACCTCACCTAACTCCTTTATCTGGTTCATCTCTATTTGCTTTGCTTTCAGTGTGGTCTGCAATGCCTGAAAAGGTCAAGGCAAAAATTTAAATCAACTGTCAATACTCAACAAAATAAATTTCATAACAGACAAATCTTTCATATTTTACTTGTGATCAATTACAAATTTTAATTAAATCTCTTCCAAAAAATGCTCAATAGGAAAGATAATTTAGAGTCAACAATTTTTTTAATATTGTCTGTCAAAATTTTTGTTGAAATATTACATGATAATCTAATAACCTTTGTTAAGTCATTCATCAAAATATAGGCTTAAATGACTAAGGTCTTATTTAACTAAGGTTCTTACCTTCACATCTTTCAGAGTCTGACGTACACTAACTTCATGACCAATCAGACGATACTTCTTCAACTTATCTTCCTGCTCATGGAACCAGCCAATAAATCGGGCAACAGCCTTCTCAAACTCATCCCATTGGTTATGTATAGCTTCAAGAGATTTGAGCCGATCAGAGACATGTTTGCTGACATCTTTCCAGCGTCCATTAAGCATCCCTAGACGCTCTGAAAACTCATTTCTTTCAGCTGGTGGTGGACCTTCAAGCTCATCTTTAGGTTGTAGAACATCTTGATTCACAAAGTCAACTGTTAACTGTTTACTTGACAGGTCAATCTTGTAGGACTGTAAGAGAAAAACAGATTCAATAATAAAAATAGTTTTTTCTATTTTAAAGAACAGATTAAACTATAAAATAGTTTAAAGACTATTTTCTTCTATATCATAGTAAATCCCTTACATTTATTGTGAGATATTGTTTTTTTAATAATATTTCTCATGTTGTTGAAATATCAAGCTCAAAATAAATTCTTTAAACATGTACAAAACATTAAAAATGATTATCAATTTTTGCACTGATCTTCTTTATAACACACCAATTCATAACTAATTTCAAAGCCTTATAACAGCACTGACTCTTACAAGCTACAAGATTATGATCAGTTCAATACTGAAGCCGTACCTTATACTTTTTAAGAAGTACTTCCATATCAGCCAGATTTTTCATTGGTTTATTTTTCTCTTCCTGTAGGGTCTCCTCTATCTCTGTAAGCCAGGCATTAAGTTCACCTAGAGCTTGTCTTGATGGCATTAGATCCATCTGTGCCTGGTGTAGATATTCCTCACTGTTGTTAATGTCATGTTCTAGATGAGCCCACTCGTGCTGCAGGTATTTCATCCTGTCCTCCAGATCTGATGTCTGATATACCTGACTCTGTTCTAACTGATTACCAATGGACAAAACTTTCTCCTTTAATGGAAGCTGGTTTTCAACTTCTTTTCTAAATTCCTGTAAATCACATTGAAACATTAGTAAGACCTTGAAAGTCGGATACTAAAATTTTAAATAAAGGCATAACGCAAAAACTTTATTCCTTAAGAAATCATTATTTCTCTATTAAAATTTGGGAAAAAAAACTTAACTGAAATAAATGACCCTTAAGTACTCTTCAAATTGTAAATTAAGAAGAGATGGTATCTGCAAATGCAAACAGAAAAATTCCGCTAAAGAAAAAGTAATATTAGAGGAAGTTAAAACACTAGAAAATTACATACAATAAAGACAACATACCAATATTTTGTCTATTTTTCCTCTCACTGTTGCTATGCTCTTGAGGTCACTAGAGGAAAGTTGTTTAATACTGTTTAGTTTTGATCTAGCTGCTGTAAGCCAAGATTTCAGTATAGCTGCCTCAGCTTCAAATACATGAAGTTGTTCACCCAGAGACTGAGATCTACAATAAAAACATTTAATCAATAAAATATAATCAAATTGACTTACACATTTTTTAATAAAATCAAAAATTACCAGCATTTGTATTTTTTTAAAAGAAAGCCAACATGTTCAAACTATCTATGGACTGAGGTAAGATTATACATAAAAACAAGAGCTGTCGGTAGGACAGCAACGCTCGACTATTCTTAGTGCTTGATAGTAAAAAAATGCTTGATAGAGTTAACTCCTCCTGTTTACAGGTTGGGGTCATGATGGTGAACAAGTGTGCAAAGTTTCAAAGCCATATGTCAATGGACTTTGAAAATATTTGAACTATTACAAAAACTTTAACATAAATTCTAAGTCGAAAAAGGGGCATAATTCTGTCAAAATGCTTGATAGAGTTACCTCCTCCTGTTTACAGGTTGGGGTCATGATGGTGAACAAGTGTGCAAAGTTTCAAAGCCATATGTCAATGGACTTTGAAAATATTTGAGGTATTACAAAAACTTTAACGTAAATTCTAAGTCAAAAAAGGGGCATAATTCTGTCAAAATGCTTGATAGGGTTACCTCCTCCTGTTTCCAGGTTGGGGTCATGATGGTGAACAAGTGTGTAAAGTTTCAAAGCCATATGTCAATGGACTTTGAAAATATTTGAACTATTACAAAAACTTTAACGTAAATTCTAAGTCGAAAAAGGGGCATAATTCTGTCAAAATGCTTGATAGAGTTACCTCCTCCTGTTTACAGGTTGGGGTCATGATGGTGAACAAGTGTGCAAAGTTTCAAAGCCATATGTCAATGGACTTTGAAAATATTTGAGGTATTACAAAAACTTTAACGTAAATTCTAAGTCAAAAAAGGGGCATAATTCTGTCAAAATGCTTGATAGGGTTACCTCCTCCTGTTTCCAGGTTGGGGTCATGATGGTGAACAAGTGTGTAAAGTTTCAAAGCCATATGTCAATGGACTTTGAAAATATTTGAACTATTACAAAAACTTTAACGTAAATTCTAAGTCGAAAAAGGGGCATAATTCTGTCAAAATGCTTGATAGAGTTACCTCCTCCTCTTTTACAGGTTGGGGTCATGATGGTGAACAAGTGTGCAAAGTTTCAAAGCCATATGTCAATGGACTTTGAAAAATATTTGAGGTATTACAAAAACTTTAACGTAAATTCTAAGTCAAAAAAAGGGGCATAATTCTGTCAAATGCTTGATAGGGTTACCTCCTCCTGTTTCCAGGTTGGGGTCATGATGGTGAACAAGTGTGTAAAGTTTCAAAGCCATATGTCAATGGACTTTGAAAATATTTGAGGTATTACAAAAACATTAACGTAAATTCTAAGTCGAAAAAGGGGCATAATTCTGTCAAAATGCTTGATAGAGTTACCTCCTCCTGTTTACAGGTTGGGGTCATGATGTTGAACAAGTGTGCAAAGTTTCAAAGCCATATGTCAATGGACTTTGAAAATATTTGAACTATTACAAAAACTTTAACGTAAATTCTAAGTCGAAAAAGGGGCATAATTCTGTCAAAATGCTTGATAGGGTTACCTCCTCCTGTCTACAGGTTGGGGTCATGATGGTGAACATGTGTGCAAAGCTTCAAAGCCATATGTCTATGGACTTTGAAAATATTTGAACTATTACAAAAACTTTAACATAAGTGGTTACGCCGACGCTCGGGTGACTGCAATAGCTCTACTTATTCTTATCGAATAGTCGAGCTAATAATGACATTCTGAATCTCTTTACTGAAGGCTTAAAACTAACATTAAAACTGACTTGAACAGGAAAGACTATAACTTGTTTACCTTTTCAATTCATGTGACAACTCTGTATTCAGATCCACCCATTTTTCAGCAACATCTGTGACTAGCATTTCAAGGGCGGGACAATTTACACTATGTAAGAGTTGTTTCCCTTTATCAACCACTTGAAATACTGATGGTTTTTCTTCACTTAACTCTCTCTGTAATCTCTGATAAGTTGTTATCTTATTTTGTATTGTCTGTAATGTGTCCTCATTTGCTATTGGTTTAGGTATCTGAGTCTCTATATCATGTAAGAAACGTTGTAATATGTTGAATTTTTCTTCCATCTCTGCCCATTGTCTGCAGAGACGGTCAAGTCGTTGCCCATGGAGACTAGCTTTGTCTTGTAGGACATATGTCAGATTACTAAGTCTGGTATGTTGTGGAAGATGTTTCTGTTTAGTTGCCTTGTCACATTGAGCAACAAGGGAATCTAACATTGCACGGTGAACTTCAAGGTCACTGAAGAAATCCTGAAATACAGATGTTTGTACTTCTATATTAAGGATAACATTATTCATCTACAGCTATTTCCGTTACAAAATCTTAACAGCTCAAAAATCTAAAGGAGCTTCCTTAAATTTGCATGATGAAGTGCAAGTTGTAAATGAGAGAGATATAGTAACAAAGGACTATAAGCTGTCAGTCTACATACAAAAAGCATGAGAGCAGGACAGACAGACAGGGGCAAATCTTAATCCTCCAAGTGGTGGTATAAAAATAAATAAAGATGCGTATAATGTAGCTTTTTTAATAGGACCTGTACCAACCATTCTGATGAAATAAATACAACTAATGTATTAACAGTCTTACTTTATGAGCAATGAGTTGTTGTTTGAGATGATCTAGATCTCGTGCTGAGATTTGTTCTGTTTTCAATTTGTCGTCTGCTGTTTCCAGGAAGTCAGCATAGTCTTGTAGAAGCTTTTCATACTGCTCCTGTACTGACACAGACTCTTGTAATGTTGCTTTCTTCTCCATTACCTGACAATAAATATGTCAATGTTGATTTACAACATGTAAGAACTCAGTTTTTCACTTTAAAAAAAATTTAAAATATTTTTAGCTTCATAATAGTCAGCTAGTGCCAGTGAAGAAATATGATATTCCAACTTTCCTAATTCCAAATGTTTGTCCCTTAAAAAATGTATTCCAGCCGATCTTTTTTTTCATTTTTACACCAATAAAACATACACAGGTCTTTATATTATCTACTAAAACAGTAAATCCAGTCTTGTATAAATTCTCTTAAATTATTCAAGTCCACATTGTAACTTTATTGAGACTTTTTTTTGTATGTTTTGTCTTTAAAAAAACAGACAGATATTCCAATGTAAAGTTTGTCCCTAACAAAAGTATTTCAGCCAAGCATTCTTTTATTTTTACACCAGTAAAACATGAACAGGTCTTTATTTTCTAACTCCAGACTCCCATAAATTCTCTTAAATTATTAAAGTCCACATTGTAACTTTATCGAGACATTTTTTTGTATGTTTTGTCTTAAAAAAAGGAGACATATTATTGATTTAATATCAGCTAACAATGCTGGTTTACATTACATGTTTACAATCTTACTGAGAATATTTCTTTTATCTCTTAACAAATACCATGCATTTTTTCATAAAAAAGAATTACTGGCTACAATGATATCTTTGCTGTAAGTACAAACATTTTATAAACATTTTACTCCATCGAACACTTGCGGTCTTAATCTTAAAATCTATATACACTCCAATTAATTTGAAATACAAATACATAATTTGAGTCCAGTATCAACACATCATGTACAAAGGTATACCACAAAATTACAGTAATTTGTTAAGTTTGTTAAGTTTAGCGGGGAAAACCAATAATTTATTGAACGCTGGTATTTACTATGATTATCCTTATGACAGCAGTAAATACCTCAAATAGAAAACGGGTTACGAGTTAATTATCTTGTCATTATAAAACCAACGGTTAAGTATTTACAATGCACATGTTGAGTACATTACAAAGTTTTACAAGCTGATTCTACATTAAAATATCGTACAATGCAACCACAAATAAAAAATGTTTCAAGGTATACATATCAAAGGCAACTTCTTATCAGAGGTTAAAAGTAAACTATAATTTTTTTAAATATTATTTAAAATCATACACCCTAAATTATACACTCTTATTATAATATCTCTGTAAATAGTTTCTATTGTTAAAAGTGATCTTTCAATTTATAATGTTAAGTACTATATGGCAGTTTTAGCTATAAATGTAACATATGCTATTCTTTTCATTGATAAAACACAACTTATCCTGAATTGTTACAGATTAACAAAAACAGCTGTTTAACACTTTTCATACTGAAAATTAACAAACCTTTCTCTGAAGGTCCATAAAATTGGACTGTAAAGATTCCATTTCATAAGGGGAGATAATCTCAGGGTCCAAGGAGGACAACTCTGACTGTCGCTTTTTGACACCTTCCAGCTGTGTCTCACATTTCTTCATCTGACCCTCAATTTTCTAGATAAAGCAGAAATATCATAATGTTTATATCATGTTGAACTTGTCTTTTATTCATATAATCTATGACATGAGCATTCAAGAAAATATTGATTGTATGGAAAGTGACAGAAAATCAATCTAGTGCAATATTTCATTTATTTGAAAACAATTATTAGATTACTGTAATGTTGTGAAGTTCAATAAAGTCATGCTTTGAATGAAAAAGATTCATGTATTCTTTAAAAGAGTTTATCTTTCTATCCAATTTGATAATTATCATTCACTTATTGGTTGTTATTAACATAAATTTCAAGTTTTGAAGTAAATTATGAGGACATAATTATGTTCATGCATTAATGTAGATATTATATCAAAGAATAAACAATTTAATATCAACATGCACTTTTAGATTTAAAAGATTGAATTCACACAGAAAGTTAAACATGCAAAAGAAAACCAAAAAAAATTTCTCATAGTAATATTCGGACAGGTATCATATTGCTATAAATAAATCATCTACAGTGTCATGCAAACCTTACTATACTATACACTCTGTATATATATATTTGTCTATAATATCATAAACAATTAAGGTTCAAGTTTATCAATTTAATTCTGTCACCAAAATGTTTATTGTAGGTTTATAATATTCTAAACAATTAAGGTTTAAGTTCAATTTAATATATTCTGTCACCTAAAGGTTTTATGTAGGTTTTTTTTTCACACAACAAAAATAAAAAATATTGAGCACAATATAAAGGCCAAGCAAAGTCAAACTGTTACCTGCTCATAGCCAATTGCATCCTATACAAGAAGCAAAGCACATAAACCTTACAATACTTGTAACACAATGATAAATGTTATAACATATTAACATACATGACTCAACGAAAAATATCCAATTGTCCTTGTGAAGGTCACTAGGTGTTAAGACAATAAAAGTCTGCCCAAAAACATATAATTTATGTACATTAATAACTTGTCTTGCACTGGCCTATGTCTGTATTTGTTTCATGTCTCCATAAACATAAAAGAGTTAAAAAAAACTTTTATACCTTCCATATATCTTTCAAAATTTCTATATCAAATCTTAGGTCACAATAATTTTATCCCTTTTTTTATTTTAATAAAAAAACTCATTTTTTCGCACATTTATCCATTTTCAATTACCTATCTCATTATTTCCAAATATCATAGAAATTCCACAGCAAACTTCCTTCTACAGTGTGAATATTTAGAGAAAAAAAATACTTTCAAACTGATTACATATCTCAATGCATTCCATTTAAAATTTAAAGTATATATGACTTAACAACTCTCAAATAAAAATATCCCAATTCTAATCCAAATGCTTATCTCCATACAATCAGAAATAAATTGATTTTACTATTTGATTCATTCGATAAACACAAAAATAAATAATGTGTTACTCTAAGGGAAATTTTCTAAAACTCTTTCATGATTTGTTTGACTTTGTAAATAAAGGAAATCCATGAATAATAATACATCTATGGAATAATGTCTCAAATAAGGCGTACCCTCTCAATTTACTATAATTAGAAAAAAATTAATTACATTTACTTTGACAACTCTGACTGTTAGAAAAGTGTATACAGTCAACTCCATGATATTTTTACGCCAGATAAGCAATTTTCATTGGCTTACTTTGATAAAGGTGTGTTTAAGTTTGGACTTCTGTAGTCGTAAAAATACTGTAAAACTTTTATGAAACAATTTATGGAAATCTCTTAAAATAACATTTATTTTATGGAATCCTGAAGAAAATAAAGTTATTTCAATGTAAGTTGTCTTTCAGCAAAAACAAAATCTCTAGGCTGATTAGTCAACCACCGATAACCAATGATATTATGATTTTATATTTATGCTGAATGAACTTAAAGTAGAATTTATTTGACAAAAATTCTGCATCGCATTTTCAAACAACAAACACATCAGCAGAAACAGTAGCTTTTACAAAAAGCAACGAAACAGCATAGCGATCAAATAATTACACAAACAAAATGTAAAAGTCACAATTTACATAATTGCAAGCTACAATTAAGGATTTCAAAGGTTTTAAAAGTAGGAACGTCTTTTGGCTTTGTTATCTAAATGGTTAATTTAAATAACATTTTTGAAATTAACCAATGAGAATACTGGTCTCCAAATATCATTTTAAAACCTTTGAGCATTAACGGAAACACCATTTTCCAGCAAAACTGAACAGAAATCTGAATAATGTGCACTCCAAGGTAAAATAGTGACTATTTCTATCTAAATAACAAAATTCACTTCTAAAAATAGAATATCAAGATAGTTCATCATTCGGACAACCATCTTTAACTAAAGAATAAAACAAAAGACAAGAAAGTCTAAATATTTTAGCTCTACTTGAAAAAAGAATTCTACTCTATCTGCCTTACACAGTAAGAATTTTTACCTCCTGTAAAGTTAGATAACATTTATACATAAATACTTATATCAGTAACATAGGCATGTTCACAGTTATACTTCATTGTATTTTATTTATACAAGAATTATCATAATCAATACATTTAAATGCCGTTCAATCTAAAAAAAACCCATCCGTAATACTTTCTGGTTTCAGGATCACCTAAAATGGGTTGGGTTATATGTCACACCAACACAGTACAGGTCATATTTTAGTCACCTAATAAGGTTATATATTTTACAACTGTTGTACTGTAAATGTGTGAGGTATGTATATGACATTAAATTGACCATAAACTGACCATAAACTGTCAATAATCAATATGCTACATACAACAAAGCCATCATCACATAATTGTATTGTTTAGCCACTGCACTATTCTCACTTACCGGCAAACTTAGCTTTAAATAGAAAATATTGTGAACAAATTTGCTTTGAATAGAAAATATTGTGTACAAATTTGCTTTGAATAGAAAATATTGTGTACAAATTTGCTTTAAATAGAAAATATTGTGTACAAATTTGCTTTAAATAGAAAATATTGTGTACAAATTTGCTTTAAATAGAAAATATTGTGTACAAATTTGCTTTAAATAGAAAATATTGTGTACAAATTTGCTTTGAATAGAAAAAATTGTGTACAAATTTGCTTTAAATAGAAAATATTGTGTACAAATTTGCTTTAAAAACAACAGATAGCAAGATGTCTACATTTAACATTGCTTTGTTTTAATGTGTACGATACCATAATAATACAACAACCAATTCAAAGTTTGACCTAACTTTACAGTTAATAATGGCAAAAAGATAAAGCTAATTTTGAAATCCAGGTCGTAATATAACAGTCTTCTTAAAGCAAAGGATCTTTTTAAAAAATCATAAAATGCAATAGCGTTCTTATTTAGTTAAAACTTTAAGACCCATATATAATGATAAAGAGTTTCTGAAATGTGGCACTGATCCATTATAGTCCTAATGATTAATGAATACAAAATTCTTCTGTATTAGGATTTATAAAAGACAGAATTCATGCCATCTTTGACCATGTGCTGATTAATTTTCTTATCATTTTAAATCAATCAAACAATCAACTAAACAAGGAATTAATTCTGTGAAGTTTTCACATTATGTGGATTTTTTTGTGCAGACCTATATACCTGGCACAACTTGATCTAGTGTCCTAAATGTACATGTATTGTGCAATTGTCTACATGCAAGCATTGATGTGCGGAACAATCTGATCTTTTAACAGATAATCTAAACAAAAGCTACTACATTTGAATATAAAAGCTTGTATAAAAATGCACCAAGATACCTTTAGTAATTTCAGAACAATATGACTGATATAAAAAGATGTTATTTGTTTGTAGTTAAAGTTTGTACATACCTGTATTTTATCCATCTGATGGGATATAGGAGCACTGTGTGTTGGACTTGCCATCATATCTCGTGTCTCCATCATCTTAGTTTCCAGGTTCTGTACCTCGTCCTAGAATAACATGTATTTTAAATGTATCTAAATTGTAATTTTATCAAGCTAATAAGTAGAGTGAATTATGGGGTATGAAAGATTTTTTTTTTTAAATCAAAGATTTGTTCAAGTGAAAAATATCTATTGATTTGTGTTCATTTCAAAGACATCCTGAATTAACCATAAACACAACTTCAAAGAAGGGAGATTACCATCCTGCCATTTATAAATAAAGAGAAAAAAATCAACATTTCCCTCACTATATCTCCATATCTGAATACAAAATCAAGTTTATTCAATATTGTTTTCACCCTGCCCTGAATAACATCATGTATTATGAAAAACATATTTGAGCTGAACAAGCTGAGAGAGGTTGGATTTAACAGACACAGAGTTTCTAAAAATTGATCTATAAATATACCTTGTAAGATTTGTAGTTTCTATCGACTGCCCGAAGTTTATCTCCCTGCTCCCTAGCCTGTCCTTCCAAGGTTTGAACCCGGTTGTTAAGGTTTGCAAGACTTTGTCGAATCAGATCATGACTGTCGGCATTGGTTACAGAAAGAAGTTCTTGCGCAGCACGTCCCATTGACTGAATTTCACCTTGCAGTGAGCGAATTTCTCTTTGTATGTCCTTAAAAACCAAAGATATGTACATCAAATTTTATTACAATTACAAGACATATTTTCTGAAATGACAATAGTTAATTTCCTACTGTATTATGGTAAAGACAAAGGCATAATGTATTTAAAATAACAAGACAATTAAGGTAGTTTTCTCATTTAAACAACTATTCTATACATAAATTGGTCAGTTTCATTAATTCTTTTCTATCCTAAAAATTTATCTGATAAAAATATACCTCATTTTCTTTAACTTTTTCCTCTGAGTTCATGGTTGTGTCAGGAGCAAACAGTTTTTGTTCAGCGAGATCTAACCAACTGGACACTTTATGTAGAGCATCCTGGTACCGTTGCTGGAACTCTAGAACCTTGTCTAGACGTATCTGCTTATCATCTACTTGAACCTGTAACTGTTTCCAGAGGTCATTAAGTGCACCTAGGTGGCGCCGCACATCAGTCAGTTTCGGTGATGGATCTCCACCATAGGTTCTACGGCCATACTTCTTTGGTCCAATCAGATCCTGTGATAAGATTGAGAATACATGTATTTCAAAATAACTACATGTACAGAGAGAAAGCAAATTGATTCCTTTTACTTTTTTAAACTTTTTAAAACTTTTTAACACAGACACTAATTTCTATAAATTTTATATGATATGGAGTCCTTGTATGACAATGAAAATAAAAGCAACTTACATCTGTTTTTCTAATAAGATCTTCAAGATTTTCTCTTTTCTCTGCCAATTCTCTAGATAGAGCCTCCCATCTTGGTTGTAAGGCCTCTTCACTCATTGGAGTGAACATGGTAGTCTCCCTTGATGGCCTTTGATGATCTCTAGCCTTCATTTCTGTGCTTAACTGATGAACTAAGTCCCTATGTTGAGTTAAATCACTTTGTAGTTGCTGAAATATCAAAATAAGCATATACATGTATTTACAACAAACAAATTGTTACACTATCAAAACATATATCTAAATGATGAATTATTTGCAAAGAAAAGCAAAACAAATCAAATATTTAATAAAACATTAATGACCTTAAGTGCATGTCCATAACACAAGAAAAATATATGGAACTATTTTTGTAAACTATATAAATCATGAACTTACATGTTGAAGTTCCTGTTTTTGATGTGGTGTCATGGCAACCATAGAAACATCTTCTGCAACAAGAGGAGCTTGAGCCAGTGACTTTGTATCTGTGATCCATTTCTGTAAATTCTTTACATTCTTCTCATAATCATCCATTTCTCTTGTTCTTTTCTCACTCTCTTTGATGGCAGTACGTAGAGGAGCTTGTTTTTCTATAGCACCTAGTTTGAGATTTCCGAGGTTTTGTTGTAAGGTGGCAAGTTGTGTGCGGAGTTTGTCTGCATCTTCAGGAGCCTCTAGTTCACACAGATTGTCACACTGAATGGCAAGGTCAGCTACATGCTGCAGACGACGGTTCAACTCATTCTGAAGATCCTTAAAGAAAATAAAATAATATGTCATAAGAAATAGTAAGAAATAATACAAATAATATTGTTCAATGAGTTAACCCTTACAATGAGAAATATCTTAAATGAATTTGCCCATTTATCAATCTGGACAAAACCGTTAATCATTATTAGGAAAATTTTTGTACCAGGTACTAACAACATAGTGAACAGTGCAGGTGGTGATCATATGGCTTGGATGTCTAGGGTAGAATCTGCTGCAGCCAACACATTAAAGATAAATGATTATAAAGAAATGAAATTACCAAACACATTCAATATACATTTTGTATTGATAAGTAGATGATCTTTTACATTACAGTTCACATTTGCATGCATTTAACTTTAGAAGTAAAGCATACTTTGTTTTCTTGAAGTTGTTGTTGTAGAGTTCCAACAGTGTCTGTTGCTAGGGGTGTGGCTGCTTGTCGTACTTTCATCTCATCCATCCATTCTTCAAGCTCCTTAACATGCTTCTTGTAGGCACCTAGTGCTACCTTATGCCTTTCTTTTCCCTTCATGGCATTCTGATAATATTACAAAATGTAAAATATTATTTAATTTAGTAAAAAGAAGTTGCAACAACAAAACTAACAGTAATCTATTTAACTTGTGATAGATAAAGTCAATTTTAAGTGTTGGTTATACACATGCAGTTTTTTGGGTATAAGAAAATAAAAATTTTAATATGACTTCAAATACTAGGCAAAATAAGGTAACAATAAATAAACACAACACTGTTTATTTTGGATGCAGAGCTTCAAAGTCCATAATTGGACAGATTTTATCAAAAGGCAAGGCTTTTGGTGTAATAAAAATTTATTAGTTCATACAAAATATAATCATTTCAGACATTAAAAACCTACCTGTAGTGTTTTAGCTTTGTCATCAGCCATTGCCTGTAGATTATCAATCTTGTCTGTTAACATGGCTAGTGTTGCCTGCATGGCTTGATAACCCTCCGGGTCTGCAGACTCCATTATCTGTCGTCCTCGCTCCTTCACTCGGGCTATATCCTCTCTGATACATTCTATTTCTTGTTCAGCCTCCTGAAATTAGTAATAAACACAACATAAATATAAAAGGTTGGTCCATTTAGTTCTGATTTTACTGTAAGCATATCTGGAAAATTGGGGGTTTAGTGGTTTGAAGGTTTGACTACAGCATTAGCTATAGCTATCTAGGTTTGACTCCTGGTGAATATCCTTACTAGTTTTCAGAGCTAGTTGTTTGTTAAACTGTGACAGGGCTAAGCATTATTGGTCAGGACAAGATAAATGTGAGTCAAATCTTAGTAACAGAAGACTGCTAGAAACAAGGTATAAATAACTTGTCATGCCCAATTACATTTACCTTGGGAGTTTTATTATATGTCTTGAAAACCCAAATTTGAAAAAAAAAAATCTGATACACTGACTTTTCTGTCTTATCTTCCACATACCTGTTAGGTTAAATATTTAATTTGTTAAGTGAGTAAAGTCAGCGTTTATTTCTGGATATGTATACAATATTGAAGCTGGCTTCGTTCCAGCAGTAGAGATCAGCATATCCAAGTAGGGAAATATTTAACTTATTTAACCTTCAAATGGTTTACTAAATTAACTGAACAAGATTGAATATCCTTTAAATCTTAACATTCATTAAGTTTGGCAATAACACAAATGACATCCTACCCTTTACTATATTTGTACCTTAAAGCATGATTAATAATAACAGATTTAAAACTAAATTTTTTGTGACAAGTTTGTTGATCTGTTTTGCTACCTTTTGAAAACTTTTCATAAAAGGCACACACTTATTTCATACAAATTTAGACAGCTTATCAATTTTGATGACAAAAATTTCGATAAAACTGTGTGTTTATCTGTTGTGTATATTATTTTATGACAAGCAATATTTGACCAGTACACTCACAAAATACTTGACAATTCTATAAGAGGATAAATCAATTTAATGACTCAAGTTCAATAAACATATCAAAGACCTGAATGTACTTAATGCTGGGGATAAACCATTTTAATTGTAAAATGGATCGTAATCATGGAAACAATATTGCTTTCTGTCTTATGCTAGGTTTCAACTTCATTAATTTATTTTGCTATATATTTTAATTTCACATTACATTATAAATGGTATTATTATTTAACAGAAAAAAAGTCATTTAGATGAGTTTTTTTAATTTTTATATTTTTAGTTGGGTTGCAACCACACAGTCATATGGTGATTTTCCAGCTTGACTGGTGGAAGAAGACTTCTGGTACCTGTCCGTGCATTATTTTAGACACCAGCAGGCACATGGAACACCACATTCCATAAGCAAGCTGGATAGCTTGTTCACATGAAAAAATCCAAAGTCCCAGGCATTTAAATACATTTTGAAAAGATACTTTTGTTGTATGTGGTAAAACCAAAAGTGACTGCCTCAAATTCGAAACCAACGGTCTCAGAAACAATGATATACAACCTTGGGTAAAACTCAAATTATAATTTTAGATACCAAAACACATTAGATGTACCTAAAGTAAGCACAACCAATTATGGTAAAAAGAGTTTTCGCTTTGAAGCATCTAAAATCTGGAATAGTTTATCTAATGATCTCAGATGTACATCTGACTTAAATGAGTTGTAACAACTAATTGAAACATGGAGTAATGACAAGTGTGCCTGCTCTATGTGCTTCTAATCTTTTTTCAAGTTTATGTTCTATTTTACTTGATTCCTGTTTTTTGCTTGTAAATAAATTTAGTTATCTTTTCCTTGAATTATGTACTATGTATCTGTATATATGTAAAACCCTGTTTTACTACCTTCAATAGATATGACTGTATTTTCATTGTAAATGCTCAGATTTCATTACAATGACTATATGAATTAATTGTATGTTTTATTATCTTATAGTTTCTGTTTATTTTTGTTTCTTTGTTTCTTATTATTATTTTCTATTTTTTGTTCATGTCGGATACAAGCTTAAAGCTTATGTTTTGTACTGTTAACCATAACCGACTATAAATAAAGTTTGTCTTACTGTCTTATCATTAGGAACATTTTAAACTAATTCTTTAATTTCCAGTCCATTATTGGAATTTCTATACATTTTGATGATCTCTCCATAATATAAACATACTATTATACAGGTACAGTGTACAAACAGATTCCAAACCTAAATCTAAAATATACTAGATAATTCAATGAACTGTTCAAACTTATTTTAACTTTAGCCTATCGTAACATAGTAAGACAGCAATTTCAATACATGGAGGCCTTATCTTCCTACTGAATATACACCAATGATTTCTATAACTTAAATACAGGTCAAAATAACCATTGCAAAGGCAACATCAAAAGTCACTCTTTCAGTTTAGAAAATTGCAAGGCTAGCTAAATTAAATATTTATTCTACCCCATTGAAATTCAGATTTCACTTTTAAATAAGGTTTAAATCTGGGATAATGGTAGACAGAAAACACTTAAATCAGAATAGTCAATGAGTAAATCTGAAGTGTAAACTAACACAGTTATTTCTATTACATCATTTTGCTATTACTTATACCTATCTAAAAACATAATACATTGTACACTTTTACTTATACCTATCTAAAATATTTTTGGAATAAAAGAAAAAGAAACTGTAGAATTTATAATATTTAGTTCTATTACTTTCAATTTTGTTTAATAACTGTCCAAAATTAAGATTTGTTTCTTATGTTCTCTCAAACGGAACAGGGTCAAAAGCTGTAAAGAATTACTTTAAGAGTGATAACAGTTAAACTATTGCTTTTGCGGTATGGTAACATATGTATGAAAAAATACACCTAAATTTAAGCATCACCCATCCCTCCAAAACAGTTTTTTACTATATAAATGAGCTCTAGTTATTTTGTAGTTACAGTGTTGTCATCTTGTTCACTATCATCCATGAGACATGTGAAAATAAATTAGATAAGAAAATAGTCTGTGACAGCCCTGCTTGGTGATGTCTAATCTCATGCCAACAATCTAAAATACTTCCAGTCCTTTTTCTTCTACCTGTATTCATTTTTTGATGCAATAAAAAACTTGGGGTTGGTGTTTTACTTTATATTTCAAGTATTTTAAGAGTGTTCATTTCAAAAGAAAAAATTGAAGACTGAAAGATTTGGCTATAACAAACCAAGACAATCAAAGGTAGATTTTTAATAAATCAACTCAGTTATTATTTTATAAACTTACACTACGAAAAAAAAAATCCCCCAAAACACACAAAACAGTCAGGATTTTTTTTCATATAAAATAATTATATGAATGAAATATTTGTATTGAATTAAAATTAGTTACAAACCAACCTTTTGATCTTTAATTTGTTGATCGAGATTTTTGAACGGAGACGTCCCAAGACTGGCGAGTTTTTGTTGAACACGTTCCATACGTGCAGTTACATCCTGTACAGTAGACTGGTACCGTTCTTGTTTCTGTATGGCTAGCTGAAGCTCACGCTCCTTCGTACCAAGCTGTGATGACAAAGAACAATTATTATTTTCTACATCAGAACTTTCACCATTTTCTACATCACTTACAGTATTGTCATCATTTTGTAATCCACTACTCCTTGGTAATTCTTTAATCCCTGTCACTGAGTATTTTGTAAATTTTTTCACCTTTGGTGGGGGAAGATTTTTCAAAAAGGGAAAGATAGTATCTTCAGGCACTTCATCTTTAGTATTACCACCATTTGCTAATTCATCTAAACTATTGTTACTGTTAGTTCCTGAGTTAAGTGATTGTAATGACTGAGCGGGACGTAATGTTTTTGTCCTTCGACTCAGATTATGATTTCCGACTAACATTGTTGCTTGTTGATCTTAACCTTTTATGTATATTTGAATTGTTACAATGACAAACATGAAATTCCTGATCAAATAATTGCGTACTCTTGGTTTCAAACTAGTATATCCATTGTTAAACCCTAATTTTCATGTCATTTATTATTGAACAGTAATTCATAGTTTATTGTTCAACAAACCATTCACAAACAATGGCCAATGAAAAATATGCAAAGTACTTGTGCAGCATTATTCAAAATATTCAAAGTAGAAAAGCAAATTTGATAATCGCGTTTTTAAAACTTTAAGCAGCTAGAAGGAGATAAGGCTTTCATTTCTTTATTAATCCATACTACTTAACTTTGATTTACTGAACATTTAAGGAACAGTATCATATCTGAACATTCACACTCTTAAATGATCTATCAAAAGTTCTATACCCTTCTTAATCTTACAAATTTAAAATGCCCTAAAATCTCAGGTGGTGTATTAAAATCCATTTATCACTCTTTAAATTGATCAATAGACTCAATTTTATGTCAGTTCCATTTGCTTATAGGTCATTTCATGCTTTTTTATAGTAAAGTCTGAAATATTTCAAGGCACTCCAGATGAGAATCAAGAACTTGTATATTTTATCTTCAATCTAAAATGCCTTAAAGTCACATCCACTTTAACTATTTTTCATTTCTTAATTCACATAAAATCATGTTTCAACCATAAATCCTCGCAAATGTGTTTGTCTGTCCGTACATTGAAAAATAACCTCCAAGTTCTCATCTATATATGACAAAGTGCGGAGATCCTTGCAATTAGAAAGAGCGTGCAACTTTTGACCTACAGAGGTTTCAATTTGTTAAATATCCTTTTCAAATAATTAAATGAAGCACCACTAAGTGTTTGTATTCTCTTGCACCTTAAGCCTTTAACGACCTGTCTTTGAAAGCAATTACAGGTAAAAACTACTGATCAATTATTTTAAATCCCCATTAGTATCACCTATATATTAACTAGTCCGTTTATAAAGTAATAATCATTTTGATAAGCAGCTTAAAAAATTTGTGAGGTCAAGAATTTCGAGCTGCGACACAAATTAGTGATCCGTCTTAAAATTTCTCTTTAAAAAAAAATCCATTCCAGAGACAGTGTGACAGCAATGTCACAAACCTTTAGCATAACATTTCTCTTATTTCCAGATACTTTGTTTGACATAAACAACGTAACAACCAATTTTGATATCAGATGTGATAAAAGCACTTGTCTAGCACCTTAATTTTTGTAAATATTGGACAAGCCTACACCCTCGGCTATAATGTCCTCACAATGATAAGAAATATATTAAAATCTGAACAATGTCTGTAGTCATTTGACCTGTCCCTAACATGTCAGTTACCTAATCTTCATTATTCAAATATTTCATGTCCATTTTTAAATGTCCATTCCGTAACTAATACTGTGAGCATTTTTTCTTAAATCAAAGGCGTGAATTTCTATTTTTCATATTTATAACTGGTTCATTTTATATTAAACTTATTATTCTTAAATCTTTAAATTTCAGAAGTGTATATAACACATGTTATCTTTCAGAAAGATAAAAGCAATTGAAACCAATTCATTTACTTTAAACACTGAAAAGAAAGTAATTGATTGTTCAGTATCACATTTGAACCCTGGGCTAGAGTCACTGGTGAATAATTTTATCATGAATCTGACTTCCACTAATAAATAAATACAGAGTAATTCAAACATTGTAACTGTAAGCTATTGGAATAAGCTCTTCAACATTTGACTACAAATAGTTGATTAATGATAATATTTTATGAGATTTTATACATGAATAAAAACATCAGAATTATTTATGAATTGATTAGTTTAAAGGTATGTGGTCAGTTGGATGGATGGTTCAATATAACTATGTTTGAACATAACAAATCTATAGAACAACTTACAGTAATATTATATTTAACCCTTTATTGAGAAGTACTTCTCTTCTGAGGCCAAATTGATTAAATTTTGAGTAAATAGAATTGTTAAATATTTTATTGCCCTTAGTAATTGTTAACCCACTAAATGCAAATATGACTTCTGGAGTTAGATAACATAGTTAACTGCATTATAGCAGTAAACAATGATTAACCTGCATCTATAAAAGTTATGTGAGCCACCAATACTGAGTCTAGTCAGACCTGATCAATTTAAAATTCTTTATATTAAAACCCCTCGATGAAACTTTATTCATGAACACTATAAACATTTTTATGTTATTAATTACATATCAACATTTTTATGATACTGTTCATTTGTAGCATTAATTCTTATTGAACTATGATTTACTTGGCTGCTGCAAGTTATAAATATATTTTCTATTTTAATGAAAGAAAGCAACTGCATAGAATATAAAATTTACAAAGGTTAGAATGCTGTGTCCTACGATTTTATATGTTTTTAACCTTTTAGACTTTAATTATAAATTACAATTACATAATTTTATAACTGTTCATGATTCTGCTAAGGGATTTATCTTGATATCAATGTGATTTTTTTTTTGCTTTTTGTTGTTGTTGAAAATAACAATTGTCTAATTGCACATTCATAGAATTATCTATTTGGTTTACATTAACAGCTAGAGGTATATGTGTACTTGAAAAAACAACAAATCACAGAATTGTGGTCTACTGGCCTCATAACCTATATTTATTATTTTGATTTTATTCACTTTATTAAGTCCTTTAATCCTTAAATGGATTATATCTTATTATATGCTATTCTATCTACTTCATTTCTTTAAGATCTATAAATAAACCTGTCATTTATTCTGACCATATTCCGAATATTGGACAATCAGCAAATTTGTTGCCAAATTAAAAACTACAGTCATGCTTCTATAATTATACCATCATCACATACTAAGTAAGTTATATAAATGATAAATATACAATGTAATAAATAATTGTTGAACTTTTTTTTTTAAATATTAATTTCATTCTCTTAATTGCGAACTCATTTGCTTACTTTCTACACGTATACAACATGACTGTATAATCTATGTCAAAACATAAGTACAACATAAATAAAAGGAATTTCAAATCTAATTACATGTAAACAAATACAACTTTTGGATGAGGAAAGAAAAGTTCTTATCCCCTAATTCAACATTATAATTCCTATAATCATTACTATATATGATTCCAACCACCACCATTTCAGATTACCTCCACATTTATATATATTATAATAAATATTTTTAATTATTGTTTATATTAGATACATGTTTAACATTCTTGTGCAAGGGATAGAACAAGCACATGAAAACAACATTCAGTCAAGATGCATACAAATATGCAATACATATATTTGAAATATTCTATAAACATATACCCATACCTGCTTTTGTAAATTTTGCCATGAAGAGCTAAGGTCATCAAACTTAGAGCTGCGAGATGCACTATGTGACCCTAGCAATGACCCTGAACCTCCAAGGCGTGACCTTGACCCAAAAGATGAACTGCGATCCCGTAACCCTTGGAGATGCGGATCTAGCAAGCTTGGAACACTCCGTGATAAATCCTAATATGGTGAAAACAAGCATAGGGTACAGAAATAAATAAACCACAACACAACACACAGAAATAGTGATAGTCTAACACACAAAATATACTGCTACCAAAGCTGTCTCACAACCCAAAGCAAAAACCAAACATTTTACATTCAAACTACATATAAGTTAGTTAAAAAGTCAACATATAAAAAACTTATGTTAAAATGTCAATCATTAATATCTTTCCGATACTTTTGCTATAAATCTTATTTCCTTTAAGAATTGATTTTCCTTTGACATAATGATTTGCTGACTTTCGCTTTTAGTAGCCAAAAGACATCTTATTCAATTCATGGGATAAAAATAGCTGAAATATTAATATTGATCACTTATCTGATAAGATATGAATATTGATTATTACTTTTTGAGGTTTAGCGATTGATTTTACAGCACTTGTAAATCTTAATTGAACTTGAATCTACCAGGTAAAAGGGGTACATGCAATAAATATATACATATTGGTTGATACATGTATGAGGCATGCTTGGGCTATGCAGTTACAGTCGAACATGCATAAAAGAACATGTATTTAAGGTGTTCATTGTCAAAACTGACAATATTTTAAAGAGTCTGCCTGCTATTACACAAGTTTGAAAGATATTTGGTTATTACTGATTCATATTTAACAAAGATTATTTTAATATTTATATTTAGTTCATGCATTTTATTTCATGTTAAGTAGCATTATTTTTCTAGCAAATCAAGTAGCTATATAAGAAATTTAAAAACCAATCATAGATGATTTCCCCTCAGTTATTTAAGCTACTTATGTGTTTGTTACAAAATTAGAGTAATAATAAATACACCAACCGGATCCCATGCTCCCTTGTTAGATTTGCCAAGCATTTCTTTGTTAGTGCTCCCTTTTGAACCCATTGACCTTATCTGACCTGATGTCAAAGACTTTGACAGTGGACCTGAATACTGGTCATCTTTATCCTCCTTCCTTGGTTTCAAACCTTTACTGTCTGGTGAAAGTGACCTGTGACCCCTTAACCTATCTAGAGATTTTGTCTTTGAAGCATTTCCTTCTGTTGACCTTGACCTTGGAGGCAATGTCAATGGAGATGGTGACCTTGGCATGTATGACTTTTTACTATCTCTCTGATACATAGAGCTTGGTTCCTGCTCAACTAGTTTTAAATCAAGGTCTTGTCCAACAGAATGTTCACCTTTTACTGGACCTTTAATCCTTTGTTGACTGTCATCTTTAATTCTAAATGATTTATCTTTAGCATTAGTTCTTTGACTTGGATCTGTATTAAAATCATTTGCCAAGCTGTCAAAAGATTTCTTTGTTTGATCTTTTTCATCATCCCTGTCCATTCCAAGTTTTGAAGCTAAATATTTGGACCTAGGTTTATATGGTGAAAGAGCTTCTGCTTTTCTTTGTTTAAGGGCTAAAATTTCCTCTGGAATTTCCTCTTTAGATGCATGTCCCATTGGTTGCTTTTCTTTAGATGACCTTTGTGAGGGAATAATTTGATTGGTCAATGAAGATGAAGGTGATGCTGTCATTGGATGAGATGTTAGTGAAGCTGTATCACCACCTTCAGAGTCAGTCATTCTAGGTTCATCAGAGCTTCCAGATTTTACACTTCCAATATCACTCATATCATAAGAAGATCTAAGGGACTTAGATTTAGGCTGTCCCTTGTTAACTCTGTCAGAACTATGCCCTCTCTTTGGAGACATAATGTATGTACCTGGAATTTCAATTGATAATTCCATTGTTTCACTATCTGGTAGAGATGGTTCAGAATATGGCCTCAGACCTTCTGATAAACTTCTTTGTGAACCCCTAGATGTTGGTGAGGAGAAATTAAAACCACTATCAAACTGTGTTTGATCCTTGTCATCAATATGTGACTCAGATAATGGTGTACTTCTTGGAGAAAGGCTAACATTAGGTCTAATTCTAGTAGCACCTGTTGTTGGTAACATAACTGATGGGTTAGATTTTGATAAAGACATATCAACAACAGGTTTAATTCTGTCACTTTTTGTGGGTGAAAATTTGCCAGGACCTTCTGGTAAATCAGAATTTCTATAAGCTAATTCAGTAGTTTCATTCCATGGTAACCCTGTGTCATCATCAGCAATGGATGCATCGAAAGGTCCAAGACCATCCTTGAATAGTTTAAGAGGATTTTGATATTGATATTTAATACTATGGTCAGGTGATCTTGGTGATGAAAGCGGTGAAACATAAGGTTGTAGAGGAGCATTTAAAGTGTTAACAAGGTCAAGTACACGTGTCTCACGATCTCCAGTATGGTAAAGTTTTCTAGCACAGAGGGGTCCTAGGTCAGCACTCCTCTCAGCTAAATAATGACTTTTCTCACTTATTTCATTGATTCTAGCCTGGTAAACTTTAATTTGCTGAGCTAATTCCTGTAAAAAGCCCCAAAACCAAAAATATCAAGCATTAAAACACATGCAAACTAAACAACACACAAAACATGCACAGTTTATATTTAGTGACATCAAATTAAAACCATAACCAAAACTGGAAAAAAAGTTTATTGAGGTAGAAAACTTATACATATAATCTTCTCAATAATACAGGAAGGTTTACTTCCCCTTCAAAGTGTTATATACAAGTGTAGTAAACACAAATAATATACTGTTTACATTGTACTTCTAAATTCTTTATAGTAAAAAGATTTAATCATGTTTTTAAATAAATTTTCAAAGATCAATAAATGTCATCAAGAAATTCCTTAAACAATCCTGAATTCAAATGGTAATATCTTATCAGCAGAGAGCTCCTTTTGGCACTATTTCAAAATCATTCAACTTCTTGAATCAGATTTCACGGGGTTAAACAAAGCTTTACTAAGACTTGTAACTCATGAAATATCTCTGGGTATTGTTAAATGCTGCATGAAGTTAAAGTTAAATCATGTGATCAAACAACTATCTGATTACAAAACAGATATTGTTTCTGACAATAAGTACATGATGGGTGTGTATATTGATAAATGACTTGACAGTTAGTGGGGTAAACTCTGATAGTTGGTGAAGAAGTTGTTAAAAAAGAAACAATTAATACTACAAAATATATAAAATATATCATATATACAGCCTATATTTAAATACTATATTGCAATAATGTGATTGTCCATGATTGAAAAATTATTCCTTCTTCACTGAAGTTTTTTAAATTTTTTAAGACAATCAAATAATATTTTATCATACCCATACATTTATAAAGCTAACTTGTATTTTTGACAAAGTTGTTGTCCTATAATTTAAATCATCAACTTGAGAACGAAGAGTACTTTCTTTAACAAAAGAATTGATTTTCCCATACAAATTATGAGTACAAATTATAGATAATTATTTTCTTTAGAAAATACAAAACTTCCACTATAAACAAAACATGGTTACAATAATTGTTCATATTGTAAATCATGACTAATTATTATTGAATGGTTTGAAGAAAAACTTTAACTACAATTATTTCAGATAGAATGAAAATAGAGGCTTTAAATCATGGGAAGTCCTTATTAATTATCAATGAAATATTGTAAATGGAAACATAAGAATAAATAATTCTAATCCTTGAGCTCTATTTCCTAAAAGGACATGCACATACATCTTAATAAATGAAGCCTGGTACTTTTTCATTAACATTAATGAAAGAAGATAATATCACAATGTCCAGTTTTGGTTTACTTGGTTAGTGCTCAAAATAAATGCAATTAAAACCTGTGTTAATTACGTATCTGTCAAGTTCAGCTCAGCCTCAATATATGCAAATATCTAAGCTACAAAAACACACTATGGTAAGTCAAGCAGACTTGCAGAGCACACAAACACCAGTCCTCTAGTTGCTAGAAGCCATCAATTTTACTGTGACATACCGGTTAACATTAAAGTTATATTACTAGTTTGATATGTAAACAAGTAGTTAGATCTATTATAACATTGTTTCTCACTATCTTTTAGTTAACAACTATATTATACACAAGGGACATTGTTTAAATTAAAGTTTAATACAAATAGAGGTAACTTTTACAGTGAAGAAGACTATGACAAAAAGAAAGATGACAAATTATTATAATCATTCTAAGACAATTAAAAAGTATTTAACATTTTTGTAAACTACTTCAACTTACTGGAATAAAAACTGGTTTCCACATTTCTATGTTTTCTGTTCGCCAAGTTTGATCACCAACGAAAATCAAATTTGAAAATTTCCAACTATCGTTTCCTTGGTAACCTATCAAGTTTTTAAGTTCATCATCTGGTTCCTGATAAATTATTCCAAGTATCCATGCAACAACACTAACCATATAGAGCCATGTTAAACTAGAAGTTACTCTAGTGCTCCTTGTTCGAAACAATAGAACTAATATTCCTTAGATACAATGCCTTAACAAAATATTCTGGATAATTTCCAATCATTTTATTTTAGTAACTGCACACTTGTCAATTATTTTGGCCAAGTAAGCTGTTTTAATTCATATCTTACAAAGTTCTCATTTTAATAGAATAAAATTTGGCAAAACTCACAAATATATCAAAACAGCCAACCATAAGTTTATTATATTAGTAAATGTATCAGAAAAATCTAACATGTTTAGATCTGCAGTCTTATGATAACCCACTAATTACAATGCCATATAATTAATTAACAAAGACTCTTTTGATTGGTTAAAACAAAATGCTGAGTGTCATATGATAAGGAATTTGATAGGTCACTTGGTAGTTGGAATATTGACAAATTTGATTTATAACCAGTAGTAAAATTTATTTTAATGCTGGTGCAACTTGTAGAAATAATTTCCAGAGAAAATTTTCATAAGTAATAAAATCCAAAATATTTGAATACTTTTAATACAAAAAGAGTAAAAAGTTTAACCAAAGTGCTTAAAAATTCTAAGAGGTGTGAAGTTGTTTACATAAAGATGTGGGAAAAATAAGGAAAAAGACTACTGCAAAAAGGAAATTTTAGGAGTGGAATTGTGAAATCTGAAGAAAGTAAATGTTTAAACATAATATCTAATGGAATTTACCATATAAATAAACAAGTCAAAATGATGTATTCATTGAACTACAAATTCCTGGAATAACAACATGCATGCATGTATACTGGTTGCATCATTCCAAGTTAATGAATGATATAAATGATATAATACACAAGCTAATTGTGCATCTCTAATGTTTGTACTTACATTGCGTTCTGTTATCTGTGCCTTTAAATCATCAACACTGCTGGCCAGAATTGGAGACCCAAGAAGTCTTTCCTGTGATTCGTTGATTGATGATGAGAGTGATCGTAATTCAGCCTCGTAACGATCTTGCTGATCTACAGCTTCCCGTAATTCATCACGATCAGTGCGAGCCTGGTCAAGGAGTGTGTTTATCTCGGCAGCAAGATTAGTGTTGTGAAGTCGAGATTCTTCTCCTACAGCGGCATGTAGCTCGGCATGCTTTTCTAACACATAGAGTGCTTTCCCTTTATGACCCTCTATGTCACTAATGAGATTCTGAAATATAAAAACCAAGTTATCAAAGTTAATATTTATTTAATGGAAAAATAAAACACTCTTGGTTGTATACCTTTGTGTCAGATTATTATACACTTGTATATTATAACTGCAACAAACTGAACTTCTGAATTCATTAAATTCCTATTTCTTCCATATGCTGTTATATACATAATAATGATTAAGACTTTCAAACTTTATGAAATAACACAGCATTTTATATAAATGATTACAAGCAGTTTTATTTTCAATATTAGAAAATATTCAATTTTTTTCCATGTTTATATCCAAACTTTCCCTATTTTCTCTCATATTTTTCATGACATGAATAAAATATATCTACAACTTAATGTGAAATTATTTAACTTCGAGTACACACCTCTTGCATGTGAAGCTGATCTTTTAGTGTCAATGTATCATCTCTCATTGTAAGATGGGCTCTTGTTTTCTCCATCCATTGTTTAATATCTGCCAGTTCTATTTCATACTCTTCTATCTGTTCATTGACATCTTCCAGGTCATTCACCTTGTCTGTAGTTTTTGCCCTTACATCAAACGTTTTATGACTCAGATCAGCAAGCTTCTCCATCTGAGGAACTGTGTCACACAGAGGCTCCATTTGTTTCACTAAAGCATTCAGATGACCAAGTCTCTTCTGCTGCTGCTCCGACTCCTTCAAAAGCTTCTGCAAATGTTAAAAAGATCTTTCTTTAACAACTCTGGAAATATTTCTTTCTTTGCAATGATCATTACAATTTATCATTTTTAATACAAGTACTACCAGTAATTCATATAAAATGTAACAGAGTACAATGTAGTATTATACAAAATCAAAATGAAAATGAGACAAAATAATTATAACCATCAATAATTATTTTAACAATAAAAGGCCCTTTAAAACTTGCATTGTGAAGAATATAACAAAAATAACAAAGATGCTATCACTGTTCCTTATTTCAAAGACTGTAATTATCATATGTAATAGTGACAAGTTGTTTTATACTTTATAGTTGATAACAAATCTTTAATTCAATGCTTCTTTTTGAACTTATTATCTCATACCTATTGAAAAATCAAAGTGTCCAAATAAAACATGGGTACTTGATAAAGGATTTTAAATTGGGAATTTAAAGCATAAAATGTTGATTTATAGGACAATTGTAGTGGTAATATACAACATTATTAAAACTTAAGTTTTATAACATCTTAGTTTATCTTTAGGCATGCTTCTTCAACTTGATATTGCTTTAAACTTTAAAGTTTTTGTAGAACTCAAAATAATCAAATAAGTTTTTCAAATAAATTTATGGCTGTTGTAGGTAATGGATGTTTAATATAAACCAGGGTGAAAGTCACTTTTAATATATTCCTTTTTGTACAAGCAATATGCTTGATGTTTAGTTATCATAAGCAAATCTTCATTAAAAATTTTGCATATTCTTTACATAAAACATTAGGCACATTTCACATGGTCTTAATCAAATAAATTCCATAGCGCCCACTTTATGCATCACTGGAATATTGGATTTAATGGTATATCAAGTTCTGTAATAAAACCGAGCCCATTTTATGTAAATCACTATTTACTCTGGTTACATAATTCAATATCTTAAATCACATAACTGCAATACATTAAAAAGATGCAACGTTCTCTCACACCTGCAAAATACCATTATTCTTATTATTTACTATATTCATTTGTGTACGAAATTCTTTAATAGATAACATTTACTACAAGTTAGAGATAAGAACTGACCTTGCTAGATTTAAGTTGGTCCCTGACTTTGTCAAAGTCTACCCAGGTTGGTTCTACAGTTATCTGTTCTTCTGACTGTTCTAACCATCTCTCTATAGCTTCTGCTGTCTCTGTAAAACTTTTAGCAAGCTGATCAGCCTCTTTCAGTTGTCTCGTCTTTTCCCCCGCCTTTGTTTGTACCGTAGACCAGGATCTGTTGGTGTCGGCTAGAGCTTTTTGTATGGTCTGTTTCTCTACAGGGTCTGAACTGTGTTTGATGAGGTCACTACCTTTGGTGCGGAGGGTATCTAACTTCTTCTTGAATGGATCAAACTCTCCAAGCAACTCCTGCAAAGCAACATAACTCTTAAAGTAAATGTTTCAGAGATTACCTAAATCAAATATTCTATGGAATGAAATTTTAAAAAATACTACACAATAACATACAATCTTTTACATCAAGCCATTTCTTTATAATATTGTTATATCCTACAAAGAATCATCTTAATTTAATGTCACTGAATTCGAAAAAAGTTGTTAGGAGGTAATGGAAAAAGTAACAAAAATCACGTAAAATTATCACTCTTAATTCACCTCAATTTTTAGACGTACAAATCTCCCTCTAGGCTCCATTGTAAAATTTCCTTTTTGTTTATTTTTCTTAAATCATTGATTTATATGTATTTGCTAGTGTCTTATAGCTTAAAATTCACTGCTTTTGCTACATTACAAGCTTGTCTGTGCCTTTCATTTACACAATAACACATCAAATGAATGAGAATGTATCAAGTGATAACATTTTATAAGGAAACAAGGGGCAAATGAATTAGAGACAAAATGCTAAGCTTTCTTCAGAAAAGTGTCTTCAGACCTTATCAAAATTCCCTTTACGAGTGTCAACACCTTTTAAATTAAATGAACAAGGTTGAAAGTCATGTTTGTAAATATCTTGGCCTTCTATTCAGAAACAATTGGTCGATGTTTAGGGCTAGTTTCTTGAGAATTTAAAACCTCTGATAGTCTGAAGGTAAACAATGATTAAACTACATTTTGTGTATAACATAAAGCACTATCACATACTTCTTGTAGGAGTCAGTTAAACCTAGGAGTAACTTACAACCAACAGAATAATATGGGGGAATATTGGAGATATTTGATTTCATTCAATTAGATTATCAGTACCTGCTGCATAAATTAATCATGAGAAAGAAAAGAATTCTATTAAAGAATGTTCAGTGGGTAATATACTGGTCCATTGGTTAACAATTTACAGGAAACTAATTAATTAAATATTTATATGAAACATTTAAACCAGTGTGACTTGTGATCCAAAGCAGTAAAAAAAGTCATTTACGCTAAACGAAAGACTGACTGTACTGAACTGTATTTTCTAAATGGGCAGATTAGTCTGGCAGTAAGTTAGCCTTTTTTCAATTATGAATAATCTATGAACAAATAAATGAAAAAAAAAAAGGTTTTGATATAAAACCACAATGTCATATTGTCATATATATAATATTCTCAACATAAATATTAGAGTCAAAGACACTCAAGGTCAGCTGTAATAATTAATTATGATGGCTGAAAAAGCTATACCTTTTTGAAAATAATGCTTACTTAAGGTAAAACTGTTTAACTACCTATAATCGATTAGAAAAAAATCTTAACTTTGATATGCATTTAAATTCAAGGCTAACTTTATATCAAACTTCGAGATTTTTTCTCCATTAAGCTAAACTTAAATTTAATATCTTATACGCTACTATAGATTTGTTAATTTAAAAAGTATATTTGACACTGATGTTTTTGTCATTGATAAACTCCATTAATAGATTGTATTTTTCAAGTTTAAATGTAAATACTCGTGATCGGGCCAATTAAGATATAAATCTTCTCATCAATGACAGAAAGTCTTAAACGCTACTGCTAATATGTTAATATACACTCGATCCATTCTTGTCCCATTTTATTTTCAGATCTATATTTCAAGTACTAATGTACACAGCTGCAATACTTTAGATTTTAAAGCATATTTTACAATACTTTTAAACTTTGCTTCAACATTTTAAAATAAAATTGAAGAATAGGAAATAATATTAATAAAAGTACAATGACAGAATTCGAAATGTTGCAAGCTTTGTACAACTGAGTATAAGACCATCACCATAGGTGCAGTAATATGTTAACTCTTACTGAATTTAGGACTTAACCCATTACTGCACTAAGGTGATGAAACAAGGATTGCATTGTGGAATGATGCATGCTCCAAGCACCGCCCTTTGAAAAATATACATTAAGGCCTTAAAGATTTTACAAGTTACAACAATTGTTTAATATGTCCTTGTTAAATAATTTTAATCTTAAAGTCACAATAGAATTAATCCAAATTTGAAGAAATCACAAAAATTTGACACATTAAACATGCTGTAAAAACTCCCAAGTTCAATAGTTTTGTATTTATGCTTGCAGCTTAATCCGTTCAATAACTTCATTTCATCGTCAACTCCACAATAAAACATGTACGGTAATTTTCAACATCATATCAATTTACAGTAGCTTTAAAACTCTCTCATAAAAATAACCTATTGTTGATTCTGTGCCAGCAAAAAGCAATTACTTACAACAATGTATAATATCAATACTCCAAGTATGGCATTGTTTAAAAATCCGAAAAACCAAGGGGTGAAAATTACGATCGCCACCAATATCTCAAACATTGATAACGATAATGAGAGTGAAAATTGTATTTGATCTACGATCATTACATACCCGACTACTTGAAAATCAAAATTGCCGTTTATGCAAAAAATGAGTGGAAATATAATAGAAAATTGTGTCAGTGTACAATGCACTTATATATCCCCCTAAACAACACCGATTTTAAACAGATTCACATTTAGAAAACTAAAATAGCTCTGGCTTAAATCCAAAATAGATACTGAACTTTAGCACTAGATTAGTAAAATAACGAAAGAATCTTTAAACTAAAATGGAAATATTTTTCAATGAAAGAATGTAAAAAGCTGATATATAAACAATTAATTACCTATCATTTTATGTAGGTTTATATTGAACTGGATAAGATTTCAGTTTAATGTCATTCATCTTAAATCATCGCTTATCAAAATCTTGTTAATCCTATTTCGGAATCTTATAAAATACGACATGGAATCTTTAACCTCATTCAACTTTTATCTCAAAATTCCAAATCTCCTTTCATAAAAATAGACACAAATCAATAAATCTAGGTTTACAAAATTAAAATTCTTTAGAAAAGTCATACCTGACTATTTAATTAGCCAATGGTCGACCATCTACCAATACATTTTAACTATTCAACAGTTTAACCCTGATTTTATCACTAGACTGAATTAAATGAAATATTTTTTCTTCAGATAATGTATGCCCCATTTAAACTCTTTTACCATCTGAATTTCAGAAAGTTTGAGATAAATGGTCTTACAGTGTGGCATATAACATATACAGCAAAATGGTGTTAAGTCGAATATCAACAAACAAGAAAGATATCTAATTCAATACAGGCAGCTCAATTCTACAAATGGTCAACTTTAAAGACTGTTTACTTTAATCTTTTAAACATACAGAAAATTACGCTACAAATAAATGCCACACTTATTTTCCCAATTATCTACTACAACTAAAGTTTATTGCTGACTATATCAAACTTTAATGCAAACTTGTATAACTTAAACCAAATTCTATCTGAATGGAAAATAATGTGAAATTTAAGAGTGCTATAATTTAAGTAAACAAGAAAATAAAAACTTCCATTAATAATTCATTTAAATCGCCCAAGTTAAACATGATGGGCAGAATTTTAACTACTTATAAGGTCAAAGTATAGATAGGTAGTTTTCTCTGTTTTTCTGAAAAACATGAAAAAGCCTGTTACAATTTTCACGCCCACATTGAAGGTAGCTTAATGATACCACTTTATTTCATGCTTTCCAGTGTTTTATTACAATATATCAGATGATTATATTCTGATAAACCACTAGTGAAATTTATAAAATATAATTTTCACTGTAGCCGGACTATATCTAAATGCGAATGAAAAGAAAATCATAACCAAATGGAATAACAGGCAGAAATAAATGCCGTCATACGTAAATTTGCTTATTTAGGAAAAGAAAGTCAATGTCATCATTTATCATGTTAAAATTTAACAAAATTAGAAAAATTTAACAGAACTATATTTCAAAACTTACGATGTGACGTCATGCTATAACGACGTCACATAAGAAAATGCGCGACGTTACGCGGCAAAATCAGTAAAGAAATACTTAAAATCACTTAAAAAGCATGAAATAAAAAGAAAATTTGTTTGTTTTACATATAAGATTGAAATATATTTCATTCGTGAACACCAGCTATTATATTTTCACTCGTGGCTACGCCACTCGTGAAAATATTGCATCTGGTGTTCACTCAGTGAAATTATATTTCAATCTTACATGCAAAACAAACAAATATCATCTATGTCCTAATAATATATGTGAAGAATTACAGTATACTGTTCTTTTCTTGAAGCTACATTTTCTAAAAAAACTAGTCGGACCATTGCAGAACAATACTATTTCTGTATATCTTTTTGAAAAATAATGTTCAAAGTTGTTAAGTTTAATCAAGCAAAAAAGGCTTTAATGATTTTATGGAAATATCTTGCGTACAAAATAAATTTCAGATTAGTTTTATCCAAAATTGATATTTCTTCACCAGTACATGCAAACTTATCAATTCTTCCTTCTAACCTAATCAATCTTTCTATGTAGCATATAAACATGTTATAACTAGTCTCATCAGAATATATAACAGGTACAGCCTTAACAGACATCTTGTTACACTCAAATTAACTTTGATAACTGACCCTTCAAGAATACCAAGATTTATTATGAAACAACAGGACATAATATATTACAGCAATGATATGCGAATGACAGAGTACCAGAACAGATATCAACAAACAAGAGGGATATCATCCAATACAGTCAGTTCAATTCTACAAGTGGTCAACTTTGAATGCTTTTATTGCAAAGTCAAATGATGTTTTCTTACTGACCAACTCCAACTAAACTTTAAACACAGAAAATCAATTTGAGCTGAATTGATATTGACCATATCACAGAGTTTCAAGTAATTTATTTACCAAGTTTGAGTATGTAGCAATTTGCACTTAAGATACAAAGAAACCTTACATTTTGTGTAATTGAAGAATAAACTGTTCTTCATAATTAATTATTATATTGCTCAACAGCACATAACTGTTCACAAGATAAACAACACACATTTTGGTTAGCTAATGATGTGTATTTTTGGAATCTTGAAGTGTCTTTAAGTAAACAAATGTAATATGGCCATTCTCTATTTTTTCTTTATAAATGCTCCAATATACAATATTTCAGGTACAGACTGACATCTAAGAATAATCTGTAAGGTGAGCTTGGTAATGTCCTGAAATGAAAATATTCAACATCCTTGTCTGGATTTAAACTCAAAGCAATGAGGGGAATGATGTTAGTATGAAAAGGTCTAGACTAAATATAGTTTGAAACAGTCAGAGATATACAAAAACTTACCTCATGTCTATAAATAGCTTCAGGAATGTCTATGACTCTGTCTTGTAGTTGTTCCTGGGCTTGTGACAGCCATGTGGTCACCAGTCGTAATTCTGTGCTGTAAGCCTTGCGGTCTTCCTTCAAGTGTAAAATCTCCTCTTCTTTGATTGCCATGGTAGCATTAACTTCCTGTTCTAAGGCAGCCATGATGGAATATTGTTCCTGGAGCTCATGGGGAACTGATCGACCTTGTGACCTGAACTTTGTCTCATGAAGCTGAGCCATGTGACGCATCTGTTCCATACGTATAGCAATCTCTTGTTCTGATAACTGTAAATAAAGATAAATATTAATAAATAAAACCTTTACAAAATTAAAAGTTTTCTTTGGGTAGCATTTAGTCATGCCAATACTTAGAAGGTTAACTGGTAGTTTTCTTGCCTTACTGGTGTAGGAAAATCTTAGATCTCCAAACATGAATTATCTTTGGCAAGAGCCAGTACCTGAACAGAACAACAACAATCCACAAGCTAAATAGCTTACATGCATAACAAAAACAAAACTTACCCAATCATTGTCATCACAAGGAATTATATAGTCAAAATCATAATCATACAGAAAACTTCAGCATCAACTATTTGTGTTATATAAGTAAGTAAAAACATCTTTTTGCAGCCATCATTAAAATCATCAATTTAAAAAACATGTAGTGAAGTTATTGTGACCAACCTTAAGTTTTTCTATCTTCTCCATTGCAATAGGTTCTTCCATACATGGAGCTAACTGTGCCAGTTCTACCTTGGTTTCTGTCAGCCACTCTACAGTTTGTTTGGCTTCTGTGTTAAATCCTTCTCTATCATCAACCTCTTCCTGTAGTAACTGTCTGTGCTCATTAGCACTATCCCCAATCCTGAATTGAAAATAAAATATTTACTTTTTTCTTAATACAGCAAAACTAATTCTATGTATGAAAAATGATATTTTTACTCTTGCGAATTTTTTATAATTTAATTAAATAGTCAAAGAGTAAAACTGATGCACATTCTGATTGGCCACAATCTTTTAACAATTCTTAGTCTGGATTTATTGATACTTACCTGACATTTGCATAATTTAGACATCACAAATACTTTACTTGTTTATTTTTACTTATAGTTCCATTAACAATTAAAGGGAGGCAACCTAATGTAAATTAGAATATTAGTTTATGTACAGTATTTTTACCAGCCATGTTGGACAGAAATATCTGATTATAGAATCTGAAGATGTTATTTTTATATGAAGTAAGATGTAATGCAGGAAAGTATGTACCGTTCATATTTTTCCAGCATTGCCATAACGATATCCTGTGACTGTACTTTGGCCTCAGCAGTGGGCAGATTTTTCTGAAGTTGGTGTGCACACTTCTTTAATGCTGTAATCTTTGGTTCAGCTACTTCTAGTAACTCTAATAACTCCTGAAATGTAAAAATATCATACATCAATATACATTTATATAAGTATCATTTTTACAGGTATTCCTTTAACATTTTTACTCTTCTCAAAATTTTCAAAACCATTAATCACTTTTAGTAAAAATTTTGATTAAGTTCTGACTAAATAGCAAATAATGCAGACTATGATCAGACGGCACAGATAATTATGCAAACTGATCTTGGTCTGCACTGGTCCCATCAGTAGACTCAGTTGCAGCCAGCAAGCAATAGGGTTAAATTCTCTAAAATTCAGCATAATAAAAATATGCATGGAATTTTGTAACTGATTATTTTGCAAAATTATAGCATAAAATTGTCTATTTTTCCCTCTTTTGCCCATGTTATAACGGGGCCAAAACCATGCGTTAACATAGTCACGCGCTCTTGTTATAGCACGGTTTTACCTATGCGCAATACATACAGGGCCCAGTAAACTAACAAAAAAATGACGATTTGGCCTCTTTGCCAGAGTTGATATATCATGCGCTCTTGTTATATTGGAATTATTGATTCGAGGGCCTCAGTCGCATAAACGGATTCAAGTAATTATGCCGGCAATACGGCGTATAGACATCGCCGCTAATCTTAGTTATCGCCCTTTCTAAGTAAACGGACAGTTGTCAATGTAAACAAATAGAATCTGTTATTCAGTTTAATCCCCCGATTAATTTACAAAACTAGAAAGCACAAAATGAATATGAGAAAACGTTGTTTTATTGATGTTTATAAAGATGTTCTGTATGTTTCTTTGAGAGAATGTTTATGCCTGAATTTTATTTAAACTTGCGTGCTTGGGAAAAAAAAAAACGATTCTGAAATTGAATCTGATCACTGATGTCACTGATCTTTTTTTCTACCGCCAATCTGTAATCCTTCTAGGAATTTCTGAGGCGCCTGTTTTGTCTTGGGTAGAGTTATGTTATTTTTTTTTCCATATGTTAATATATCTCCAAAGTTAAGCTTTGTTAAATCAATTAAAATTCGAAATTTCGTTCGGTTCCAAATTTGTTGGCCCCGGAAAAAATAAAACGCATACGTAAAACATGAAGAGTTGGATAAATACCGTTCTTGAAAGCACAAGGATTTAATGTTTGTGTTTTGTATATAATATACATCATGAATCTGTTTTAAAATTTTATGCTATAATAGCGTCAACGCACGTTTATTACGTGTTATAAAGTCTGCAGAGTCCCTCAGAACTGTTATATTATATTACCAGAACCAAAGAAAAATAAAGCGTTTTTTTAACAAGGTTGTATAAAAATAAAAAAGCTTGTACCTGTGTCTGGTTTAACTGGGCCACCAGTTCTGGACATTTCACAGTGTCAAGATCAACTGGTGTGGGCAATTTGGCCTCAGCTTGATCTAGAATCTGGTCAACTGTTCCCAGTAATGTTGTGTAGTCTTCATAATGGGCTTCAAGATCCTTTATTGTAAAATTATAATCAATGAAAACAATCCAAGGGAGACAAATCTTTGTACAAGATTCAATTATGCTTTAAAGTGCTTAACTGCTATTGAAGGTCTTTTGAAATTAATGCAAAATTCATTCAAATTATCTCATGTTGTTGTCCAATTTCGAACTATATTTTCAACTAAAATACACCTAAACTGACTAACAATAGATCCAATAATCCAGAAATCTTATATACTGCTTTCTTGACATTGACTATTTTCATTAAAAAAAATTTAAGAGCTTAGTATGGATGACACAATTTACTGAATTGTTTAAAACTTTTATTTAATTTTTGTAGAAATATACAATTTTAATAGTGTTATGTAATTACCTGTAAAGACATTTGTTTTGCCTCTGTTTTAGATACAAGATTCTTCCATCGTTCATTCACTTCTGCCAGCAGTCCGTGAATAAACAATTTACTTTTCTCTGTTGCCTCACGATCAAGGTCATGTGACCTATCGTTGATGTCTGCGATAGCTGGTCTAAGACTCTCAGCTTTCTCAATAAAGAGCTAAAATATATAAAATAACAGGTTTGAAATATTAAATTATAATACAATGTAAACTTACATTACACCTATAAAACTTTCTGACAAATTTGTAATACACTATCATGGTTTTAAAAGCACCTGAAATACTTTAAACAATGAAAAAACTCTGAATACATATTCTTATGTCAAACAAAATATTCTATGGTAACTGTCACAAAATTTACATTGTATTCTCTTTTTTGTAAAGAATGGTTTTCTTATTACTATTATAAGTTAATGCAGTGTTATTGTACAGAAGGTTTACCTTCGTCTCTTGTAGATGTTTGTTAATATTTGAAGGTGTATTAAGTGGAACATTGTCCAGGGCCTCCCACTCATCTTCTAACATGTGTAGGTCAGAGGTCACCTGCATAACAACCTCCTGAAATATACAAAAAGCTTACTTTAATACCTCCAAATAAAATACCACTTCATGGTAATACTTCACATTTAAATGTAACTCTTTTGGCCAAGTCTAAAGTTGCACAAATATGGGGAAAGCCATATGATGAATTTTAAGCTTTACAGATGAAGAAAAACAACCTCGAACAGTAATAATTGTTTAAAGTGTAATATTATATCTGATCACAATGATATTGCATTTTTACAAATATCAATTCCTTTTTTATGTTAAAAATAAGTATCAAAAAACAAAAATACAAGAAAGCCAGTAAATAATATTATCACACAGTAACTATATAATTTTTATCATTCATCTGGTGGTCATGAAAAACAACAAGAATTTTTCCACCTTGAAGTTGACCATACCTGGTACTCATTCCATTCTTGAGCCTTCTTCTCCATGTTAGATTGTTGTCTGTGTGAGGAGGCCATGATGTTAGCTAGTTTCTGACTGGTATTTTTCAGGGACTGTCTCAAAGTTTCTGTGTCATTCATATCTAATGTAGGCAGCAGACGTTCGGATAACTCCATCACTTGTTCCATCTCATCCTGACACATGCTCGCCTCAGAGAAATAGTCCTACAATAAAACAATAAACAGTAAGTACAGACTTTTTTTTTCATTTCTCTTAAAAAAAGAAAATATTCCAAAATTACAAACATTGCTTCATAGAGTAAATGGAGTGTTCAATTTAAGTTATATAAAACCTTTATCAATTAACTACCTTGTAAATAGATAGGCTTTTTGCATAGCTCTCACATGCATATCCCATCTATTTCATAATAACATTTTAATGCACAATATAAACAAAAGACTTAAAATAATAACTTGTCCTTGACAAAAAAGAAAAATGTGTTTAAACCATTTAAAGATGGATGGGACAAGTTTCCATGCCCATTAATTCAAAGCTTTCCTAAAAAAGTCACAAAAATAAAGATATGAAAATAAGCTTTTAGCAAAGTTATAACATATACCTTATGTTCACTGATGGTATCATTAAGTGTATCATAGTCAAGTCCTTCATAACCCGAGTCTAGAAGTTCCTCGGCACCTTGTATCCAGTCAGTAATCTGTTTCATAGATACCTCTAACTGCATCCTGTCAGCAGATGCCTCCACCAAATACTGCTCCTTTTTAGCAATGGCACCCTATATATATATAGTAATATACAATTGATAGTTATAATTCCACTACATACTGGATAGACAGATATCTGTACATAATTAAAATTAATACCATCAAAGGGTTGTATCAGAAAATTAAAAGAGTACAACTTAATTGCTAATAAGACATCTTTCCTTTTTTATCTTGTTGCATGATGAACTTAAATACAAAGTTTCATTGCAAATGCTTTTGAAATAATTCAAAATAAAGATCTGGACACCTTAATTCTATTGCACTCCACAACGCAATATTACAATTCATTTGAGAGTTGAAATAGATCCTTTGAGTTTCTTTTGTATATATGAATTTGCAGAAATATGACAAAAAACAACATATTGGTTAAAATTACATGTAAATCATATAAAAACAGAATTTGCAGAAATTACCATATATTGTGACATTTAAAAAAACATGTTAACATGTTAAGTAAGAATGTTTTTATTATAAAAGGTAAAGACACAAACTTTAATGCTATCTTCCAGGTTATCAATCTGCTCAAGTTTCTCAGTAAGTTGATCAGGTATAGGTTCATCCATGTTCTTAAAGTGAGTTTTCTCAACTTCAGCTTTCATCTTGATCGTGTCAAGTTTGTCCAACGCATCTCTTGCCAGAGTCTGAAATATGCTGAGATAATAAGTTTCACAGAAACACCTGATTTTAGTGATTTTATATATCAAAATTAACCAGCAAGACAGAGCAGGGGCCAAAAAACCATACACATACATGTAAATAATACATTTAAAACTTCATACTATTAACATTCAGCTTTTTTTCATAGACTCTACTTATACTTATAATGTTTTTAGAAATGAAAACGAATTGTATTACCAGTAATTTCATAAATCATCTAACCTTAATTTGATTGTCCTACTGAACATTTTCTTGTTAGTAGAAATACACAGTATTTCCTTCTATCTATATTAGGACTGTGAAAAAACTTAATTTTGTGTGAGTAATTCCCTTCTTATTTCCTAGATTAAGTTATTACAACTACCAAAAGTTAATGTAAAAGTCAATGTAGCTACCAAAATATATTCAAATGATAAAAGTCAGTTGGAATCTATACACATAAAGTTAAATACTGTCCTGTAAATGCTAAAAGTGTTACAAATCATTAATTCATTAATTCTAGATTTATCAAAGGAAAAGTATTCCCAGGACTCCAGTATTAAAGAATGCTGAAAATGAATATATTTATAACACAATTTGTTGACATGTAAAATGCAGATATATGTGAAGCTGTGTTGACATGCAGTATCATACATGTATATATTGTTATATATAAGTGACCAGTACATGTATATATATATATATAATCTAATCATGCATCATTCACATTCCATTACTAAAATAATAAATTCTTCATCTTAACATTCATTTTTTTAAACAGTTCACATCAAGATATCTTGCTGGAATCTATTTTACTTTTCATGCAATTTTCTCAACCACAGAGAAATGTGAAAAATCACACGCTATATTGTGCAACACACTAAAAAAACAAAATGTAAGTTACTTCAATTAAATTCTATAACATCTCAAACTAAATCTGCACTGAATTATTTCTCTTTCTTTGTTTATCATGAAATAAATATCCAAACTAAATGAATTGCCATATAACCCTAATTGAAGTTGTTGAGAACAGTAACGATCAAAATTTTGCTAAAATCATGTTAAACTATCCTACACGGACAAATATAAGTACTCTTTAGTAAGATTTTTAGTTTTATTTATTTTTATTTCTATATAAACTATATTCAGTAGCCAGTCAATATACTGTAACAATACAGTTAGTTACAAGTTTTAGTGTCAATCACCTTGACTAATACTAACATTTATACAGCCAGCAATATAGAGTCTGGTCAGATTTAACAGAATGTTCAGGCTGGCAGGACTCTATAATGGTGACATAGACAACATATTATAATTCCACTAGCATTTAGAAAGTTAAGTGTAGTCATGTTATGGGGACAAAGTACTGATTATACAACACGACAGAATTCACCTCTGCTCGACTCCTTATTTCTGATAGCCTTTCTGTAAACTCCGCCTTCATTTCCTAATTCATGTATAAAATCACAACAAAAATAAATAAAACACACCCTAACAGACTAGTCTACATCATAATCAAGCAGGCCTGGTATTATTCATGTTAAGTTACAGAATTTGTTTAAAAGTTGACCATGAAGAATGCCTGTAACTTTAGTATACACTAGAGATCACTTGTGACACATAATTTCTGACAGAATCCTTTGTCTAAAGAGTTTGTGACCAAAAAATTAAAGTTTTTTATGAATAACTCTCTGTGGACATTACAGGTTATCATCAACTAAAAGTCTTCATTTTTTCAATGATATTTTTCAATAAATTATTTCCTATATAAAATGTTTTTACCAAATACAAGCACTATGGTTCACTTGATTTTTACTGTTTCTATGTCATGCATAAGTTCTGTTTTCATAGACATACTTTTATCAGTCTCCCTGACTTATTTCTAACTTATAAATATATAAACATTCTTAATGGATAGGAATATACAAATTTCTTCAAATCTACTGACTGTAAAGGTAAATATACAATAATAATGTTAGTATAAGCTACTATACCTAACTAAGTGACTGTGACAGCTTACAAACTTGGCCTGTTAAAACAGTTTTTTTCAAAATCTAATTAACCTAAAATAAAACATACCTGATGTTTCTGCAGAGATGATTTGACCTTTTTAGGGTCAAGGTCAAGAGATGAACAAGAAGCTAGCATTTCCTCTTTGGCATCTAGCCAATTCATGGTCTCTGTAACAAAACCTTCAAAGTCCTCCCTATTTCTCTGGATGGATTCACACTGTTTAGCTTTTCTATCGGCAATCTTCTTTAGCTCGTCAATCCGAGCCTTTATGTCATCAATCATGTTTGACACTGCCTGTGCATCCGTGCTGGTTCCCTCTATTCCTATCTGTTGTGCCCTATCTCCCATTTTAAAGAGCATGGGACCAGCTGATTGAAGTTTGGCAGATACAGCCTACGGTTAACATATATACATCATAGAGAAGCAGCATATTATATAAGCCATCATCCAAAGCATTATTATGTGGCATGACCATAAAAGCAATGAAATGTTGCTATCAAAATGCAAAAATGTAAGTCACAGCTCTGTATAATAGTGTATATTTATACGTATATACATAACAGTATAGACAAATAAAGCAATGGATGTTATATACACAAGCTTAGAATGGTAAAATTGCTGATTTTTTCAACCTGTATTATTTAACTCATAAAGATTGTTCAATAATACAGGTTGATGGTTACAGCATTTTGCATCAAATATACCTCATCAATTTCCCTCTCTGCTATATCATTATATCATAATAACAAACATTAGTATGAACAGATAATAATGTAATATGACATGTGCTTTGCTAATAATAACCTTTTTTATGGGAACTAACTGATCAAAGTTACATGACTTTGTATAAGCACATTACAACTTAGCTATGTCACTTAAATTCAACCAAGAACTCAAGAACACTGAATTGCCTTAATAAAGTTCATGCGGTTCTTTCACATACATGGATGGTGGCAGACAGACCAAATAAGATTCCACAGCATGCATGATTTTAATTGTAATAATTCCAATTTAGAACAAAATCTCTCAGGTATAATATAATGTAAATCTTTCTAGGTATTCAGGGTATTAGTGTTGAGACTTGGGAATCATGCAATTTAAATGAGTCTTTTCTTTGTATAAAAACATGCTATCAGAGTAATATGCATGAGCAATTTTTATATCGAGTGCATTCAATTTTTTATTAATAATAATAATAAAAGAAGATAAAACAATAATAACATTAAAGACATATACATATAAACTAGGATGAGAAAATGATAAATGTCTTGCATGAACGTGCAACTTTCCACCATAACTATAAAGTTCTGTATTATGAAGTAGGATGAAAGAAATTTTACCTTTAATTTTTCGATCTTTGCTGGAATAGGTGCTTGTAGACCTATAACAGAATCAGTGGAGTCTTCACACTCCTTCACTAGGTTGTCTACATCTTTCATCTGGTCCTCAAGTTGTTGCCGTGACAACACTGCTTGCTGACATTTCTTAGTCTGCTGACTGACTTGGTCACAGAGCATTTCATACTGTGATGTTATACGTAATATTTCGTCTGCTTCAGTTACCTGACCTAGGTTACGGAGTCTCTCTACGGCTTGGTTCAGCTGGGCTATAGTGGGCTGGTAGTTAGCCAGTTTCTCTCCAACATCCTGTTTTATGAAATAACATAGGCCTATATTAGCAATTATCTCACATTCACTACAGTTTTACACTATCAAATTTGCATCAAAATTTTTAAAGTTACATGAAAGAAACTGATACTGATACAGAACACATTACGACATATACTTCAAGTTTTGCACAATCACTAAACACCATTAGAAAAGCTTGATATCAGTCTTAAAATCTGATTAATTTTTCATTCAAGTTTCCAGAAATTGTGCGAGTACATTATCACTAACCTCATATTTTTTCAGGACATCTTCTGCATCATCTACAGTAGGCCCGATTGTACGAGTGATCTTTCTCAAATCATCTTGTAAAGTAGCTATCCAATCATTGGCCTCTTGTATACCATCACCAATCTGGTCTCTGGTCTGAAGAGCTTCATCAAGGGACGTTACTCTATCCTTAATAGTCTTTGATAATCTGCAAATAAAATGATTAAATTATCCCTTTAATACAGTTATACAATAAATAATTCATTTTAGATTTATCTTTAGGAGATGCAGATTTGTATTTTCTAGTCACTTTTTTATATCAACCTTCAATGTATGTTTCCTATTGAACTGAGGAAATAAAATTAATAGCTGCACATTATTTTCACAAGAGCTTGACTATACCCTGGGATTCAGATAATAAATCTTCTCTGATCAAGTCCCTCCTTATATCCATCCTGATACATGTATTTTTATAAACCTTCATATAATAAATTATAGCATAAAAGTATGATCTTCATAAACATTCCATACAGATATGAACAAGAAAACAACAAAGAGTGTCTTGAAATATGCCTTCATATAAGTTATAACAGTAATCGAAATTGTGTCCCATAGGTAATTTAAATCATTGGCACATACGTGGTAAATTTGTCATGTGCAGCTTTTGTCGTCTGCTGCATAGTTGTGGCGTCTGCTTCTGTGAGGAAAGGAAGGAAGCCCTGAATTCTGTCCTCTATCTCATGTAGCAGAGATTCAAACATGCGGGCACTTGTATCCAATGTCTGAAAAAAAAACCCCATAAATATGAATAATGTGCATGGTTTTTGAGTAACCAGTACCATCAACACTGCTGATCTGAGTACAAATTTAACAAAATGTATATATAATATACCATCAGCTATATAAATTAATATTAATTAAAATGATGTAATCCTTGACTATATGTAAATTCTCAAATTTATCTTACACTCTTTCTCTATGATTAAAATGCTAAACAAGATCTGTCAACAATCAGACTGACAATGTCTTATTTATTAACCTTATATTGTTTGTATTGTTCCTGTTTGATTTCTGTGGCACAGTCTAGTGGTGGTTGTACTGCGCATTTCATGTCCGCCTCCTTACACCAGCGCTCAAGTTTTTGAAGGTCACCTTCATGTACCTTCCGTGCACCAAGACCCGTCTGCAACTTATCATGTACATTCTTCATGTGCTCCTGTAGATCTGTAAACTTTTGCTGAACTTCTGCAAACAAATCACCAAGAAAACATTTCATTTCACAACCTATCTATTGATAACAAATAAAAAATGTTTACAAATTGATACTTCAAGATCTCTGACAAACTAAATGATAATTTTTTTATCCAATTCAACTGAACATTTCTGAACAGAATACAAAATATACTCTTAAATTTTGCTGTTTTTCATAAATTGTCAGTTAAAGAAAGGATATATAAATCAAACATATACAATCTAAACTGTGGTCCTTCTTTTACCATTAAGGTTTACACAAAAAATAAATCAAACATTAAAAGAGTATTATCACATAAACCGCGGCACAGGAGTGTAATAAAGCCATTTAATAAAAACGATATTACACTAGACAATATTACACTAGTGTAATAACACTTTGACGTCACGTCATTTGCGCTATAAACATAGCGTTAAAGCGCGCTAATGTTAGCGTTACACTATAGGCGCGTCAAAGAAAAATGACTCCTTTTAACAATTTATCTTTCTTATTTTATATATGTGATAAATAGAATATTATATTCGTGTAGATTAAATACTAAATTTATTGAACTCGTTGAATAAAACAATAATATGCTCGCCACAGGCTCGCATAATATGATTTTATTCAACTCGTTCAATAAATTTAGTATTAAACCTACACTCATTCAATATCCTCTATATATTTGTTTTTTTAAAGATATTCTTAAACAGTACTACACTAACCTGTAACTTTCTCATCAAGTTCAGTACATTGGTCAGGGTTACATTCTGATTTCAAGGCTTGTACCCGTGACTCCACCTGCTCTATGTTTGGCTCATACTTCTCTATCTCTAACATTAAACTCTGAAATCAACATTATTTCAACATGAACAATAAGTACAAGCAAGTCCAATACTGATTTTCAAGCACAATTTTGATGTGTAACTTAAAGTATTTCTCTTAACATTGTTCCTAATTTAATACATTACATTTCAACAATCTTTTTCCTCCTTTCAAAAAAAAAGAACAACATCTTTTATTTTGGAGATACTACAAAAATTGAAAAAATAAACTTTATAACTCAGTTTTTAAGTTGTTTCAATTGTGCACAAAATGAATTTAAATAATAACAATGTGTTGACAACATTTTGAGCCAATTGTGTGACAGCATAAAATAAAGAAATTTCAAAATTTGTCAAAGAAAAAAACTTGGTGAATGTTTTAACATAATTCTAATGTGTATTCAAAGTAAATTAGAATGAAAATTATTGATAAAACTTGACATCAATATGTTTATAACTAGCACTGCACAACAGTTAGATTCATTGGTTCTTGTTAAAAATTACAAGGTTACAGTTTAGTTAGTCAAAGGTTTTATGTGGAAAATTTCTTTTATTTGTTCTTCTTAAAAAAGAAGAGTGGTTAAAATCATATGGTAAATTTATTACAAAAGGAATCTGACACTTGTGATCTCCTTTATGCAAATCTACAACTGGTCTAGTCAACAAGAGCTGTGGGTAGGACAGTGTGCTCAACTATTCTCAGTGCTTGGTAGGAAAACAAGAGCCTAAATAATGTGTAGAATTCTAAGTTCAAGAAGGGCCATAATTCTGTCAAAATCCATGTTAAAGTTATAGACTTTGGAGGTACCAATTTGCATGCAAAAAGTAAACCAAAGTGTGACGCTGATGCCTGGATGAGTACAAAAGCTCTCACTTTTCATCAAATAGTCGAGCTAAAAATTTTTGTCTTGAATTAACTATGGATTGGTTATCATGAAAAACTGTGTGAATGTCATATAAAACAGAGTTGTAAGTAATTATGTTCACAGCAAACAAGTTACTTCTTATATACAAACATTTTTTTGGTGAGCACATGGAAGAATAAAGCCTTACCTTATAACCAAACATGGTTGGCTAAATTCCAATCAAACAAAAATAAACTTATAATTTTATTTTTTACAAAATTAATCAGAAAGTCATATCTGAGAAATAATTAGTATGTTGAATGAAAATTCAACAGATTAACCTTGTTTTTTCTATTTACTAACCATAGATCAGAACTTAATTCTCGAAACTTTTGTCAGTTTTGAGTTTATAGAAATTTTGTAATAACCTATAATAGTTCAAAATGATGCTTGATCATTAAAGAATATCAACTATAAATGTATCTCCTAAACATATACTCATTACTCCTGTACTTTGATAGTTCCAAATCCCGAAAACTTAACTAACGTAAATACAAATTGTATATATCTCTAAGACATGAGCATATTAAGTTTGAGAAGAGTTGAGTGGAGCAATGGTGCATATTATCGTCTCAATTAGAGCTATCATCAAATCTGTACAGTATTAGCTAACAAACAATATATATTCTTCTCTTAAAATGTACAGTGATGAGTAACTATCAACTGTACAAATCTTTTCAACAATAAAACTATTAAATTAATTAAATCTACACAATTCAACTCCTTAAACAATAATAACTTATTATGTACCTCATTAAAGGTGACAAATTACAAATTGAAGTTCAATTACACTTTAAATCTATTTTTACAACAGCTGAAATGGATGTTCAGATATGGAATATACATTGTTAAATGATTACATAATATCTGTACTGAATATGTTACTTTCAAATTAAAAAAAACCCTGAGGTAATCAAAGACATAACATGATGAATATTCCTTCTGTTAAAAAACCCTGAGGTAATCAAAGACATAACATGATGAATATTCCTTCTGTTAAAAAACCCTGAGGTAATCAAAGACATAACATGATGAATATTCCTTCTGTTAAAAAACCCTGAGGTAATCAAAGACATAACATGATGAATATTCCTTCTGTTAACATTAACAACAACCAATATAAATATGAATGTTCACTTATGGAAAACCAAGATGCCACATTACCAATCACACTACCAAATCTGAAAGACTATTGGCCTGCTTTTGAAGCGAAGGTCACCTGATGTCACCTTAAACTTTGACTTAATGAAAGGGGTCATCTATCAGTGATGGTCAACCTCACCGCAAAATCTGTTGACTGAAGGTCAAAGGATTCTCCAGTAACTGAACTAACAATTTCTTTCGATCAAAATCACCATGACCTTTGACAAATTGACCTCTTCCTAACTTCCTGTACAGGCCATTCTTAGAAACATTTTTAGTTTGAAACAGAAAAATTCAAATGCATCAGAAAAGATCCCACTGTGGCATGGATTTGAACTTATGACCTCCCACATATACAATGTAAGATAAAGTAACAACGCTGTAGACCACTGAGCCAAAGCCCAGTTGTCAGAGGCTGTACTTATAGTTATGAAGGTAGGTGTGCACTCCATGAAACACCATGACTTTTTACCACCATGACTAACTTCCAAATTTGAGGGCTGTACTGGTAGGCCACAGGTCTACAGATAGATGGCCAAACATGTTTATTATGAAGGGGGACATAAATATATCAGAAAATGAAAACTTTTTATTGGAAACAATGGGTTTTCTTTTCAAATCCCTTAAAATAATAACATTTTCAACAAGAGAATCATTCCATTTTACAGCAATATTGGTATAACATGGTATTTAAAGATAATTCACACAGAGTTTACACGGATTATGACAGGTCCCACATTATATCTAATGGCTCATTTACAAATCTTGATGCCAGCCAATGATTAGTGTAATATTTTATGCGACCTATCATAAACATTAATTAAAACTGCATGCAATAGTAAACTGTAATGCAAAAGACATGTTAAATGCTTGCTCAGACATTTTGTTATCTATTTAATGTTATTGAATTTGATCTAAACTCTGATTAAAGAGGTACAAAAAAATGCACAATGAACAACATATAAGATAAGTCACGAAACTCTGTTTTTCTTGAACAACTACTTTTCATTTTAAGTCTTACTCTGAATCTTTTAAATTAATAAAACTTTTAAAAAAACTAGACTTAAAATTTGGTCTAACCCAATGTTCAAATTGTTTTGTCCTGTACAGAACTTTTTTCCATGAAAAAAATGTGCAAGTTGGATAAAGTTAATCCAGATTTATGTTAAAAAATATCTCAATGTTTTTTAAACGGATTTAACTCAATACAGGACTGGAGCAGTACCTATAGACGCTTGCAGAAATCATGATCACAAAATAGACAAATATTGCTTTTTTCGCCGGATTTTACATTTTTCGTATATTATGGTACATACATCGGTAAGAAAAGATGAATTAGACCTTTTAAAGTTCATTCCATTGGATGAAAATGCAAAATTTTAGCATCTTATCATTCAAGCGCCTTGTCCGGTATATACCGGAATAGGGTATTTAGTGTGGTGCTCCAATCCTTTTTTTAGTCTCACTCTTTTAAAACATCTACCAACATACCAAAAAGGAAGTTTGTACAAATGTAAAAGACTTGAGTAAGTTCTAATCTGACAGACTATGAGAGTTATACAATCATACCATTTTTAAAGGTGACTTTTGTTAAGTTTTTATGTTTAAATCTATGCACATACTTAGGACTCATATACATGAAGGAAATATAATAAGCCAAAACCATGACATTAAATACACTAATTATAAAGGGACATTACCATTACCTGCAGAATGTTCTAAAGGAATACTTAATTAAATGATTTGGTCTATTTGACCTCACCTTGGCTTTTTCCATTTGTTTGTCTACATCAGCAGCCATCAGTTTATGTTTCTCTAGTTTGGTAATTTTCTCTTCTCTGTCCTCGAGCCAATGATTTACCCTATCTAACCCCACCTGGAACACCTCCCTGGCATTCAGGGCCTCTGTCAGCAGGTGTTTTTGTTCTACAGCTACACTATATACACGATTATGTTCAGAACTTAATGATTTCATGGAGTTCTCCATCTCTTCACGGTCTTTAGGTGTCAAATCAGGTAACACTGATTCTACTTTCTTGTTTACATTGTCCAGTGTAAACTGGCGATTCTCTAATTCTGAACATAAACCCTGTAGCAAAAACATGGGAAAAATGAAGTAAGATGTTGCTTAATGCAATAATTCCTAGTTTAATTTAAAGAAAGATTAAATATAGCTTATAAGAGTGTATTGTTTTTAAAAGTCTGAGTATTTGGATATATAAGAACCAACCTTTGATTAATTTTGGATTGCAGTGCATTCATCAAGTTTAAATTACAAATGCACTTAAACATTGATATGTAACCCATGTTATATATGTTTAACTGCATTGCATAAGCACTCAGTGCTAAGTGTTTACATTTATGTTTATTAGGTATGTTTAAAAACAAAAAAAGGCCATATATTTAAGCAAACTCTATGAATATGTTAAACAAAAGCTCAATTTAACAGGCTTTTTGAATCGTTATTTTGACACCGATAAATGAAATGAACAACATTGTATTTTATTAAATTGTAAGAACTATAAACTATCTACTCCCTTACATTGATATATTGCATGTTATGTTCAGCATCGCCAACCTGGTAACCCTGAGGTCTGGTTAACTGTATTTGTTCTTCTTTCTTTATCAGCCAGGCCATATACTGGTCAACTTTACCCTGAATTTCCTCCAGGTCAAGCTCCAATACCTCAAAACCTTTCTGGGCTCTCTCTGATTTAGCTTTGACATCACTAAATTTCTTCTCTCGCTTCCTATGTAATTCATATAAATGAATCATAAATTTTCTACATTTATTTAATACATTTTAAATTTACAGTTATATTTTACAAATGTACATGTACATTATATGCATTATTCAAACAATAATTCATAACTGCAGAACTGAAAATAATTATGCTTAGGACCTTCTTGGAATGAAGACCATGATAAAACCTTTACTGAAAGGATATCCATTTTATTGTTCTTTTTTTGTGTGTGCTGTTTTGGTAAATAGGACATCTGTATGGGAATCATCAATCTGCCCTTGCTAATTAGAATATAAAGTACAGAAAGAGTTACATAGGTTTTTATAATTTTTATATTTGCAATCCAATTTCCTTATACAATCCTAAGAAAATGTGCATTTCCCATCCACTGCCTAAGTATTGAAGATGTACCACAATCAACCATGGTGTAACATGTAACTCTGTCTACATTTGTTTTTACTTATTACAATGTACATAATTCATTTTATCTATTATAACCAAGCACCAAAAACTATATGATCACTTCAATGTGCAGAATTTATCAAACGAAATTGTCAAATTGGATCAAACAGGACTCTCAATGTATGTAAAAAGCCTAAATTCAACTTAAATGTTCCTAGCTAATATTACGGGTCTCAGCAGAGCCAGAAATTTTGTTTAAAGTACATGTATATCGGTGATGGTAAAGTATGGTATTCAAATGTCTAACTGTTTAAAAAAATAGTAAAAGACATTTTGTTGCATGCTTGATCAGTATGTGTATATTATCAAATACAACCTGAAAATCACACTGTGCAATGTCATACCTTGACTTCTTCTTTTTAGAAATTGACTTGTACTTTCTAATGAACATTAAACAAATCTTCCATTAACTGGATTACAATTTAATACTTAAAATGACTGTAGATGTATTAGAATTATGGAAAAAAGTTGTCAACATGAAGAATTTAGAAGTGAAACATATTGCAATATAGACCAATGAAAGTTTAAGAAATAACTGAGTTTATTATTTCCCTTCAAATAAACATATTGGTTAGACAGTCCTTCCTTTTGATACACTTTTAGAAAATGAACATTTTAATGATATGAAAAAGGAAGTACATCATATAATAATTTAGTCATTTTCAGAAAATGAAAAGTTGGCCGAATATGGCTAAAAATATAACTTAAAGGTACCTGAATCAATCACTCAAACAAACAAGAATTTCATGATAAATGTCATCTAAAGTCAATGTTTAACTTGTTTAAAACTAATATCTATATTGGTCAACAGATTAAATAAATTTTAGATGTTTTTTTAATCATTCCACCCAGACTAACACTAGTATGTTTCATCAAACTCATTGCAGCAATATTTCAGTAGATGTCCTTCAAGATTATTGCTATTTCAATCTCTAGTGGTCCTTTTGTTTAGCAGATAGTACCATTTTAGTAATTTTTCTAAAGGACCATCCAAGAATCATCCCAAATATTTTCATAAAAAATCTGCAAATTGATTTGGGAGACAGCCATTAAAGCTTATTTCTTTTTTTTTTCTCCCACTGTCATCCTGTTCAGTTGATTGGACAGTACCAAATAAAGATCAAGTTTTTTTTTTCATGTTTAATTACAAGCTACTCAACAATTCAGATGTCATTTACAGCCTAATTCTATTTCAGTCCCAGCAGGCCATTCCTATTGCTATCTGCTCAATACTTATGGAGCAAAATGTTATTTAAACTTGTTTCTGTTTTAAGATCCGACAGCCATTATTTTCAGTGCAAAAAAACCCAGCATTTTTAACTAATTTTGTATAGAATCGCCAGAGGACCACTCTATTACATATCATCAAAGTATTCAGTGGTCATGCAGAAAATATCATTTGAACATTTATCTGTTTTAAGTTTGGCAACCATCTTATCCATGGGACAGTAATGATTTTAGCTACATTTGTAAAAGGGCACTAAAAGATAGTTCCTGTATTGTTTCATCTTCTAGGATGAAATGTTGTTTAAAGGAAAAGATGAAAATGGACATACTTGATTTGTTCTTCCACAAGTTCCCTGTCTAGAGGGTTGACCCTCTTTGTAACTTCACTACCTTGAGTCCTGAGATCATCAACCTTGGTTTCATACGCTTCTATGTCCTTCTGCAAGGTCTGAAAATATAACAGAAAACATTGTAGCATTAATATGATGTTATATTCAGTTGCAATGACAGAATTAATGTATTAGATGAGAGTGTGACAAGGAATAGTTCAGCATAGGACTTAACATGTTCAATGCTATAACTTGGTTCAAACCTTTAAATTAAAACCAAATCACAGAGTAAGAACTATTCTTGCATATTTTGACCTGTTATTTCTTATAAAAGTTAGTGCCTTAAACTAGCTATAATCACTTTATTTTTGCACTTATGGCAACATTTTTGTCTATTAAGACACTATTTTGAATTTTTCTTAAAAATATGCACATTATAGTTTTATAATCATTATAACAACTTTTTGAATTAATAAGCCATTTATATACAAAATGTAATTGGATCTCTTTTATTACATGTAGTTTGAAACTATTAGTAAATCTACTGCAACAATTAGCCTTTCATACCCAAAATGCAACATTACATGAAAGTAAGTTCTACAAGTTTTGTTTTGTTTTGTGTTTTTCTTTTTTTAACTTTTGGTTTGTTAGCCAGTAACACCAAAAAACAACTTATATATATACAATGTACTTCATTCTATCATCTATTTTACATGTACACAATTTATGCTTACATATTGATACGGACTTGTCATTCTTACAATCTTTAACTTGATGTATAAAATGTCTTTAACATTGTACTATAGCTATAAAATAACATTTTACCTATTTTTCAATTTACATTTACACTTATTCAATTGATTCTATCATCTTTTAACAGTTAGAATTTTACAACTTCAAAGATTTTTGTAGGTGGTAAAATGTCAAACAATTTGCATCTACTAACCAGGCTAACTTTGGTATGTGGATCAATGTGGTAACTTTACTATAAAACAGGGAGATTACAGTAAGCTGTCTACAATGTTTAAGTGTTATAAGAATGCTACAGATCGATTTTGGCCAAAATTTTGACCTCATGATTTGATTTCTATATTTCCATATCCTAATCTCTCTGATTCCTTTAAACGGTTTAAACTCTCGTCAGATTGATTGAACACTTTACGAGGTAAACAATTATTTCAAAGTGATTCAATATTTGATAAAACGATTTATTTATTGAAATATTTAAAATAGAAACTAGTACATCAATCAGGCTTGATAAAGAATTAGAGCAAATTTATTAAATGACACTTTTAAATGTGTGGAATTTAAAATGACCAATAAAATATCCAGCTTGCTTTCTTTAAAATGTTCAAAACATTTCATATAAGCCTTATAATGCTGCAACATTATTGTTAGGGTCTCTGGTTTTGGGATAGTTTAGGTAGATGTATTTCATTATCATTATGGTGAAACAACAGACAACAGACGGACTGGTCATACTATGTTTTTTGTTGTTTTTTGTGTTGTTTTTTTTTAAATTTAAAATTAAGATATGCTATTTTGTTTTGTATAATGCAATACCTTAATGTGTAACCTTCTTTAAAGAAAGATATCATTATTATTATATTATTTTTGTATAACAAGAGGGCAAATGCCTTTATACTGATAATACAATACATGTAAAAGACATTGCTATGGCTAGTGCTAAGAAAGTTATGGAATCTTTCAAGAATCTTCCAATAAAATGACTGTTACAATGACAAAACAGCAATTGCTGAGACTATAGAATTGCCTTCCTTTTTTCAGAAACATTAAAAATGAAATAATTCCTGATAAACTTGTGTTTTGTATTATGGACTGTGTCTCCAGTTTGACAATATCTGCAAATTGCCTCAATTAATATAGAGGCTTGTGCCTAATAAATCTTTCATTGAATATGTTGTGGCTAATATCATGAAGCGCTCAATTGATATTTAACAATTACAGAAATTGAAGCAATACCTTTGAGACCAATCAGCTTGTATTTAACTACACAAGTTCAATAAATAATTAATTAACATTATCTGGTTTATTGTAGATCCTTATTTGTGAAAAACATCCCTCTGGAACAAGGGTGGTACACTTTATCAATGTCAACATGATAGAATGAGTTTTCAGCAATAAACCCTTTTTTTGGACATATCTATCCCAGAATGCTGATGTCTTGGCTATCCCAGAACATCCAAATTTGGAATGAATTTATCAACCTTAAGTCAATAGCATGTCAGATACAGCTTGATCTTATTGGTTGTTCTGTTAAACAGACCTACAACTGATAAGCAATGGAGTTTTGTTTGAGCAAGATATAATCATGACCTTGAACCAAGGTCATAGCAATCCTACTAAGGACCTCACTATTACAAGTTATATTAACACATTTTAAATGGGTAAAATTGCTCATTCATGACCTTGGCACATACAAAATTGCTGAGTAGACAAATTATTAAAGCTACCGGAATTCAAATTAAATTGTAATGATGGCAACCTCTGTTACAATTATATAAATTTTTGTTATAACACATTTTTGTTATAACAATACTTTATTTATGAATACAGAAAAATAAATAAACTGTTATAATAATTCTTTTAGTGAAGCATTATGATTACATGTATATCAGAACTTTTATTTATCAAGTCCCAAAATGTTGCATAGAAATTAAATCTCCATGATTGAATTCAAATTAAAGATAAATATATTCATTTCTATTCTTGTGAACTTTTGCCATCTCACCTCTCACAATGACTGTAACTGTATGGTACACTATTATTGTATAAATTATACCCTTTTAACTTTGTAAATAAATCTGTGTCCATAACATTACAATAAATTAATTATTCCACTAAGTTGGGTAGAAGTATACCTAGTTTGACACATCTCTCAATAATATGTAAATCAACTAATTTTGAAATGTTTTAAAAACAGATGTTGAGTTGCAATATATAAAAGTTTATTCTTCTACAGAATCTATCCATGCAAACAGTGCAGAAAAAGATCAGCCAACACATCCATGGTCTATACTGTTTGCTATTCAGTTAGTACTAGTTCTGATTTTTTTCTCTCTAAAAATGATGCATGGACGCACACAGATTGAAATATGGGCATGTCAAATGAAGATATTAAGCATAGTAAAGATTAAACTGTTCTTTTAAAGGACATTGTAAATGTAACACAAACAGCCAATGTGAATGTGTCCTGACACAAATGCATGTCTGCTTGCAAAGAATAAAGTCATTCCTGTTCTAACATGGAATTTAAATCATCCAAGAAATGTTGTCATCTGATGGGAGAGGGCAACAAGCTCCTTGATGCATAACCTAAGCAACTAACTGAGCCCTGTGAAGAACCCTAGACTTGAAAGCTAGCAGGGTATAGCTTCTTTAATTGAAAGAATGAAGTAAAGTATAGTTGCAACAGCTTTAACATTAAATTTTGTGCAAAAATGTCATAATTTGCTAGGTTCAATGTAACTTAGAAGAATTTTAACAATGTTTAATTTGTAGTAAATATTTTCATATGAACATATCAATGAGTTGTTATCCACCTATCAGAAAATTAAAAGATAACGTTAGGGATAAATCAATATTTAAAATGAAAACACTCCAGGAATAGAATACAGAAAATCAACATGATTTTGTCTACAATGTATAATATCAACACAACTTTAATCATATTTTACCATATTGAATCTTTAAATCTGATATATGTTTGACATTTAAGTAAATATTTTTGTATTGAACTTAAAATTTGTTTTTCCTTTCTAAATGATTTTTATTGTATGATGTGTGCAGAATGCTGTCCTCTGGGTAGAAAAGAGGAATTTTAAAAGTTGGCAATTTTTACCATAGGCATTTAAAATTTTTCCAGTGAAGTGACATTTAAATACTTAAGGTACTAAATGCAATGTTTCTAATAGTTGCTTTTAGTTCTTCATGTATTTAGGTGGTCTTTCTTCAGAATAATATAACTGACATAAATTTACTATTAGTTAATTATATACTAATTTTGTAAAAAAAAGATAATTTCACATAATCTAAATTTTGGGCCTACTGCAATTATATTTAACCATTTAAAAATGTCTTATGATAGTTCATTTTGTATTTGTATTTTGCTTCTCCCTAAACATTATGTTTTAGTTATTTTAACACTAAAACAACATTTCAATCTTCTGAAATAGTTCATGTAACAGACTTAACGCTCATTCTCAATAAAACACAGCATTTGATGTTCCACTGGGTAGCTCTTATACGAAGGTTTTTCTTGAGGTTAAAATGTCGTTAGAAAGGTGGCTGCCACTTTGTCTAATAGGGACATTCTCAGTTTTACATTTCTATCTGTTATTTTTCTTTTACAAGTACCATTAATGCCCTAAAATGTAACATACGTTACTGTCGCCACCTAGAATTTTCAACTTTGAAATTGTGTTTCAGAAAAATAAGTTCCAGAATAAACGAAACATGTGCAATTAGTCATTGCTGTGTGTATATGCACTTTGATTATTGGTTAATATTATATTTGACTGTTAAAATCTCATTGGTATAATGGATGATCAAATGTCGCCAAAAGCATATAAATAAATAGTGACAAACCTAAAACAATAAGAAGTGAAACACAAATTACATAATTGAATCGTTGCATGCTTAATAATACAGCATATATATAATTATAAGTAAAAATAAGCTTGCAGCCTCTCAAATATCATTCTATTTTCGGAAATTTTCATTTTTTATTCATATCTTTTCAACAGCACTTTAAAAAGAAACATACGTTACCATTATTTAAGAGCCAATCCATTCAAAGAAGAATCCAAACAAGAAAGAATATTAACATGTGTGTAACTCTGATATATTAACCACAAATTATGGCGGCTTAAACGGTCTTGCGTCATTTTTAACCCACTTTCAATGTAAAAATGAAACATACGTTACAGAAACATACGTTATCAACTTTTTAAAGTAAGTTTATCAAAAGGGAAATTGAAGTCAGAAAGCACGTATAACATCAACATTAACTTCTATTTGACATTAGTAAGTAAATTTTGTTAACTTTGGTCGTGTTTTTACTTGTTTAAGTAACCACAGTGAAACAAACGTTACTTTTATCAAACAGACTTTATATTGTTTACACATGCATATATAAAAACATAAAATCGCATTTTTATGACAATAGAATGATGTGCATTTGATTCCTAAATAAAAAAGTCGATTTTACATGTAAGTTTAAATTCCGTGTTAAAGTTCATAAATAAGCGAGTGTGAAACATACGTTACTCCAACTTACAATTCAACAATTTTTGAAAATTAAAGATAAAGATATTGATGTTCTCAGCAACAACTAATTCGTTTCTGCAAAGAGCTTACTGGCCGTATTTCATTCTATATATAATAATGTTAAAATAATATCCATAAATATAAGTTATTTTACAAAAAATAAAATTGTTTTCTCAACCTTTACTTGCATTTGAATAAAATGAAACATACGTGACATCCTATATGGGGATAAATATCGAACTGTTTAGTACTAAATTTTCCAAATATTAAGAAAGTGGAAAGTTGAATATTTTGAGAAAAAAAATTGCTAATACAAAATTTGTGTATGCATTCGACCTCTCATATATTATATATGATATATATCCTTTGAATGAAGACATAAAATAATCATTTTCAAAATTGACTATTTTTGCTTTCTACGAATATTTAACTTTGAAAAAATTGACTGAAAATTAGCTAGGTACCCAACTTCTTTGAATTTTCCTGGGTTAGAAAGTCCCTCTAGGTAGAGAATTTACAGATTTTGATATATTTTACAGACATTTGTTATTAATATGCAGCCAGAATGTTACATTATTAGATCTGAAATCTACGTTACCGAAGAAATACAGTGTCATTACCGAAATAAATGCCATCCTGTTATATCATAGTTTCTTGTTCAAAATATTTCTGGCAAACTTGCAAAATACCCTAAACTTTTACTTCAGCGATAAAAAATGACACATTGACAACATCAAATTTTTAATATTTTTCAACCTCAAATGCTTTATTTTATTGAGAATGGGCGTTATACTTTGAATTTATGCCTGACAACAGTTACTGTTTTAGGGATTTCAATGACAATATACTCAATTTAACCAATGACTTGACTGTATACTATACAGGAAGCATAGACCTGCTGATATTTCCATCAGGACTTTATAGTGTTATCTTGGACATTTCACTACAACTCTGAAATACTTTCTATTAAACAGAAACATTAACAAGAGCTGTCGGAAGGACAGCACGCTCGACTATTCTAAGTGCTTGATAGTAAAAGAGCCTTGATAATGTTAAATTTTTTAAGTTCACAAAAGGGCTAATTTTTTTTTTTATAAATTCATGTTATAGGCCTTAGAGAGAGTCTAATTATACAGTATTGGCTTGACTATTCGGAAGGTAATGTCACAAGGGTGTTTTATTGAGTATAATAATACTAATTACCTATGATTACATAAATTTGACAGAAAAGGTACAAAGGCTTGTTATTAAGATGTTTTATCAAGTAAATCACTGCCTCATTATTATGAATGCATAAAATTGTCCCAAAAAAGCCACAAACATTAACCAAGATACTAAGTAGAAAAGGGGATATGAATCAGCCTTAATGCAAAATAGAGTTATGGAACTTGGTCAGTGACATACAATTATGACCCTCCAATTATGACCCTAAGTGCATGTGTAAAGTTTCAAGTAAATTTCTTTGAAGACCTTTAACCTTTAACCAAAATTTCAAAGTTTCAAAGGGGCAAATAATTCTGCAAATATTGCAGGCAGAGTTATGCAATTTTGCAAACTGATGTACATTGTTACTATAAAAAAGTATTTTAAATTTCAATTGAATATCTCAAGCAATAATTGAGATATTTGACTTTACAAAAAAACTTTAACCAAAATTTCTAAGTTCCAAAGGGGCATAATTCTGTCAATATTGTAGGCAGAGTTATCCAACTTGTCAATCTGATGTACCTTGTTACTATAAATAAGTATTGTAAGTTTCAATTGAATATCTCAAGCAATAATTGAGATATTTGACTTTACAAAAAACTTTAACCAAAATTTCTAAGTTAAAAAGGGGCATAATTCTGTCAATATTGTAGGCAGAGTTATCCAACTTGTCAATCTGATGTACCTTGTTACTATAAATAAGTGTTGTAAGTTTCAATTGAATATCTCAAGCAATAATTGAGATATTTGACTTTACAAAAAACTTTAACCAAAATTTCTAAGTTAAAAAGGGGCATAATTCTGTCAATATTGTAGGCAGAGTTATCCAACTTGTCAATCTGATGTACCTTGTTACTATAAATAAGTATTGTAAGTTTCAATTGAATATCTCAAGCAATAATTGAGATATTTGACTTTACAAAAAACTTTAACCAAAATTTCTAAGTTAAAAAGGGGCATAATTCTGTCAATATTGTAGGCAGAGTTATCCAACTTGTCAATCTGATGTACCTTGTTACTATAAATAAGTATTGTAAGTTTCAATTGAATATCTCAAGTAATAATTGAGATATTTGACTTTACAAAAAACTTTAACCAACGCAGACGCCGACGCGGACGCCGACGCCGACGCGACTACAATAGCTCTCATATTCTTTGAATAGTCGAGCTAAAAAAGGCTTTCTCCATTAAGAAGCATAATATTTTACAGTCTAATACATTGTAAATTTTTCACAGAAAGAATTCTTTCAAAGGAGCATTTTTAAAGACTAGAGCAATCCATTAATTAGTTAGCTCATTCTAATGTACACCGAGTTTCTTCAATAAAATCTTACTATATGTCCAGACAAATCAATGCTTGTTTGATATTAAAATTTACAAAACTTTTATTTAAATCGATCTTTTGATTTGATAAATTGATTTTTTTTCCCCATTTATATGCAAATTTAAATACAAAAGGGCAATTTTTAACAAATTATTCTTTTTGATCAAGATAATACAACATAGTTCAAGGCTTCTTCAAATACATTGCAATATAACAATGATTTTCAGTCATTTGCACTATTACTTACAAGTGGATTTTAAAATCATTACAGGAACATAAAGTTTCTTGAATTTTCCTTATCTATGTCATATCAATATGGTAACTTTTGTTCTCATTGATTTTTAAAGCTATTTCATTGTTTCATATTACTGTAATATACATAGATCTATAGAAATCAATATACTTTTGTATTAATATTTCATTTAAACTTATCCATTCACAAACAAGTAACTTGATACTAAATTTTGCACACTGAGACAAGAGTGTAAAAGCTTATTAATAAATTACAAAAAAAAAATCAAGTTTGTTCAGCAATAAAACTGCCATTTTAATTCTTTTATTTTTTAAAGCATTAAGAAACAAAATGTATTATAATGTAAACAGCATATATTCATATTCTTACAATTATTTACAAATTTATTTACTCATGATCTGATTTAATTCATGATATCGGTTTGTCTTGCTTTGTTTTGGAAGAGTTTTACTGGATTCTAATATCAAAATATGAAAACTAATCAACAATCAGTATCGTATCAGGTCTGACTCTATACTGATTCTAAAGGTATATTATCATTACTGCTAACACTTATAAATTAATTGTATGTGTGACTTATAGATTTATCATGAATAACCATTAGATTTTATTAGATTTAATTTGAATGTTTATAATCTGCATAAATATTTACTTTACAATCATAAAACATTTCTCCTCTATATCTCAGAAGTCAATTTTTCCTGATATATTTCTAAACAAAATATTTTATTTTTTTTACAAGTCAAATATTTCAAGCACAATCTTTTGTTATTATTTCCTATCAGCAAATCAATGACAAGGTATTGTTTGATTAACAATATGAATCAATTTTATACCTTATTTTTCTCAGGTAGATCTGCGACCGTCTCTTCTATTGACTTTGGACGGTTCTTCTTTTTATATTTATCCTTTTTTCTCTTTTTGCTACAATTCAATACTGAAGAGCTTCCTCCCATATTGTAAGTAATTTTTGCCGAAATCAAAATATACAAAAATTACTTCAAAAGGAGAACAAACAATTTTGCAATATTTTAAATCTAGTCCATTTATCCAAATGTCTCATATTTAACATTTAATTCCACGTTGGGATCAAAATTCCAACAAAATTTGATCATTTTTATTTTGCGTCTGCTCATTTTACATTGTCGTCTGCTACAAGAACTTGTTGACAATATCAGACAACAATCACTTGTGCTTGGTGTACGCTTCAACTGTTCTATAGTACTAGTGAAGTATCATGTTTACTATCCAGAGACATTTTATATACATTACCTACAAATCTATTTACCAAATTAAACCGTAGGTAATATATAACCATTATGCATTTGTTTCCACCTTTGCGGTGGTTTCCTTTTATGTACTTGCAATACAAATCCGCAGATTAAAATGTCACTTGATTCATTATTTATACTTCTTAATTATGGTTCACTTTGTAGAAATTAACTATTGGTTTTAATTAGATTTGACCAACCACAGTTCTAAACCACAAAACAATGACCGCATTAAACTAACATGAAATGTTTAAAATCCATTCCTATACATACAGCTTAAAATAAATTAGTTTGCTGTGCAGGAATTAAAATGAGATCAACTTGTGTCCTGTAAAAATTATATTAACAATATACTTTTTATCTTCGGTTGTTTGACCATTTGATAGCAAATTATTTCGAAAGACTATAAAAATTGTCATTAAACTCTGACAGTTTTAAACACCTATTTATCTTTAACCATCACATCTAAATAAACAAATATAAATCCAATTTTCACATAACAATTTAAAGACACTTGGTTTTATATTTATCAGCACTGTGCGTCCACTTTAAAATCGACCAAAACTTCACGTTCAATATTAACACTGGAAGCTTATGTAGCGGCTTTGAAATCCTGACGATTTGAATAGTACCCTTCATAACACCTGTTTGTCCACAATAGGTGTTATTTATATTTTATGTTTACATATTTCAATTAATCAAACATATATAGTAATGAGCAGTAACTAATAATTTATAGATCATATTTTAACAGCACAATTTGGACAGAATAAAAATAGTTGTGCAAAATTAGTCGACTGAATCTAATGTTTTAATATGTCATTTTAAATATACCTCCGCAAATTAAATTGTTTGAAATAATATAAGTCAAGATTTAATCAATTGCATTTTGTCAGATCATTAGATTAAATAAGATTTTGAACATTAATATTCAATACATGATTTTAGTTTAAACTTTGATATATATAAAAAAATATATTGCAACTTTGCTTGAAATGCAATTCTATTTTAAACTTTAGATAAATTTGATAGCTGCATGTGTACAGTATTTAATACAAATATGGTTAATAAGAATTTCATATTGTTATGGACTGGGAGGTGCAAAATTACACAAAAATAATAGAGCACTGCATGTCCTGCCTAGAAATTAATTTTAATATATTTTGTACATGTATATTGTTTAGTGGAAATTAACGGCACTTCCTTTTATTTTAAACTTCAGTATTGCATGAAGTATGAAATAGTTTAAGGAGTTGTTGTGGTTTTATTATGTCTTGAAGGCAACATCTTCTATAGTGCATTATTGCAATTTTACAGAATTTTTGAGATTTTATTATGTCTGTATAAGGACATGTCACAATTTATTGGATATTAAACTGTGACATATACACTGCTGCTGTCAATGAGTAAAGTTTTTCTCTTTCTTTTTTTCATATAAAGTGATACGGCTGCATTATAAGTTTGTTACAAGAAAAGCATTGATGCAAAGCATCAAAGGGCGTCCAAGCAAGAAATGCAGCAGGTGCAGATGAACTAGTAGATATATGATGACAAGATATTCTTATAAACTTTTCAATGGTTCATTGGTTTTTACCAGAATTGTATATCACTTATGAATGAACGGACGAAAGACATTGTTCATTACTTATAACTTTGATTGGCATGCTAGAAATTAGAATATTACTTGTTATTTCTTTATGATCGTGGTTATTAATAGCAACGGATATACATGTATACAATCATTTATAATCCATATGTGTAACGCATGATCAACACCACACTTGTGTAATTGTCCCTTATTATGTTATCGCTATTAGCGAAGACCCCCTCTTAAGGTATCTGTTCACACTTAGTAACAATATGACACTTGTTATATTACCATGTTGATCATGTTGAGCATAATTGTTTATTATACAATAATTGTAATATTTATTTTAACTAGAACTCCGCGAGTCGGATGTGTCGACTTGTGAACAATGTAGTTTAGGGGAAATGGCCAGGACAAAAATGAAATATGAAAAATAACAAAGGGCAATAACTAAAAAAATAATAAGTGCAGACCAGCAGTTTCTGTACACTGCACTTCTTATCAATAAGATCTATCATTCTATGATGTTTCAAGTCCATAGCTTTCATACTTGAGGAGAAATGACCAAGACAAAAATAAAGTAAGAAAATCAACAAAGGGCAATAACTCAAAAATAAGAAATGCAGAGTATCAGTTCTTATGCACTGCACTTCTTTTTAATGAGATCTATCATCCTATGAAGTTTCAAGTCCATAACTTTTATACTTTCGGAGAAATGGCCTGGACAAAAATTAAGTATGAAAATTAACAAAGGGCCATAACTCAAAAATTAAGAAATGCAGAGTACCAATTCTTGTGCACTGCACTTCTTAATAATGAGATCTATCATCCTATGAAGTTTCAAGTCCATAGCTTTTATACTTAAGGAGAAATGGCCCGGACAAAATTAAAGTATGAAAATAAACAAAGGGCAATAACTCAAAAAATAAGAAATGCAGAGTACCAGTTCTTGTGCACTGCACTTCTTCTTAATGAGACCTATCATCCTATGAAGTTTCAAGTCCATGGCTTTTATACATTAGGAGAAATGGCCCGGACAAAAAATAAAGTATGAAAATTAACAAAGGGCAATAACTCAAAAATTAGGAAGTGCAGAGTACTGGTTCTTGTGCACTGCATTTCTTCTTAATGAGATCTATCATCCTATGAAGTTTCAAGTCCAAAGCTTTTTTAGTTGAAGAGGAATGGCCCGGACAAAATTAAAGTATGAAAATTAACAAAGGGCAATAACTCAAAAAATAAGAACTGCAGAGTACCAGTGAGTCCTTGTGCACTGCACTTCGGGTTATTGAAAGAAGCATGCATACCAAGTTTGAAGTCAATCAGACTTATAGTGACTGAGTTATGCTCCGGACAAGCTTTAGGGGACGCCGACGCCGACAACGCCGACACAGACGCCGCCGCTGACACCGCCGACAAAAGTAACCCCTATATGTCACCTTTTCAAGGCGACACAATAAAAAAATACAGATTTTATGAATATTGTTTTCTTTTCTTTTTTGTGTTTTATGCGCTATTTAAATACTGAGTTTTTACGTTTACTACTATTTTAAGAATTCAATTGACATATTGACCGACGATTATAATTAAGTCAAAACTTAACTGGAAAAAGTCAGTAAACTATGGTTAATCTTTCAATATATAATATTGTTTATTCTTAAACCATATACATGTACATTTGTATTTTTCTTTATCATTTTTTAAATTATCAATCAATTGAATAATTCATAAAATCTGATTTGTAACTTTGAATAATTCCTCGGCATCTTTACTAAACACGAATAACAAATTTTATAAAACGTTTCAAAGTTGATAGTGTCATATAAATGCCATAAAAATGTACATTTTTTTCTCAATTATTGTACATATTTATTGTTTTGATCTCGTATAGATAAAATAAAACATGCGATTTGTGTTGTTTTTTTTTGTTTTTTGTTTTTTGGTTTTTTTTCGAATTGTATGTTTATGTATAATAATAATCAATAAATTTGAGAGTTGATCTGTGTTTATTAATTATTGTAACCAAACTAAGTTACAAACATTCATTTTGAAAAAAAGCTTATTTATCTGTAAAGTATTTGTTCTGTTCTGTAACGATATCAAACATCTATTCCAAAACCGGGAGAGACCGGACAATAAACGTGTGGTACTATTCGCCGGTCACTAGTAAATCCCGGTCAAAATAGACCTGAGAGACCGGGAATTACCGATAGGAGTACATCCCTCTATAAATAGATTTTCGGAATATTTAGGTCATCAACTCATCATTCTATTTACAGCTTTCGGAATAACATACCATAATAACCCACTGTGTGCTACAAAATGATAAATAAAAATACCCCGAAGAGCGCGATTTATTGACGGAAAAGGTGATTTCATTTGAAAATGTTTGCATTGCGAAATTCTTCAGTTCGCTATTCATTGTACATATCGCGACTAATTAATAATCAAGCACCCTCATACCGATCGGAATGATCGGCTTTTATTATGAACAACTATAAAAGGCTCGAGAAGTTGCTGTCGCCCTTTCACAAAATCTGATTTCATTCCATAAAAGGCGCCGCGCTTCGGCGCGGACAACAATAAAGATAACTGACATACTATATTGCCATGTTTGAATGGTTGTTTGCAATATAACCCTTTCTTAGGGACTGGGGTTATATAACCTTACAACTGTTTATACTTAGTCATATAACCTGTCTGAGACATCTTTATAACCAATAGTGTATCAATTATTTATACAACACACTGACCATAACAGTATTGTTAAATTTACTACAAATAGTGTAATTAAAGAAGATTGCCAATAAAGTTAATTACCACAGCCTTATTTAAAAGTGTGACGCCCTTTACTACAATATCAATTTGTAATTTAGACATAAAAACCAGGGTTGCTTCAGTGCTTCCATTGGGACTGCTCATTAAAGAGATATTACTTTGACCATGTAGATAGTAAATTGGTAGTTTTATGAAAAATTGGCCACTCAGAATAATAGGCTTACTTCAAATGGAAACAGATTTATTGAAAATAGATTTATCACTCTACTGTATACATCAATACATTGATCTTGTTTTTTTATTTTATTGAGTGTTAATTTTGGCAAGTACTGACAAATAGTAGTTACACAGGAATTCTTGTTGTGATTTATTTTGCAGTTTAGTGTATTATCTTTAATCTTCCGTATGTGATATCAGAAAATGCAGGGCTCGTGCTTTTTATTCTTGCCTTAACATTTACATCAACTTAAAGACTCGTCAAACCGCTGAGAATAAAAAAT